CCGCATCTATAATACAGTGCTCTACTAACTACGTGACACGTTCACTTGAGGTTTGTTGAGGTAAAACAGATATTAAACGAGGTATCGAACAATATTTTTAGCATCAAGCGTTTTTGTTTATTGTTCCTAGTTTTAATAAACATGTCAACAACGTTACCATACATAAAATCTAAAAATAGAAACCACTCGTAGCTTTGTACGAGTTTGCATCCTTGTGAACAAAAAAATATTTTGAGATGAAATGAAAACTGAATTGCATCTGAATTTAAGATATTCCAATTGATGTGATGATTTTAGTGGCATTGAGTAGTTCATTTTCTCATAGTACTGTAAACTTTATTCTGAAAAAGTATATAGGTTTTGTGAAATGCAAGTACCTTAACAATATTGGAATAATTTCATTGTACAAAATTGATTTATAAATAACATCAACTAAAAATAAAACAATGATATTTAATCCCCTCCGGCGTTGAGTAATGTTTTCGATTAAATAATATAATGAATATACGTAGGCGACCCAGATAAAATATATTAACGAAATAGAGCAGGGGTGTGCAACCTTCGGCCGGCGGGCCAAATGCGGCCCACGAGAGAAAATTGTGCGGCCCTCGGAGAAGTGACAACTTTGAATGGTGTTCGGCAAAACGAGTTTTTAATTTAGATTAACCTGGTACGTGCGAGTAATTCCAATCCTTTTACCTTGCAAAGCAGATACTGGAGTACAATTTATTATTTAAGGCAAGCCCGTGTCATTACAATGCCATAACAGCTTGCTTGAGCAAAGCGAACTAAGCATGCCATAAGATCAATGACCAAAGTATTTGGGCCTGAAACTACTAGAAAGTATATGTTAAATAAAAGTGCGGCCCGCGGGATTCGTCCAGGTATTCGTATCTGGGTTTCCTGTATTAAAGGTTGCAGACCTCCGATATAGAGTATTTTACGTCTAGAATTGCTTTTGAGTCTCCACTCCCTCGCGTGAGATGATTTGCATACCAGATACGACTGTTAGTGAAAAGAATCCTTTTTAAGTCAATCTACCGATCTTCAAAAGCATCGACGCAAAGCATCAATTGGAGAATATCATATAGAACAAGTGATTGGCGTAGGTAATCAGAAACAATACATTTCGCATGATTGAACTGTACGCATAATTTATATTCTTTATGTCAAAACATATGCACGTTAAAGGAAATAAATGCATACCTATATAGGTACATTTTGAACAAAAACAAATTTAGATCGTTATGCATATTCAACAATGACGGAGACGACAGAAAATATTCCGAATATAAATATTCTAAATATCATACTCATAATAGCGTGTTATTTGATAACATAGCATGCAATTGAATTAATTTATAATTTTTCGATTGATTTACATCCAAAGATAGTGAATATGCGATGCAGCAATAAAAATAGAATTTGGTACTGCAACATTTACAAAATTCAATGTATACGAAAAATAAAAAAAATTGTTGCATTATTACATAGATTTAGCAATATATTTGTACTCAGTTAGGGATATGAGTGCGCTTCAATAGTCGAAGCTCAATGCTTATGTCATTTGGAATGAGAAAGGATATCGTGCGAAAGCTTTTTAGTAAAAATCAATTAGGTAGTTGATGAAAAACTTGGAATAGGACATAAACGACGCCTATGGTTCGAAAACTTTGAAAGTGAAGGTAATGTTATATTTCAAAATATTGCGTCGGCCGCTCTGTGTATAAGCACCTAACAACGACCATGTCATGCATTACTTTGCACGCGATAATGTTTGACATGCAGTCATCAAAATGGAAATCTGATTTTAGCATCATCATTGTAAAACTATTTCTAACAGTACATTCTGAGAACATATAAAATTGAAACTAATCAATGCTTTTTTAGACAGAATAAATTTATATTGTCTCTGGGTGTGATGATCTACTTTTTCAAGTAATTCGACATCCTTTAAAAATGCCTTCGAGCCGTAAAACGCTACTAACTTTCACTATATTTTTGATGAAAAATACCGAACCATGTATGGCATGTCTTGGATTATTTCGAATAATTAACAACATAAAAATATTTTCTTATTTCTAGAACAACTCAAAGTACTTGATGGTAAAGTTACCTTTAATCGCCGAGCAAACTTTACAACATCAGTATAACTGATATCAATTTTGATATAATCGTTTTCAATAAGAGTCATAGTGTCGTTAATAGATTTTGCCAAAAGAAGGGCCTTTGGCAGTGGATGAATGTTATCACAGTCATATAACATCATTATCAAATAGTTATTACAATAGTGATATTTGCGATAAAATCAAATAATTCATAAAATGAATATTATTGCAAAGATTGTGCAGAGACAGGAAATAATTTTTCTGATACGCCCACCGATGATCATAATACTCGTCATACCAGAAATGTAGAAATTGATATTAAATATAAGAACGTTTATTTGAAAATTGATATGAACTTGAATGAAAAAGATTGGTATTCAAGATCAATTTGATTTATCCTAAAAGTATCTCGTCAATGGTGAGAAAATATTGACTACGAAACTGATATTTATTCGCTTGCTATTAAAATTATCGTAGTGATCGCAAGCAACAACTGAACACACAAAGCATCCTTACTGAAGTTGCGTTTAACCCTTCAATTATCGCGCTTAAAGTGACTGACACGCTTCTAATTTAGACTAATTTCATTTTGGTGTGCAAAAGTAGTAATACAATATGCCGGCTTTAATTAACCAATCTCATATGCATATTGAGGTTTGGTGAACGATTTCATTAATGTATCGCACTGGTTCTCAACATGTGGGCCATGACCCACTGCTGGGCCCCAGAAACATTTTCAGGTGGGCCACAAACCTATTATAAATCGCTAACGTTATTGTAAAAAGTTAGTTTCATTTTTATTACTATATAGTTTGATTTCGATTCTATAGTGGCAATGAATAAGAATGCTGTTTTTGCCAATGAGTCGTAATTTTCATTTTATTTATTGAAGAGAAAAGGTATATTTTTGCAAAAACAATTTTTTGTGTTTCTTGTAACTTTTTGTCTTCCATTTGAGATTATAAATGTGCCACAGAATATTTTGTGCCACAAAAGTGGGCCACGAAAGGGAAAAGGTTGAGATACACTGAATTGTAACGTCAAAAGAAGAGCGATCTTTCAAAAATGATTTGTTATAAAAGAAGCTTTTATGTAGGATTTTGTTTTTTCTCAATTCTAAAAAAAACAGCGTGTTTTAAAACAAGGGTTTGTTTTTCTGTATTTTTTATATTTTTCATCGAAATACCCCTTGCATCGCCACGAAACTACGCCAAAACGTTCTGGCAGCTGCACATGCAGCCGGAATTATAATTTCGAAAATGTAAGTAAAAATTCTTATTTTGACTTTTACTCCTATTACGTACATTTATCGCCACGTTTGTATCTCCACCAAAGTCATAAGATTTTAAACGGAATGTTTATCCGAGATGTCAGAGAGACGTTTTGTGTAAGGAAAATCATGAAACTTTGCCCACGAGCCTATTACAAAAGCAATTAGATCAAGGGCAGCCTTTGGCAAAACGAATGGGTTGCGATAATGAAGAATATGCTTACATCGGCGGTGATCTACTGATATAAACGATGAGACACCCTAGCCTAGACTATGCTAATTGTAAGGTGCCTCTGATGCAAAGACGCCACAACTAATCTGTTATGACGCCATGATATGAATTTCGAGTTCATGTATTGACATTTTTCTCATAAAATGAAGGCATTATTACGGTTAATACTGTTCGGTTAATTTATGCTTAGCATACTTTGTTTTTAGGGCTGAAGTGATAGAGTTTTTCAAGGTTATACAAACTCATTTATTCGATCGTATTTTAATTTTTTTCGCAGCAGGGTCGTTCACGTAATGGCTTATCGGTTACGTCTTATTGTGCCAATCACTGAACTACAGCTTGAAGGTGTGCATGAGCCTCTATCGATATTTATGGCTTTTTAAAAGATTTATTGCAAATAAGAAGCGCTTAGTAAGTTTTTACATCCATTTTTCTTCAACATTTTTAATACAAAAAAATCAAATAGTACAGCCATTTTGAACAAAACAGGCAAAAAAAACTTGATTTAAAACAATTGTTTTAAAACAATTCTTTTTGAACATATCCCTACTTTTATGGAAAATTTTTATATAAATGAAAATCAAAGCTGGCAACATCGAACCTGTTAAGAAAACGCAGCCACACTCACATGAAAGCAAGATAAAGAAATGGTCGCACGACGTTTCGGGTTCAAGTCAACTTTGCACGCGATTCATTGTGTTTCAATCTGTTTGCCTTACTTTGGTTTATACGTCAGACATATTATTTATTTATATGTGCTATACTATCAGTAAATTAATGCTTTAATGAGATTATCAATGTTAATGTCGGAAGAGAAGATTTTAAAGTTATATATTTTCTAGTTTGTTGCGAGTTATGTAGCGTAGATTGATATCTGGGTCTGCCTATAGCACCCATGTTCGTATTAGTAATAACTGACGCTGCCCTCTTTGGACCTGTAGTCTGCTTTTTGCACGTATTCCCAATTTCGAAAATATATTTTAAACTAAAAAACAATGACCAATAAATGCAAACATTTATAATTTGTTCTTCGTAATTTTAAACACACACACAAAAAACAATAACTCAAAAATGGAATTATTGCGAGGGAAATATATAATGATAAATATATAGAGTAAGAATAATAAGCTGATGTAAGCAGTTTTTAACACAAAATAAAATATATAATCAAATAACTTGTAAAATGGAATGTCGCATATTTGCTCAAATCTGTCAAAATCGTGTGTCATTTAGGCTATCAATGTCAATATAAAACAATTCCCTTACGATGTACACCACGTAATATTTTATTTAATTATTAATCACGAAGTCAGATATTAATAAAAAAGTATTTCGAAAACATAAACAATTCACATGCTGAAGTTAATAGAGTGTTTATTGTCGTCGCCAAAGAAGACGGGTCTTTATTAAAATTCACGTGAACTTGAATAAATATTAGCGGCTGCTAGCCAGCAAAAGTCTGAAACATTCCATTTAAAACATTTTGTGTGTTGTATCGTTCTTCTACTTCACCAGAATTCGATCCCTTGTCCATTTTCCGCACATCTAAATATATTCTTTATATAATGATGTTTGAATTCGCTTCCATTTTTGCAGCACCCGGCAGACATCATTCTTTGTTATAATGCCGATTTTTACCAATTTATCAACTATCTCCGTCATTAAAAACAAAGTTCTTGACAAACTTGGCAACTCTTTATGCGAATTCTAATATGACGTCGAGCTGACCCCCTCTTTCGGCGTGAATTAACATCTCTTCTGACCCTAGACAACCAATTGCGTTCAGTTGTGTCCTTTGACATCTTCAATTTTGCATCCAGTTCTTTAAATTGATTCGTGTCATCGACTGTAGAGTTGAAATAACAAAGTGTTATATATATTTAATACATATCATTGTTAAGTTTAATATACAATATTCATTAATGGTATAGTTTGGCGTTCTCGGATATTGTGCATTGATATGATGTAACGAAAGCTTACACATATATTTGCTTTTTCACGGAAAGAGTGATGTTATTTTTCTTTATCTTTAAAATAAAATTACTTACCACTTCTCTTGACCATTCTAACCCCTCCTTTACAATGTGAAAACATTCTCTGCCAACATCTACGACATATAATATCTCGGAATCTTGACGGGAATTGTCTCTTCCCTGCAGAGACAGTGTTCAAACTCGATAACACAAGAACAGTTACGACGAAGAAAATTGATATTTTCATCGTTAGAGAATTCAAAGTCAATTAAAGATACTTAAGATAACTCAACTGTAGAGAAAAAAGAATGAAATGTTAAATGGCCCCATAACTATTTGTGTACAATAGGTAAAACACTGACTTCATGGGTATTAATGCTATATAGAATTGATTGATTAACCTATACTACAAATATTTATATATTTTAATTAAAGGAATATTTTATTTACAATATTTTACAAATTTTTATGAAATGAAAATCTGTTTGAAAAATTCATCACTTCAAAAGCAATGCACATTGCAATCATTTGGGTGATTTAAACTCGACTGTTATTATATCAGCATTTAAAATAGTATTAACGTTTTGAATCAAAATTTAACACGATAGTCTCATTCACAACATCCAACTATTGAACCTGTTCTATAGAGATTTTTATAAAGTCTGTGTCGCTGAATCTGAAACACGCCATTTATATATTCTTTGAAATTTACGGTTCACCGCAAAATTCGAAAAAGTCACAAATATGCGGTTGCCAAAAATAAACAGTTGTTTCGCAAGCAAAGCTGTTTCGAGTTATCGAACGACGCTATCGCCGATTTCTCTTGTGTTCAGTCGCGATGGATTTGCCTTCATTTATGGTTGGATTAAAAAAAGGTAATGTATTTTTAGTAACTCTTCCATTAGTTGTTTTATCAACTAGTCGCAAACTGATTGCAAAAACTGAATTAAAAAATTACCACGTTATATCTTTATTGGACAGATGGGTAATTCCCTAAGTCTCACACAAACAAAAACAGAAAGTCAGAAAGTGGCATCGCCAGCATTAACTTTTTCCACAAGTTGATATATGAACAAACACGAGTGCATTCATCAAAGTTGGGCGCTCCAGAAGTGTATATACCAATATGTGTCTGTAACTAATTCTTTTCACCTACTTTACATCAAGTTGTATAAAGGTAGTGAAGTCTATGAGACTATATCATTACCCGAACTCGTAATAGAACTAAAATGAGGAAATCGGAATAAAATTATGGCCTGACCCTAACCTGGTACACACACTACGGGAGTATCCAAAATTGTGCTATTCCCAAATGAATCACAAACAGATGGAATCATTTATAATCGATTTCCTTCAAATTTGTTTTTAGAATAATGTCTCACCGCTTTTGCACAATTAAGATATTGAATAACATTTCTATGTTTAACGAACACATTTATTTATTCACTCGTCGCAATTTCTCAATACCTAATTGCATCATGATTTATACTTATAATTCGCAAAAGGAAAACACAATAATTTCATGAATCATATTTGCAACCCTCAACATAGATCAAAAAGATATAAAGGGCCGTGTTGACGTGGTAGTATGGTATATTGTCAATAAACTAATATTTCATTCATTTCTATAGACTATTAATTTTTGATAAACCCGTCGTTGTATGAACCAAGGTGGGGACACAGGAACTTAGTATGTGTACCAGGTTAGGGTTCGGCCATAATTTTTTTTCAATTTTTCTTATTTTAGTTCTATTACAAGTTCGGGGACTAGCCAAGAGTGACTCCCGTAGTATTTGTACTTAAAATTATAGCATAATCCTAACCTGGTACACATACTACCGTCCGCCATTTTGGTTTGCATACTACAAGAGTACCTAAATTTGTACTTTCCAACTATTTTAGCGACCGAAGGTAAAAGTTCTTGTCCTAACGAGCATAAGACTCTATTAAGAACTTTAATAGTAAGTAGCATACCTTGAGTCAAACAAATTAATTTGTTAATGAGGTTGATTTTTACTGGAATTGAAGACCAATTCGGTGATTTCCATCCAATGTTTTTAACTGAAACTTGTACCAATATAAAAATGAATTACTCATTCCTTAAAACCGCGAACTACTTTTGCGGATTTATCAAAAGTTATTATGAAAGTGTTTATATATAGTTGACATCAATTGAAAACGGAACGTGAAAATTGAGTAGAATATCCAGGTTTAACTTCCTTCCGCTGTGGTGTAATTGACACACGACACATACACACACGAAATAGATTTTAAAAAAAAGATATATTAAAACATAGAGTATAATTAATTTTGCACCTATTCGAATGTTTGAGTCTTTTTGAATATTCCCGTTTTTTACACATAATGATGTCTGTTATATATTTAAAACAATTGTATCTAGCATTTAGTTGAAAGATGAACTACATGAAAACCGACTTGATTTTTGCTCAGATGATTTTTCCGTAATCCAGAAAGACATAGGATGCAGATTACACTGTCCACGATAGAAAATATTTTTGTAGATTTTTCAAAACTTGTGAGTAATTCCTGTATGAATATCAGGATAATAATAATTTGCAATTATGCAATTTCTAATGATAAATGACAATAAATAATATTCCTCGTATAGCACTGATATAGCCAGTATTTATGACTCAAAGTATATCAGATCATGAGAGTAAAATAGTATTGAGTTGAACAATTTAGATTAATATACTGAGATGACACCAAATGAGTGATTATTTTTTATATTTCATTTGTATTCGATTGTACGTAAATTGCCTTTTTAGCATATAACAGATTATATTTATTTCTGTCGTTCTCAACAAGTCAGATCCGCGTATAGATGAGAGCATTATTTCCATAAAACTCTATTATTTCCCGATTCATGTCACATTTTTGTCAAAGTCATGGGACCTAGTTGGAAAACGAAACACTTTTTAGCAGAAGTATATTTTTCAAATTTTCGTTATCAATTTTTCGTTATGCGTTGACGCGTAAAAGTTTACGCAATAATATATTTCATCTGATAGAGACATATAGAACTGACAAAACCATTCTGCCGCAGTAATTTAATACCCCAACTTTCGACGCAAATATTCTTAGTCATAGATCCAATCGATGGTAGGTAATGTACTGTCCCCAGTTACTAATGTTTTTTGTGGCACAATAATATGGGGCATTTCATTTAATATTCGAATTTCCCATAAACTGGACAGAAACATATTAAGATTACTATTTGATCTAGCTAGGCCAAATTTCTGTTGGGTTTGAATTACTGAGACCCATATTGAGAATTTCAAATTCATCATCAAAAATATTTTTTTTTTGATTTTAGTATATTGACTGATATGAAAATGAAGATCAATATATATTTAGAATCTACTGAACCGCTTCGAATATAAATAAACAATTATTATAGTGTTTGCAACTTTCGTAAAGCTCGCAAAATATATGATGCGGACTGCTAATTATTGTGAGACTGTTTCGATTTGCTTGTGGTGAATCTGTAATACCTGGTGTGAATGAAAATTCCCGCACTCAGATCAGACGAAGCGTCTGGTTGATAACCCTCAGTACCTTGCTCCAAAATGATATTCAGTTTCAACATTTCGGGGAATTAAGTCGAACAAGTACAACGAAAACGAAACAACTGGACTCACAAAACAAAATATCGCTGCATCTCACCGACGAAACTAATATGTCAGCAACAAAGACAAAAAATTCCCTTCTCTCGTTTTCACACAGTCATGTCTTAATCAGACGTCAATTATAGCAACACTAAAACAACGTCGAGAGTCTAAACTAGTTCACGTTCACGTTAGTTTTCCAACATCATTTAGCAATCTTCGTAAGGAGGGAAACTTTTTATTAAGCTTTCGATCTTGACACAGAAATGAATAGATAATCATTCCTAAAAGCCTTAAAGCGTTTAATTTTGAGATAATTTCAGTCTTATATAGAAATACTGACCACGTCAATCCGTTACAAACCAATTTAAATTGAAAGGTTAATGTATAAAATTGGAATACAACAACAAGCTAACAAAACGATCCAAAGATCCACATCGTGTCCAATTAATTGAAAACATTGTACGACAACTGCGACTCAGTTAGGACTTTTAAAAACTTTTTAAGTTTCCTTGCTTTGAGAGAAATTTTAACAACCGGAGTTGTCTAATCCAGTGATTCCTAAAGTGGGCGATATTGCCCCCCTGTGGGCAAAAAACGATACAGAAGGGGGCGAAAAGCCGGAGGGGGCGATAGGGGGGCGATTTCGCGGAACCTGTTTTTGTTCGGCGGCTGGCGCGGTATGTACTTGATTAATATACTCTGCGTGCAATCGTAGGTTTAAATACCGTTGGCGATATTCACACGCGAGATGATTGCGGGACTCCTCCCCGCCGTAAGCTAGTTCGCGTAGCCCAGGGGTCGCAACCTATGGCCCACGGGCCATGTCTGGCTCGCGATGCTTCACCGAATTATAGCGACAAAATGGCGGTTTTAACGAAGATTTACTTTTATAATCTACGTTCGAGGAGTAGATTATATTTTTTACGTAACAGAATTTATCGTGAGACACGTTTAGTTAGATTAAATTATATATTATAACCTAACAATTTAGTGAACTGTTACTCGTTCAATCATACTACAATTTAATTATAGTCAGACAAATGACGACACGCAGAAAAGTTGATGCTGAGTGCAGGGTTTCAATAGCGCAGAAAATATTTTAATGGAGCTTCGTGAGATGCAATGCAATGAGCAAACTAAATTCCTATTTTTTTTATAAAAATCTATCTTCTCAAAGAAAATCTTCTAAAAATTTGACAAACCGTGCGAAAAATTCCACCTCGATGTTTGGAAGTACATATGTGTGCAAACAGGTATTTTCAAAAATGAACATTACAAAGAACAAGCAGAGAACTATGATTAGTGATGCTCATTTAGAAAATGTTCCAATCTTCTATTCATTCAGTGTGGCGCCGTTTTATTTTTTAATAAAAAAAAAGGCCACAAGACAGTGTCACATTAAAAGTCATTTGTCATTTTTTTTTCGTTTAAGACGACTGAGTTGATTTCACGAATTGTCGCAGTTTTTAGCGCTGTTCCGTTTTCAACTTTCAAAAAATATGTGCGCCCCCCAAGACTTGCAACCCTTCATTTTGGCCCGCGAGCGACAAAGGGTCGCCGACCCATAGCGTAGCCGATGGTCGGTTACAGCTTCCCCCGCTATCAAGTCCATGAATTTTAAACAAATAAATGGCTGATTAATTCTTTGAATTGGAGTCTGTGGTTCATGATGAGGAATCGAAGATGAATTTTACCGAAGACCGTTATGATGTATTTTTATGAGGTAGAACCCCGGATTCTTTCATTTCAGAACTCTTATATGATGGAAAAGTAGTTTTCAGCCCTGACATTATTACTATACAAACAAAGAAATTGCCTTTCCATGAGTAAACGGGGTGATGGCACAAAATAGTTTAGGAACTAATCTGTGGTGTAATAAACTGGGTTCGCTATGATAAACTAAAAGTACTCCCGTAGTGTGTGTACCAGATTAGGGTTAGGCCATGGTTTTATTCCGATTTTTCTTATTTTAGATCTATTACATGTTCGGGAACTGTCTGTGTTAGCCAAACAAATGGGCTTCAATCTTTTTACACAACTTGATGTAAGGTAGGCGAACAAAATTAGTTGCCTCCATACATGTCAATCACTTTTATGTTTCTGTTACACCAGTCACTAAATTTTCACGAATACAAGCAGATTGAAAACATGTGTAATTTATTGCATTTATTTTCACTCTTCATTCCCGCATTCATGGGCTAGATGCGGTCCTAATAAGCTTATGAAATACTAATCAATGTCGCCCAAAAGCGACAAAGGCGTTTATACTTATGATAAATGAAAAATAAAACATTACAAGAAATTTCTAATCAGATAATTCATTGCATACATGAAATATTATAAAACCTTGATTGGGATATCGTTAATTAAAAATAAACATCAGCACCTGTTATTCATAAACGAGAGCCACTAACTTTTTACCAACTGGTAAGATATTCTCTAATATTTCAATCTAGAGTATTATATAATTATTAGTAACTGAGGGTTCAACAACGGTATTAAGTGGAAATAAAGAAGTATTCACTTAGAATTATTCCAATTGTATGTAACTATGAAGCAATAGATAGAAGCAAATATCGCAGTATTTTTTTGAATACTGCTATATAATATTGAATTATTTTTTTTTTTTTTTTGAGATTTGTTAATGGATTGAGATAGTCACATAGAATCGTTAGTGGATCATCTCTTGTTTAAAAAAATTGGTGGATGTTTCCAACCCTGGACCCCCAAAGAATCGTTGGCACCTTGCTGATTAGCCAATGTGATGAAAAGTCAACAAGGAAGTCGATGCTTGGGAAAACATTCACTAAGAGGAGTTGAGTGTTCATAATATAATACTGATTTCCTAATTATTTGTTTAGAAAAAATTGAAATACAAATATGTGGAATTATTACATTATCGTGATCGGGATAACGAACTTATACCGGGCAAGTGTTTAGAAGTGAAGGTTAAACATATGATTGTGCAAGAACACAGAACAATTTTATTTGGAACTTTCGCCATAAGTCGTTATCTTTGCTCTTCTCTCATTTTGCCGAGGCGGTACATTCGTTTTTTTTTTCGATATGACCCGTTTTTTCAATATCTTCAAAAGCAAATATCCCGGCATACTTTACAGTTTTTTATTTGTATTCTGAAAGTTCTATAAGCTCTTCTTTTACGCCTAGAATAAACCTCTGCTTTAACACGTGACAGCCATGATCGTTCTTGTTTTCTCATTGACGAACCTTGAAAGTTGCGAGCGAGTGACGTAATTTCCTCTGTGTCGTCATCAACTGAAATGATACGAAAATTGAGTAAAACATTTTATTTCGTAAATGAAGGTCATTTAAAATCTAAACACTTTTTAGCAGTGAGATTGATAAAATATGTACATAGTATAAGCGAAGTACTTCAAAACTATTTACCGTGTTTCCCCGAAAATAAAGCCTAACCTGAATTTTGAAAAGTATTTTATTATAAGCCAGGGGGGCTTGAAGATAAGAACCAGAGTTATTTTCTGAAAGAAAATTGAAATAACTTATTTTCGGGAAAACGCGGTATAAGGGAAGTAAATATATGGATAAGATATCATTTTGAGGTGAGGACTCCAGCAATCCTCTCGTAAATAATTATCCCCCATGGTAATTGGACCTGCAAACCCAGATGGATATCGGTTGTCATATTTTGTATATTTGAAATTCTACTTTGTAATTTTGTTTTTGATGTATGAAAATGAGGACATCCACCGAAAATAAGCCCTAGTGTTATTTTTCGAAAGAAAATTGAAATAAGAAAAATTTCTAAACTCGAATATTTCGATGAGTAAGAAGAAATATTAAACTAATAATTTCTGTGACAATTAAAATTTTTGATATCACTTGCATTTTACATCTAACATATAACACACGGGCATCTACTATTGAATAAAATTATTTCAGACTGTAAGAATATCATCATACTGATCAGGATGATACAAATTATTATAAATGTTTCGAAATATGGTAAATTGAAAATGTCTTGAAATCGACCCTACAAAATTGACTTTATCAAATTTTTCATTTCCATAGAATATATCTATCTGGCAAATAATTCGAGATTAGAAGCAAATCCAATAATTTATGATAATATCTATTGCCTGAAGCGATGATAAAATCTTCTGGCAAGGAGCCATGTTTTATTACCCTTCCGGGAAAAATTAAATTTGAAATCGGCAAATGTCTCAATGAAGAAAACGGCCAAATTTTTTGACGAAACAAATTCCAAATAAATTTTTATGTCAGTGAACTCAAAGTGTAAGAAATTTCAATATAACAACGAAGGCTCTCATTGTCAACATTTTCATAAATTATGAAAGGGAGTATTTTCAATACTTTAAAAGTTTTCATTTAGTTCGACTCCCTAGGGCCTAGGTTTTGTCAATACCTTTTAATTAAATGCTTGAAAGCACGGCGTTTGAGTTTTTAATCTGACAATATTCATATGCGTCAAAGGTGCAATGTCTCTATATAATCTCTAAGTAGTGTTAAAAATATTTCAATATGTTTCACATTTGATTGACTTGTCGTGGACATATCTCTAAGCAAATAATTGCATAATTTTATTTAATGAAATTCAGATGTGTCAGTAATCACCAGAACCAACAGTATTATTACAAATATGAATATTTTATTTCGTATAACACCTCTTGTCGATTCTAGTTGATATGAGGTCAAGACGCTATATAGAATCACTGCAGAAATTTCAAGTATTTGTGAGTGTATATTATGGGTAAAGATACTTTGCCTTGATATTTCTAGAATGGCGCCGAAACCGTGAAACTGTGGTTCATGGTTACGTCTTCCTGCAACAACCAAAAGTATAATCCACTATCCACATATACAAAAAACAGCAAATTGAATATATAGCTAAAATTGACATTGTTTACAATCGTTAAATTTACTGAAAAACTATTGCGCTAAAGCAGTGGTCGGCAACCTACGGCCCGCGGGCCGGAGCAATATAATCCGGCCCGCGATGCTCCACTGAACTATAGTAACAAATTATAGCTGTTTTGTCGATTATATTCTTTACGCGAAAGAATTTACGTGTAGACTAAATTATATTATAACGTAACAAGTATATAATTCACAAGTACTCGTTTAATGAGCCTATAATTTAATTATAATTCATACAAATGGCAACAAAACGCAAATCCATCCATTCGATTTTTAACTTTGCGGCCCGCCAATGACTTGACTTTAATTTGGGCCCGCGAGCAACAAAAGGTTGCCGACCCCTGCGCTAAAGTATCAGATAGTCCGTTAATAGAATTCGATGGTTGCATAAACGCTTGAAGGTTATATAATTTCTTGATATCATTGCAATAAATATTCAATTCTTTTGAATGACTTGGGATTCTATTATAGAGTATATATTTTTGTTGAATTTGTAGTTGTTGGTGTGTAATGTTCAACAAAATATCACACAGTTTCTTTGTTTGTTTTTAAAGAATGGCGCTCAGAAGTATTCGTACCGATATGACGCACAGCCTGAACAACCCTAACCTGGTACCCATATTAAGTTCAGGTTGTGCGCCATCTTGGTACGAATACTTCGAGAGCACTCAAACAATATTAACAACACTTACCACTTCTTTTCGACAATCGGACAGAACCACTGCAATATTTGTATAATCGTCCCCAACATCTTCGACAAATCATTTCTCGAATTTTGGGAGAAATTCTATGCTTTTTAGCATAGGTGGTGTTGGTAGATATCAGCACAACAAGACCAATGAAAATAAAAAGTGTTGTAGAATTCATGATGCAGACTTGATGATTTTGTTTTAAATGTAAAGTTGAATACGTATGATTTATGACTGGAATAAAAAAGAGCAAAATATTAGAAGTTTTGCTTCGAAATTATAATTTTTATATAATGCACGTCAAAATAAGTATCAACATGCATACAACAATTGCACTAAGATATATACAAATTCAACTTTCCTAAAATTTTCTATTGAATATTTTTTATAAAAGTTAAGTATTTTATTACAATATTTTATCCCTGTTTAAGCGTCGGGAACAACAAAGAAATTGCATTCCCCAATTCTTCATTTGTTACTACAACATACTATGATATCACACTATCTCAAAAGCGTCTAAAAATTCAGCAAAAATCACACGCATATAGTAAAAGCGAATTTTACTTTTGCTAATTTTTTTAACATTAAAGAATACTTTACCAGATTGAAGATACGGCTGTGTTCAAAATATACCAAAAAAAAAACTAGAAAAACTTTAGAAATGATTGCGAAATGCCAGTGCGAGTAAAGTTTATCACTGACTTCATTCATATTCAGCATTCTTATCACGTTATTCTGTTATATGTCAACAATATAACTAAAAATAAAAGAGATTTAGTTCATAGGCTCCATATTAACAATTTCAGATATTTTAATCCAAGATTATTAACCGCGGGCGTTGTTTACGATCACTGTCGTGAGCAAGCAAAGCTCAAGCATAGCAAAGCTCAAGGATTGTTATTTATTCATCAAAATCAGCTCAAAACTCACAATAAACTTTGTTCAATATTTTATGATGGTAACATATACTATGTTTCATTTAAATAGATACAGTATTATAAACGAATTGTTTATAAAAATAAAAATAAAAACAAAAAACAAAAATGTTATACCTTTAACAAAAATAATAAAGAAATACAAAAAGTTTAAAACTAAATTTACATCTTATATTCGGCTTAGATATATCTAATGACTTGTGGTAAATATAAAATTCGTTATACAGTATTATTTGTTAGATTTCTAATTCCCCGATTTATTAATATGATCAGTATACAATATACCTTGAAAGTTTCAAGTAAAATATTATGTTGTGCGAAAAATTATTTGCTGTTCAGACTCTAAAGCTAGAGTTATTTCCACTCTTCTATAGTCGTATTTCCGTCTTTCCACAGTAGTCTAAACTTTTATATATTTTTAGTACCCTTCTGCATGACTCTTACAGAGGTTATTACTTGCAGGCTGAATAATTTCTTTCTCAAATATTATTCTTTATATATGATTCAGCCTCATTTGATCAGTATTTTTACACAAGGCTCTTAATCACAAAACAATCAAAACATCGCACAATATTGCAAATGGAAATTATTTTTGCATTTCTCTAATCCTCAAGTAAATTACCCTTCTGTTTGATCCCAGAACTTTCGTTTTTACAATTGAAAAATGACAGTTATTTTGAATCGCTAACAATTTTGGTTTAATGATAAATAAATCAGAAATTTGAATATAAATGCTTCAAATATTCAGTTGCAGATTACAGAACTATGTATTTATCTAAAGTTAATTTTCACTTTTTATCAATGAACTTCGTAACCTATAATTTCAGAATAATAACAAAGTTATCTATTATGCGAAACGAGAATATCGTTAACAAATAATAAACAACAATATTGACATATTTACAAACAAGCAATAATGAAATCAAAGTAATTAAAGTTACAATTATATTATCCCCCAACAATACAACGCTAATTAAATACTATATTACCGGTATTATGTATACCAGTATATATAATTTATTTTTCCCTTCAATTTCATATTTATGGGTTGACGTAATACATAATTCATTTTTAAATGTTCAAGAATTTTACTGCACACACAGAAATTGTTATTCTGAAACAATTCTCTTTATTTGTCCATCCGTAGTGGAGTTCACTGCACTTTTACAAAAATAAGGAGTTATTATTCAATCACACGATAAAAGAATCTTCAATCGACTGTCTTTATAGTTCTGGGAACAATGCAACACTTTCTTTTATTTTTAAATAAGCGAGACGTAGTTGCAAGCAATGAATATATTGATTTCTTACTCATTAAAACATATTCAATATCTCATATCTTTGATCATAACTTTATTGACTTTAGTATTCTGTTTTTTAATGTCCAGCATCTTTCACTGTACAGAACACACATTTACACAAACTGTGACAAAACAAAAAAAGCAGCATAGTCTTATTGATGTCATCAAAGAATTACCTTTTGATATCATATGCGCTAGCCGCCCACAAACGCTGTTTATTGTTTTTTAAGTTTTATCAGAGACATCATTATTAAAATAGTATTTAACTAAATCGTTCTGCCTGAAAATTTGATAACACAGCATATTATTACTTTTCGGGCAATATTATGATTATTCTAAAAGGCGAACAAAATTGAAAAATTACGTAACGGCCGAGTAAAGAACTATACAGAAACGCGGAAGACAAGGTTTTAGAGAAATTGAAATCAAATTTACAGTTAAAAATCATGATGGCGGTTGAAATATATTTTGCATTTATAGCTATAGGCATAACGCAACGGAGGAGTCAAACAAGTAACAATACCAACAAAAATGCATTTTCACTGGTCTAACCGGTCAAAGTACGACAAACTAGACAGAACTATTTCCTAATATTGATGTACAAGCAATACAAACGAGGTTATATGACCAATTGTGTAAAGACTTATTAGAATTCGATTTTTGGGTGTCACTGCTCGATAATCATTACTGGTTCCCCGCGAATTAATACAATTTTGGCTCAACCCTTACCTGGTACATATTCTACTAGAGTACCAAAGATTTATATAAAACAGAAATAAACATTTTTAGGTTTTGTTATCACATCAATCAAAAACTAATCTACATTCAATCTGCCTGAAATATTTCTTCCATCTATGTTAGCTCGAAGATCACAATAAAGTGGAATGATTTCTGACAGAAGAGTTGAACATTTGGTACTCCCGTAGTGTGTGTACAAGGTTGGAGTGCGGCCATAATTTTATTCCTATTTTCTTTATTTTTTTAGATCTATTACGAGTTCGGGGACTGTCTGACGATATACATTCTGCTCATACGTTCCAGTCACTTTACACAACTTGATGTAAAGTAGACGAACAAAATTAGTTACCGTCATATTGGTACACGCACTTCTGGAGCGCCAAACATTTTACCCATTATACGCTGCATATATGTACGACTGCCACGAAAACACCCGTACAAATCGGTAGATGCGAAACTCGAGGACTTCTCCATCACTTCGCTTGTATTTAAGCATTATAAGTGAAAGCAGTTATCAAATTTTAAAGAGATTTGAAAGTATATCTCAATGTCAATAAGGTAAATGTGATTCGAAAGGCATGGGTACTATTTTCACGTTAAAATGACTAAAGTGCGGAAATGGCGATAAATAGAAAAGCACATGAAATCAAGCTAAGTTTTTAATTTAATCATCTACTTTCAAGCAAGTTAAATATCTCGAATATAATCACATATAGAAAAAAATTCAAACAAAAAGGATAGGCTAGATCTGAATATAAATATTTATTTATATATTTGTTGTGAATCGCTACAATACTGATTTGATAGTTTAAAAATGTCTTAAAATAACGTGCGTTGTTTTGAACGTCGTTAATAATAATGATTTTCTACAGATATACCCACCAATTTCGTACGTATTTTGCACTATTTTCGACGTAAACTTAAAGTGGGAAATCATTTTTAAATTTCGAGAATGATCGAGAGTTTGTTTTTTTTGAAAAATGAGAATTTACCGTATAAATTCATTTCAAAATAGAGATATAAATATTACAATTTCATAATTTATGACCAAAATAATTTCGTTACCGGATATAGACGACGCACAGTTATCTCGTATAGAAAAATATAATCGGGAAAAATTAAATTATGATATTTTTGGATTTTGTGAGATCTGAAACAAACATAGGAGGCAAATGTTTGATGATTTATTCGTATCAGAAGGGATTTTAGCTTCCAATGCTGATTCATGCTTTGTTTGCAGATAAACAAGAATTTGCTTTTTGCATGAACTGAAACAATATATTATAAATCAAAATAATGAAAATATACATAGAAGAATCTCGACCTACCATGAATTTCAAAATTGGCAAAAACACTGTTTTTGTATGATTGGCGAACGTGGTGGACAATGTGCTTAGATATTTGGGTTCGATCTTCCACGACTTTCCAAAACGGTATAGCTGTCTATGCGCAGGAAGGATTCCGATACCTCTAATAAGCTTTAGTAAACTCCTAAGTATAAGCAAATGCTTGTCAATATAGCAAGTTGCGAAACTTCCCATGAAACATGAACAGCTAATGTTACGAGTCACTCCCGGCCAATATCATGCATCAAGGCAAAAACGACCACTAATTTTTAACATATTCCTATGTGAGCAATAAATAGTTTTTACTTTAATGGGAACTTTTGTGTAGAAAGCCGTTAAAAACGAACACCCCTAAACACAGTAAGAATTAATTATTTATTTTTACTTCGACGTAAACTTCTATAGGAAGCCACCGTTGAAAACAAACACTCTAACTCCAAGAATTTTTTTTATTGATGGAATTTAGCGATGCCAGCAAATATTTTGTCAAGAAAGATTAACTCACGGAATTTCGTGCGCCACGTGAACCTAACGCAGAGAGCGCATTTTATTATAATTAAAAGGTGGAGAAGGTGTTTTTTCCAAATCTTATAATCTTGCATTAGTGGCGGGGACTTTCTACAAGTGATCCCTTTAATGCACAATGTAACGAAGATTGGGTATCTGTAATTTTATACAGGTATGATTATTCTATAATATATATAACGATGTGTGGGCTAGGTAAATATTATTGCCAACAAACTAATACTAGGTTTGACTAATAGTTCGATAACTGTGTAACACAATAATTACTTGGCTCGGATTTTCAATATATTTTGCTAAAATCCAATGTCAGATAGAATGCTACAGAAATGTTACTTTTTAAGATAAACTAAATATTTTATTTTTTTGACTATTCAATGATCAATCAAGCGAATTGACGACCTACTTTATTACAGTCAAGCAAATATTTGTTATTGCGTACGAAGCTTGTGACAGTGTGTATAATTTGTACAGAGTGTTGTTATACATAATGCGAGTTAGCTTGCCGACTTTATGTCTGAATGTTATAGGGCGCAGAAACACAACTTGTGAGAATGATCGGTAGAAGTAGTTGATTTTGTCTACTAGACAGAGCATCAACTTGAAAGACTTCATTAATTTTTAATCCTTATAAACTACGTAACTATACGATTTGCGGCCCAGCAATATTCGATACAAAAGCTCAGTTTATGCCATGGCATTACGTTTATGGCGGCAATAAATTTCATACGAACCGCACAAAGTAAATCAGGTACCATTCATATAGGTGGTAGCATTTAATGGGGCAGCTTTATGTGTATAGGCATGTGCAGGTCATTGAATGCACAACAATTGTTGCTACTTCTATCACGACTTTTTGATGCGATCGATAAATAGTTCATTTCTTTTTTATTCAATTATCATTGTAAGCTTGAAATTACTGTGGAATATTAACATATATTCGATATGGGTAATCGTTTGCATAAGGTGTTGTGGTTCCATCAGTGGCATATTTTAGTAAGTTTATGTTATTGTAGTTACTGAAATATACTCAGAAGCAGGTTATCGTATTAAACAAACGAAATTAATACTGTTTTATTGCCAATAGATTTCTATATAAAATTTGGAACCATGTTAGATTTTAAACCAGTTTTATGATACCTGTGCTCAGATACAGCGCATTTTCGCCATATTTGTAAAATTGTGATTTTTTATTGGATTTTATAGCTTTGAAATTCGGAAATGAGTGATATGTAGACTAAATATATGTTAGAGTTGGAGATTTACACATAATAAGAACGGCATGTAAATATAATTGATCTAAATATTATACCAAAGGTATTTTTTATTGAGTAAATTTTAGACCGTATGTTGTGATAGCCGTTTGGGTCGTTTGATTGGGCTGTTTATTGTGGAATGGAACAATGAAAATTACAAAAACTGAACAATTAAAGTAACTGGTTGAATAATGGGAATGAATTGGATCTATTGCTATTCATAGCATCAGATGTACCGCACATGTCACAGTCTTGGAAAATTCTACTAGATTTTTAGTATTCACGTTTTGCGATGAGACTTTTGCGTTAAAATCAAATTATCTTATGTTTGACTGGCACGAAGTCTAGACCATTTAAAGCATTGCAATGAAAATGATTAATAAGTTGGGATTAGAAACAATAGTGAACATATTGAAATGCAGCCATAAAATATATTATTATTGAACGCAGTCTGGTATTCGGAATATTGATAAATCTCCACATGACCGCGTAGTTGTGCAAAGCGAAATTTATATTTGGCTTGAACAAAACGTATAGCATGTTTAATTCCGAACACTCTCATATAACCGTATGTCTAATGAACGCATTTTCAGTCGTGGAGTTATAAGTAGGTCATTCTGAGAACGACACAATGATAGTCTGCAATGGACCATTTTATAATTACGTGCGACGGACGATTTAGTGCTTTAGCTCGTATATGACATATAAGAATGAAATAAAAAGTGGAAATGGGTGATTGTTGTGGGCAATGTTGTGAGGTACAATTTAATCATTTTATGCTAGTTGTCACAAAAATATATAAAATATGTCTTGATGGTTGTGCAAAGCAAATTATATTTTCGACTTGTACTACATGCATAGAATGTTTGTTTTCCAAAACTCTCATTAGAACCGTGTGTCTAATGGATGGGTTTTCAATCGAGAAGTAAGTAGGGTATTCCAAGAACAGCATTATGAGGGTTTCAAGTGAACGATTGTCGTATTTTTGTAACAGTGTTTTTGATTGAGTTCATTCGGGTTCGGCCGCGATATATATATACAAATGCATTAGTCTCTAGGTCAGTAGGTGGGTATGCCTCATAAGTGATTTCGTATGGTGTTTAGGTTTAGTTTCACGCCTTCACATTAAAAAAGTTTTTGATAAATAGCAGCCATTTGTGAGTCTTATAAATTTACAGAGCTAATTTAATAATATAGTGTGAGATAGTATAGTGTGATTTCAATCAATAAAGTATCACTTCTGTATCTGACGATATCAGGTCAACATTCATGTTTGACAATCCATTAGAATGAATTTTTTTTCTAGGTTGCATTCAATCAATCAATCAATCAATCAATTTTATTTGGTCACTCTGATACTAACAAAACACAAAACAACAACAAAGGGACAAACAAAATACAGAGGACCTGGAGGACGGGCATAACTTAATAATAAAGTTAAATACGTACAAGAACGTGCCCGTCCCCCAAAAACAGTCAGAACACAATAAAAAAAAAAAAAACACGATGTGACATCGGGCAATATCTTATAAATTCAAATTAAAATGTGCGACGTGTAAGTGCTTTTCCTATAGATATATGGATTAAAGAACACTCGCTGCCGAAAAATGGTGCTGTTGTGGGCCTAGTTCAATTATATTGCAAAAGTAAAACTTAAACTTACTTGATTGACAATGTACAATGTTCGAGACATTATTAGAAGAAAAGATGAATCAGTAATAGCGAAGCTTAGTTTATTGTAATTTTTTGTTTTCAGTACAAGGAAATACAGTCTATACATTATGATATTAACAAATTTGTATTTAGTTCCAAGTGGGCTTGTTTATTGATTAGTCGGCGGCATCAATTCATGCAAACCGCTATGTCTTTTCCGTCCGTAAAAAAGCGTTCCTTAATCCAGCGAAACAAAACTCTGATCGACGATAAATTGTAGCTATTTGTGTATTGATTGATTAAAAACTAGGCATCTTAGAAAATATTGAACTTCCAAATTCCGCAAATAAAGTAACTGTTCTCACTACGAGCCAGTTTATTGGTTTCGAGGTTTCAGTACGTTTTAAGATGGCGGAGTATTATTATGAAGGACTATTCGGATCGATCCAAGCTAGACCGGCGTATGCAACCAATGTTTGTTCTGCCGCAATAAACATCGTCTATTTCGAGTGGTCCGACATGATTCGATTCGTCACTATATGAGAACGATGAAACACGCTCGCCCTATATATCGTTATATTTACTTGGTAATCTTCCCGCTGCGTTTGTATTACTTTACCAGTAACTCAACCTGTCATTGTTAATGGTATTCAACCTGCTATTGCAGCGCACTACGACGATATGTTGCATAGAGTGTATACAGTCAGGAGTTGGAATGCTGGTCATGAATTTCTGATGCCATATTGAATTCGATTGAACTTGTCTCGTATATAATACCGAGGTATCGATTGTTTGAATACACTAGTGAAGTCGAGGAAAATTTTTTCAAATGTTGAATGTCTATTTATTGATCTGATGCACGGCGTATTCTATCACACATGGGCGGCGTTGCTGGGAATGTAAATCGTGACCCTGACTGTCGTCCTTTTTGACGTCACGTGCGTTTCCTCACACGTAATTACTTAATCAATTCATCAAAGTTTTTGACATGTTTTAATAAATAGCAAAATTTGAATGCAGAGCATGCGAATGATTAGCGTGAAGCGATGAATTAGATGGGAATTGGCCAAGGAATGAAAAGTCTTAGATGGTAGAATTGCAGTAAATGAAACGATTTAAATATTATTATGTAACGAATCATATAGTTCAGCTATGAATCCATATAGCAGAATACACAGGATTTGCTTCTCAATGTATAATAGCGCGAGGAATTCTTGTTTTGTTTGCAAATCCGATTTTATAATGACTTCACGCGGAGAGTAGCATAAAATTGATAGGCAAGAGTAAACTCTAGAATAGATTATGCCTCTTATCAATATTGATTATATATGTACAGGCTAGTTGCCGCTAGTAAATCATTCGTTTGTTTCTAACGAATTCGATAACTTAAAATACAGAATGTTTTCTATTCCACAAAAGAACTCAGTGTATCATAAGGAAGCAATTTAAAATTGATCGCTTGTTTGGGTTATTTATTGCCAATTTGTAATGGTATGAATAATTAAAACAAGTGTTTGAATAATGAAAAAGAATTGGATCCGTTGCCAGTGCTGTCATACGATTGCACGTGCCGCGACTTTTTCTGTATGCCGTGATCATGATTCATGACGCTTCTTCTAATATCACGTTCTGTGATGGAATAGGGCTCGTGTACATTCCTCATGCAATTGTTGCAAAATTCACATATGTTATTAATTAGGTAATTCTATTTGTCCGCAGTTTGACACGGGCCACGTTCACAACATGGTTCGATTCCGATTTAAGCGTATGTGTAAAGTGAAATTCGAGCCCGAAAAATAAAACGAACGAGGTTCAGCATGTTTGCTTTTAAAAACTCGGAAGTTTTATGAACAAATATATGACCATCGAGAACTAGGTTATTCCGAGAACGACAAGGGAAGAGAATGAATTCAACCATTACAAAATCTCATTATATGTGGCAGACTCGTACATAAAGCATACATGATTAGAGATAGAACTGAGACGTGGTCGTCATACATAAATGATTAAGTCGTCTTCTTACATCATCAGAAATGACCCAATTACCTTCTGATATCTGCATCTGCTACCTAACACACGCATATCCATCGAAAATTGTTCCTCCAATTATTAGATGTATGCTTGGTCAGACATCGATCTGTACCAACTTCGTATCTGACTGTTATTAAACCCTATCACGCATGATCGTATTATCACAACGCGAACACGGGTGTTGATAAACCTTTTTTATTATTATTTGGATCGGTATAGGAAGGGTACAACACATTACAGTAAAAACCTTTATAATTTCTGATTGAATGTTCTTATGACGATGAATATAGTCTTGTGGAAAACACTATATTGATTAATGTTTTCGTTTATTTCCTGCATTGGAAGCACTCTGTTATCTGCTTCCGCCCCATCGATACATTTTATAACACTTTTCATAACAAATGTGTTACATATATGACAGTTTCTACCATAACCTTAAGGTTCTAATAAGTTACTTTATTGTTCAGTTTTCACAGTATAGTAGGTTTCATTTAATATATGTGCATGTTTAAAATAGAAAAGGTTTTTACAGCTTTTCAATCTGCAAATTGGGCAATGGAGCATAAATCATGACTTTGATCGAATAATGAGTTAGTCATTGATCTTGAGGTACATTCAATTTTTTGTATTATCAAGTATATAAAACAGTGATTCTCAAACAGGAGGTAGCCAATCTTTAAGGGGGTGTGGAGCTAAGTAAAAATAAAACCCTTTTTTAGATTTATTCTTGCCCGTCTAATTTTGGATATTAATATTTATTTATTTTGGATGTTCCATCCACGTATTTTTTGAATAAACATACTTTCGCCTTAGTATCTGTTATTTGTAATTTATTGTAAGCTAGTTACTTTTGAGGTGAGACGCGAGACTTGACAAATTCTAAAAATGGGGCGCGGCTTAAAATGTTGAGAATCTATGTTTATTTCTGAGCGAAAAAATCCTCACTGCAGTCAATAATTAGGGACAGAACTGTAAAATTGCATGCTCACCGCAGCCCGAAATTTTGAAAAGCAAACAATTAATGCTTTTTTTTTAAGTAGAAGTCAACTCACGAATCACCTTTTTTACAATTGATAATAACAAAGTATTCAAAATGATCGTTTCTTCGATAAAATTTTGTGGCATTTCACATTTTTCTGTACATTCAGCCCGTGATTGCTGAAGGCGTATATGATATTAAAAAAAAGGTGGGAGGAATTCATATTTTTCTTGCAGTGTAAATCTTGTGCTTTTTCGCCTTTCCAGGAAAAAATTTAAATATGAAACAATTTACTAATGATCTTAAACAGCAATATCATAAAGAATGTGAATGTGAGTTTGATAAAAAATGGAACATTATTCTTCTACTGGCTGTGTTATTCATCACTGCTGGGACGATATTGGTACTTCAGCGAACACCAGAAAAATCGACCAAAGACAATGATACTGTTGTAATTGAAGAGGAATATATAGTATATTTTATCGGTGGAATTTCTTTGTTTGTAACTGGATTTATATTGGTTGTGTTATGGCTGGTCAAGCTACAATGTGGCAAGACAACATCTGACAATAAATTAAACTATGATCAAAAGTTGCAGATAGAAGAAAACAAATACCGCGGAGCCACAAAAAATATAGATGAATACGGGCTGTCTGTAACAATAATTTAAGAGTAATGCGTCATAGTAGACAACCGAGGCACGAGTTTGCGAAATAGCAATTTTCTCATATTAACAGACAAAAGACAAACAGATGTTTTCTTGTTCGTCAACGACACCTAGAGGATTTTCACTCCGGTTACTTCAAGTAAACAGACGAAGCAAACCAAACAAACTTCAAAAAAAAAAATATATATAAAATAAAGTGAAATTAGTACATTTACTAACATTACATTTGAAACAGGAGCAAAGAAGTGACTGAAAGCATCTGGCGCCCATCAACAGCCTAAACCGAAAAAGTTACATTACAGTTATTGTCTTCTAACTCAACTGGCGGACCGCGGTCCGAATTCGAACCTTTTGGGCATTCGATTCGGATCGCTCCTAATTTTTTTATTCTTGATCATTAGCCCTACTTTTGAAGTTTCCTCTTATAAAATCACTTTTATAAATTTAAATATCTATGAAAAGAACTATAACGCCATAATAAACAATCTTGATTGGCTAATAATTATTAGTCGGCCGCGGAAGTGCGTGTTTAAGATGAGAAAATATAATTCCTGGAAAGACCGGAACCAAATATTTTTGAAGTTTTGTATGCGTACCATCGGTAAAAATAGCTGAGTAGGCCTGTTCTAGGTAACTCCGCATTTAATTTGTTATTGTTATAATTTTATTGTTTGCAAAAGCGATTAAAATGAAATTTATTTATTGATGTATTGGGTCGCGACCCACAAGGTGAGAAGCACTGGTTTAACGTTCTTGAATCAATTGTACCATAAATATTGTTTTGCAACCTAACACGTATGCAAAGTTGTGCCTCAACATTTTCATTGAACAAATTATGCAGACGTTATGTTGCGCACAGACGCAAAGAATCGTGGGTTCCGATGTAATCTACGAGTAGTATATCAAAATGCCTACGTTATAGATGCTATTACAATTCTGGCCACAAACTAACTGAGCAGCCGACAGAGGACCGTTCCTGCATGTTCAGCTTTTCGGGAAAGTTTTAGAGTATTCGGGTAGAGAGGGGGGGGGGCGGCCTGACTCATCCGACTCTCTTCTCTCGCAGTTGCTCTCCGACTCCCTTTCCACTCACTCTTTTCTGTCATGACCCAAACCCAACCCCCTCCTCAATCGTGCCTTCTTCTCTGCGGTACAATTTGCTTGGCCTGCCTGCTGACTCTCTCGTCCTCCTCCCCGGACTACCTTTGCACCCTCGTCTCTTTTATCTACTCCCATTTTTTTTTCTCCCATTTAACTATTTTCATCTTTCACCCCCTACTCAATTGTGCGTTTTTCTCTCTGCTTGCAGCCTTGTTTCACTAACATTACAGCTTGCGGTCTGCTGTTAGCTGCCCTCTCCCTCTTGGCCTGCCTGCTGACTTCATCCGACTCTCTCGTCTCTTGCTCCCATTCCCATGGATCTTGTGTTCGCCTGCTGATCCGCGCTCCTGCAGTTTGTTCTCTGACTCCCTTTGCGCCCTCGTCTCTTTATCTGCTCCCTCTTTACCTGTCATATGCCTGCTGGCCCCCCTTGGAACTTCTTCTTTATGTTTCACCCACTCCTCCCTCCTCTTGCCCTTTCTCTGCGGTCCAACCCCCTTGCTTGCAGCCTTTGTTTCTACTCGGCGGTCTGCCCTCTTCTCATTCTGATCTTCCTGCAGTTGCTCTCCGAATCCCTTTCCACCCTCGTCCTTTCTATCTGCTCCCATTCATTCCCCCCTCTACCTGTCATGCCTGGCCCCCTTGCAACTCAGCGGCCTGCTGCTACTCTCACTTACTCTTCTGCCGCCATGCCCCCCTCTCTATCCCTTTTGCCGACCCATCCGACTTCTTTTCCTCGCCTTTTTTATCTGCTCCCCTAACCTGTCATATCTTCTGGCCCATTGCTATAACCCACAGTCTACCCTTGCGGGATTCGAACATCTGGCCTGATGTTTGACCATGTCCGTACACTTCCCCTGCGCCACCGCTGCTGACGAGGATCCCGTTGATCAGAATCTTACTTAATTAACGACGTCACGCTTGGCAGCCCACGACTAGATAACCCCAGAAAATTACATTGAACATACGTCGTTGATTCGAAGCATGTGTGTGTATTCATGCCCGTGATATCCCGTTTCAAATTTGTGGCTCATATTACTTCGTTCACTTTTTAAAAAAAATGTGTTATTATGCAATCATAGCGACAAGACGCATAAGATAATTCAAAGAAGTAAATCTGCAAACAAATCTTCTGACTGTGATGGAGGAATACTAAAACCTGAAAGCATTTCATCAATTTGATCGTTTCTGTCTCCTGTGCCAACAGACCGTCTGATCTCTGCTTTACTGTTTCTTACTTTATGAAACATTTCGGTTTGAGATTCTCGCGGCGTCATGCTTCTTTACAAATTGAAACAATATTATACACATTAGAAATAAAACGATAAACACCGTCAATTTTGTCTTAAAAGCTCCGCGACAGGTGAAGGTTGCTACGACAGCCAGTAATGATGAAAAGCAGTAAATTGCGCCTAGGATGTACCTTTCTTCATTCTTAAGCCATACGTCACATTTCCTCAGCTTCTGATGAAAAATATACGCTAATCGATGCAGGTTTGAACCATGTGGGCGTTAGCACATGTGAAAGGATTCTACGGCGCAAGGTAGTTCGCGTAGCCCAGGGGTCGACAATCTGCGTCCCAGTAAAATAATCCGGCCCGCGAGCGACATATCTGATCAGTCAAATTTTGAGGAGGCAGAACCCTGGATTTTTTCATTTCCGACTTCCTATATGATGGAAAAGGGAGTTTCAGCCGTGACACTATTGCTATCAAAACAACAAAATCACCTTTCCGTCAGTAAACGGGTTGGTTTGAGATTGTAACTGACCAAAATTTCACCAAGTAATAAAAAACGAGGGCGATGAAGTTGCACGCAAGCCCATTTCTTCGGCATGCCAATGAGGACTTGGAAACGATATCATTCTGCCTCAGATAAAAAGACTCTAATAAACTAGGTGTCCGTTTATTTATTATCGTTTGCTAACATTTTTGTCCTTCAATGACATATGGCTACAAAGAATAAATTATGACATAACAACTGAGTGAGCACTCGACAAATTTTGTCGGGTAGTGCGCACCATTCCTTTGGCAACATAATATAGTTAGTCTGTGCCACACTTTTACTTCGTTTCTGCTTGATGTATGGGGTTGTACAGCTCATGTTGGTTAGAGTTACTTGATAAGTTACAGTTATAAATTGATTTAGAAGAAATATAATCAATAGGGGAAGGGAATACAAATGAGAAGTGCAGAAAACGAACTATTGCGTGATTGGGATGTTTTTCCCGAAAATATTTTGTGGCGTAACGACTTTGCAACTGCCTTACTGTCCGTGTTTTACTCTACGTAAGCTTGTGGATCTCTGTTCTCAGCTATGAACTTTATTAAGTCTCGTAAGTTGTAACAGAAGTAGCCTAAAACATGAAACCAGTATGTCGTATATTTCTTTGAAAGTTACAAAATATAAATCCAATATCCAATCTCTATCAGCGGTAATGCAGCAGTGTAGAAGTCTCACCGATTTAGAATAAGAAAAGTAATCACATATATTTACCCGACTGATATTTTTCCGGATAGTGAATCCGCCTTTACATGTTTAAAAGGGTTATTATTGTGTGTTTTTGCTTTGAAAGTAGCAAAGCATTGTTTTTAATTTTGATCGGCAAGCGAAAGACCTTTGTAAATAAATTTAGCCGATTTTAGCGCGCAAGCCGGAAAAGGTTGCCCACCCCTGTTCTATCTATACCTTGCACAAAATTGACTCCCCGTACTAGGTTCTATGGTTGCATCCCTGGTTTCAACAGTTCAAAACTTTGAGGTTTGACGAAATCTCCTGAGTAATAAAAGGGTTCTCTGATGGCTCGAAAAGGTTACGAATCACTGATGTGGGAGTTGGCTAAATCGGGGCTCCCAAAACTGCAAGCCCGGCGTTTCTCTGATCCTATGCAATTTTTCAAAATAGTGAGATTTATACTATACTTATAGTGAAATTTACATTATATATACCGTAGTCTGTGTGTGAAATTCGAGTATTCTTTGCAACCCCAAAACTATGTTGCTTACGTCTCACCTGCGGTTATGCGACGCCAGTTAGAATAGATTTGCGCTAAATTGAGTGTTTATCAATTTTTACCATTGGTCTGCATTTGTCGTGAGAAATTAAATATGATCTTCGCATGTAACTCGATTATATTTTTATGTATGTTATGTCTCCAGCGTTTGGTTTGGACCAAAAAATCAGTGCGAAGCGGACATTCAAACAATCACAAGTAATATTAAGCAAATGCCGACAGTCATCTGCATTTGTATGTTGTGTGATCACGTGTCAGAAGTATGATCGGCTCGTGGCGATCTTGTGTTGACCAGGAGTAACGGGACCTATTAAAAATCTTTACTTACAAATTATTAATCACCGTTTTCGTCAAACATTTCGTGCGGGAAGCACAAGCGACAACGCCTCAGTAGCAAATGTACATGTTGGAGGGCGGTCGATTTTGTCGCAGGCGACTACTAGAATATTACGCCAACTCTCCATTACGTTGTCTCTTCGAAACAATATTCAGGTGAGTTTAATTATAACTTGTTTTTACTTGCTACTGCTTTCCCTTTTGGTTGTATAAAAGATCAATTTTTGGGGGCCCAGTGCAATGCTGTGGCTCACTATCTCAATTTTTGTCCGTATTGTGTTTCATAAACTGATTTCTAAAATGACAATCTCATCTTACTTTTGAAGTGAAATACAAATTTAACCCTACATGCGATTCGTTATAAATTGACCAGTTGGCGAAAGATACAAAGTTAATAGCATTACTATATATTACGCCCGATATACAGTTTGTCACTACTTAAGCTGGATTTAGCATGGCACTCTTTATTTAAATGTAATACATAACTTCGGAAACTCCGAATATAACACCGAATTCATGGATTTACGAGGATATATATAGCCTTTACTTGCCATGGCTTTTATATTTTCTTGCATTGAGCTTGATTTAGCCCCGTTCACGCATTTAGAAATGCTTCAAAGGTATGCAACCGTTTATTATTAATATCTTAATTTTTCAGATGCGGAACTTGAAAGATACGAAGAAAGAATGAAGATACTATACCAAGGAAAAAGTTCACAAGTAAACAATATTAAAACATTTTAATTGATTTTTCGACATGTATTGATTCCCGTAAACAGTGTGATAATGCTACATATTACTGCCTAGAAGTGATGAGTCATATATTTCATAAACAATTGTAAAAAACGTCATTGGGTAGTTTCTTGTTATAATAATATTTGTACTCTGTTATATTCTGAAACGGCGAGTAGTATCTTATGAAATTGAACGTCTGCATTTATCTGTGACTGCAGAGAGAACTCCCATAAGAAGGTGAAATATAACACACTTGTCAATAGTAATTTATATGAGGAGGTGCAACACAATGTACTGACAGATCATTCCAAATGTAATATTTCATAAATTTGGGGAAAATATCTGAATTATTTGCAGGGATGTATCTACGCAAAATCGCGCCATGACAAAGTTTAAAAATACGTCCCTCTTGATCGCTGGGTCACAATTTCGAGGGCTGTTTTTTGCAAGTGGATTTTTATCATATCTCACATTTTTGCATTGGTTTCGAAGGCTTTGTACGAATGATCCCAATCTAATACACTAAACAGTGCTATTCAATCTTTCACTATGTGGTAAATCTTTTTGCTTTTAGTTGTTATTTTCTTCGTATGTAACCTACCTCGCAAATAACAAAGGTAGCCGCAGACTTTTCTGTTTATCTCTCCACCAATAAATATTTTTTTCGCGTTCAGAATAGTTATTTATATACCTGGGATCTTACTTAGTATACCCTTGGGTATATATATGGTATAACCGGTTAAATATCACTGCACTAAAGTATCATTCCAACTAATGAGTATAAGCTTATCTTAGAACAGGAACAAATTTATTTTTTCTTTGTTCCTCTTTTCGCCAGTTTAAGCACCAATGCGCGCTCATTGATTTTCATGTCAAAGTCAGTTTGGACCAGACCAATTTCATTTTGTAGAAACGCGCCCTGGATATAACTAATCTGCCCAACAAAGCCGTAATTTGACGTTAAAAAGGTAGCAAAATAATTGTAATTCTTACAAGTAAGGCAACATTCTTCGCGCGGTGGTTAAAATTTTAACTTCTGATCTGTGTGAAAAATGGCGATTCATCGACAATCCTTTCGGTTTTCAACATTCTAAAAATACGTGCGCGCCGCCGATACTTGCAGCCTTCATTTTGGCCCGTGCGCGACAAGAGGTTGCGACCCTCAAACCAGAGCAATAATCAGTGAATATGCTGTAATGAGTACGCCGATGCATATAGGGGCGTTTCTTAACCTGGGTTCGATTGGACTCCTAGCGTTTGGTGCAGCTATTCGGCGTCTAGAGCAGGAGCCATAGTGACAGTACCTTAGACAAGCCAATGATATTTTTTGAAAAGCTAAAAACACATTTATTTTCAGCTTAAAACACTGCTTGAAAGTTGACAACATCGTTTTATCAAAATAAATTTGTCGTTGTCATGCTTTTTAAAACACTGCTTGAAAGTTGACAACATCATTTTATCAAAATAAACTTGTCGTTATCATTTGTCCGGTATTCATCACTGAAAAAGATAAAAGCCTATCGAGTCTGGCCAGCAGAGCAAGTAGCCTATGTAATCGAAGTCTTTTGAGTCTTAATTTGCATATTTACGATCAATTTAAGTATCTTCTGTACACCCCCTCCCCCGGTAAAAACAAAACTCCCCCGCTAACGTTCAGAATAATAAATTTTTAATTATTGTGTAAGAGTTGGGCTAGAATTGCAGATTGCGCTGGAAATACGAATTTACAAATTGTTCTTAACCCTAACTAAAAAATCACTTATTTGTTTATTGAAACTTAGCGCAGGTGGTTTTATCAAATCTCACATTTTTGCATTAGTTTTGAAGGCTTTGTACGAAAGATCCCAATCAAATTCACTAAAATAGTGCTCTTAAACATTTTACTACGAGTTGCATATTTTTCAAATTTTATTTTTTTCGTATGTACCTTGCAAAGAACGGAGGTAATTTAATAATATAAAATAGAAAAAAAGTTGTTTAGTGAAATCCCGACAGAAGTGTTATTCTGGTCACAAGATATTATGTATGACAAATTAACAAACTACGTCAAAATTAACGTTGATTTATGACTATAGATTGTGCTCAGAAATAACGTAGCCGCAGACTTTTTCTGTATATTTCTCCGCAAATAATTATTTTTTGTTTTGCATAATATGATTTCTACTCGCTCATGCAATTCATCTCGCAAAGTTTGTGGCCGTGGATAAATAAACACTTCATGAATTAGTGAGTCTCGATGTTGAACAGGTGCTATGCGCGTTCAAAAACACAAAACGGGCCTGGAAATATGTGCGAATCATGCTATAGCTGCAGTGTACCATCGTATACCAATTGCTATTTGTATAGCCGGGATCTGACTTTTATATACTTGGGTTTATAGTATACCCGGTCGAATATCACCACACAAAAAAATCATTCCCAATGGGTAATATTTTTAATTTTGGGAAATCTGCGAAAAATTATTTATTTGTTTGTTGAGTGTAAGCTTATAGCAGAAAGATTGTATCATTTTGTTACCCCTTTAAGCATCAATGTGCTCAGAATTTTCAATGGCAAAGTCTATTAGAAACACACCATTTTTGTTTCGTAGAATCGCGCTATGTATTTAACTATTCTGCCCAACAAAACTGTAATTTGGCGTTAAAAAAGATAGAAATAATCATTCTCAACAACCCATCTCAACCACCCACTAACTGGACCAATCACCAGTTGATATGGTGTAACGATGTACACCTAGGTTTCGGGGGAGCTGTTCCGGGAGTTCGATGAAGGTCCTTACGAAATCTTTCCCTTACCCAACTTTTCACTTATGTAAAAGTTACTATATCCCACTGCAGATATGCAAACTTCCATGTTTAGCTGCTTAATTAGAATTTGTGATAAGGCAGAAATATTTTATTGAAATAAATTACGAATAAAGCTTTTAATTAATTTTGCGCCTCACTCCAAAGTCGCCAATGGTAGGAGCTATGGCTGCCATACCTAGGATACGCCATTGATCATTCGATAATGAACTAAAAATAAATTTATATTCAGCTTTCTTCATCACTGATTTAAGTTAGCAATGCAGTACATCATTTTATTAAAAGAAATGCCTCGTCATTTGTCTGGTATTCATCACTGATTTAGATGGAAGCCTATCGAGTCTGGTCAGAAAAGCAAGTATGTAATCGAAATCTTTCAATCAAAATGTACCAGATTAGCGTTACGCCATTTTGTTCCAATGCCCCTATTTTAGTTCTATTACGAGTTCGGGGACTAGCCAAGTGACTTCCGTGTTATTTGTACCAGAAATTATGGCCTAATTCGGAAGTACTGACTTTTCTGTATTTATCTCCGCTAATAATTATTTTTGTTCGCATACCCGGGATCTGATTTGGTATACACTTGGGTATATAGTATAACCGGTCAAATATCACTGCACTAAAAGATCATTCCAAATAAGTAATATTTGTAGTTTGTTGGGAAATCTGCGTTTTATCTTTTTTTACATATTTAGTATGAGCTTATCTTATAGCAGAAAAATTGCATTTCTTAGTTGGCCTTTTCTCTAGTTTAAGCAACATTGCGCGCCTATAAATTTTCTATGACAAAGTCTGTTGGAACCAGACCATTTTTATTTCGTAGAATCGCACATTGGAGTTGACTGTTCTGCCCAACATACCCTTAATTTAGTGTTAAAAAGGTAGCAACAATCATTCTAAACAACCCCTTAATAGACCAAATCAAAAAGAAAATATGAACTGCTGTGTTCCTAAATGCACGTAGGTGATTTTAAAAGTAAGTGTAATAACACTAAACAATTAAACCTCAATTACCGATTGAATATATGCTGATAAACGCTTTGTTTTCACAGGCCTTGAGAAAATGTACGAGTGGGTGGATGGCTTCAATTATAAAATTCCAATTCCACATTTTAAAAAGTATTTCATACGAGATGAATACACCTCCATCAATTTCAATGAACTAAAGCAGATAGAAGATGAATACAAAAAACAAACCGATAATTTATATGAAGGATTTCATATTATATGTGATGCTAACGAAGTAAGACTTCTTGGAAGCTGTAATCCTCCAGTATTCTGGTTTGTGGAATATTCAAAACTCAGAGACAGCTATTATTAACTCTCTTTTTCTCGTATTCACATTTACTTTTGTGGTGTGTTAATACATGTAAAATAATAACTTTGTTATTTTCTTGACTCAGTAATTTATTTTGAAGTAAAATGATAGCTCTAGTTTTTCAAAAGCGTCAGCACGATGACACGACGCAAAATTACTTGTGATAAAAGGAGCTGAATCGTTTCGCTCACACTAATCCTTATATCAAACAATTGCGAAGCTTTCGTTTCACCACGCCGAATGATTAAACAAATTAGATCTTTCTCTCACTGGCACGCTAATTAAGTTCAACTGTCGGCCAAATCGACTTCATTCTACAACCCGGATGAACATATGGCTGCTAAGTTGATATTAACTTTTGTGAAAGCTGTCAATATATGAAAAAGAACCAGGGCAACAGGTTTAAAGACAATAGAAAGTTTCAGAATTACGCGCCCCAAATATTCCTTAGCATCAAGCATTCGTTTAGAAATAAAAACCGAAGAAACTGTGCTTTATAGCTGTGAATCTGAAAAGTTTAAAGACTGTTGTTGACAAAAAAACTTGGAAACTTGACTATCCTAACTTTTATACCGACATAGATATCACCCATAAAATGAAAATTGAATCTCTGAAAAACCTTATTTTTAAATTTGTCCGAAGATCGACAAAAAATTTAGTGAAAAATCCATGAAAGGAAGAAAAACTTGCGGTGAGTTGTCCACCCCATGGTTTTCGTCCCGTAGTAGGGTCAAGCTATTTACCGCTGCCAAAGAAGAATTCGGAAAACATAAGGTAGGAGTTAACTCTTCATCAAAAACCAGATTCAGGCCGCTGTGACTTCACTCCAGATCAAGCCAAAAAGAGCTACTTGAACGTTCAGCTAAACTGACTGCTAAATCGATATTCATTCTATAACCCGGATGATCATATTGCTGCTAAGTTGGTATTCCCTTTCGGAAAAGCTGTTAATAATATATGTAAACACCGGAACAACAGGTATAGAGATATTGGTAAGTTCTAGAATGACGTGGCCCGAACAGTTCTTTATGTTCAAAGATCTAGCTAGGAGATCGATTATACAGAGACTGGGAATCAGCAGGGAGACTTATTTAGGAACCTACATCAGAAGAAACTGTGCTTTATGGCAATGGAACTGTTCTAGGAAATGAGTTACTAAAGTTTGAAGACTTTTGTTGTTAGCACTATGAAAAATAGAAGCATCATATCGTTGACACCGATATAGCCGCCACCAAAGAAGCCTTCGGATAACATAACAAAATGTATGCTTAATGAATGGAATTATATACGCATACTTGGATAAAAAGTGGTTAATTTCTTGTTTAATCAGCGTGACGATTCTCTCTTCGCTCATACTCAAGGCTAGTTATTGCTTGCTCAATGCGACTCAGCAAATAGGTTGTTCACTAATTGCACTCAGTGTACATGGCGCAGCGTCCTGTGGGAAACTGTTAGATAAGAGGCTTTTGTATAATTTTACATGCTCTAAATTTCTTCCTAAGGTTTATTATTGTTTGTATTTACTTTTATGAATGGAGTCCGGATTGCAGCATTGACGTTCAAAGTACAAATACGGATTGAGCAAACTTGGCTCGCAGGGGTGCTCGCTATAAGTACTCGTCAATTTTCAGGTTGGTGAGAAACTGCAACAATGAAACGAATTTCAATTCACGACTGCGCAATGAAATAAATGGAAAAGGAAACGAATGCCCACAGAAACGAATGCCAAAGAAATCGAATGCCCAATCCAACATATATATATTGCAATCGAACTATGGGGTTTATGAATAATTTAATATTTAGGGGGCTCATGTTTTTGCGCATGGCCCAGATCAAAGGAATCTCAATAGAAAGCCACTACTGCCACTACTGATATCAATTTTATCAAGCATGTATCAAATTATTCTTGATGCATGATGATTTTCAAAAAATCTCCGAACTCAATCTGCTATTCAATTTCAATATAAATATTTGTGTGAAAAAAATCTGTTAGGATTGGACATATTTCAAAACTACTCAAACGCTACACCTTACTGATTGATGCCTGCTTTTCTATCAAAGTGAAAAACTGTTCAACAACATCATATATATATGATGGGTGACTGTAGGTTAACAAGAACTGCGCATGACTGTACTAGTTTATCTGCATCTGGCCTCAGTTTTGCTGTTATTCAACCTCAAATTTTCTCGCTTCATCTGCTGTAAATCTGGTTTTCCAGCTTAAAATGGTGGATGATTGAGAGATACCCCCTTTGAAATCAGATCGTGTATCACAAATCCTTTATCTGCCAGTACCAAATCCCCTGCCTCTAAATAAAATTTCAGATATGATAAGGACTTATTGTAATTATTAGTTATTCAAAGAATCGTCTTGGATAATGCGAAAACGGGTTAATTAAACATAACGTTCTTGGATAAAATATAATTTATAGTGGAATCCTAGATTTCCAGAATTTGATGGCAGAATACTTTACACCAATTAAATGTTAATGCCACATGATTTAAGTGCAGTTTCACAGCCCATATTATCTCTAGATAGATGGACTTTAATCTCCTTCAACCTGAAGACATCTTAATCCAGTCCCTACTGCAACTTAATAAATCTTCAACCAATCAATTCTCATCCCTTCTATTACTTCTAATTTTGTAAGAACCTTGGAACATTCTGTCATCATTTTATCACTCGTGCTTCCTGGGTATCCATCGCTCATGAATATAATAGCCCCATTTGGTGCCGTACCGACTAAATATTTTGCAGTCAGTCGACGCCTATAATTACTATAGCTGACAGAAGCTGCCTGCAGATCACATCTCGGAGTTTCAATGAGACCTACATGTTTACATACTTTATAAGTACACATTAACGTTCACAAAATTGATTTTTATTTGATTTTGATTTTTCGTTCAATTGCGCCTGGAGTTTTTTCTCTGGTAAAATGGCGCAGCGTGAACAAAAAATTTGGGAACGAATACTGTAGAACAAGGGTGCCCAACCCACGGCCCGCCGGACTGGTTTTTGCGGCCCGCCCTATAAATTTTGTAAGCAGACTTTTTGAATTTTTACTATGTTATATGGGCGAAAGTTTGTTTCGTAGTTTTGGTGTGATTATTCCATCCATCTGATCTATCTACATCCGGATGCCGATTGTTGGACACGTAGTGGACATAACGATCGTTTCAATATTATGTTGTTGTTCTTGTTCTTGTTCTTGTTCTTTGACACGTTTTTAAAAAGTCGCTTTTCTCTTCGAATACTGGACCAATTGCTTTGAAATTTTCAGTGGTTAAAGATTAATTTTTTCGCTAGAAGGCTATTACTTTTGTTTATTCTTAAATTTTATATGAATCCTATGAGATATGATATTTCATACAAAATTTCGCGGTATTTATTTTTACTCATGGGAACACTGTTTTACACTTATTTCAAGCGGTTTCGCGATCGATTGTCTTGCTCAGTACTACAGCTACTGTAGGTCGGTACTGGTAAGTTGCCATACAGGTACCGTAACGCAGTGAAATTGACTTATTCCTTCCGCGGTATTACTAATGCTGCAATGCAAGTTTTATAGCCTATCGTATGCGGAACGGAATATCAGACCTACAGGTTCGGTACCGGTACTGGTAGCTCAGTACGTAAGTACGATACTGGTACTGGTGCCGGTACCGGTGTCTTACCACAATGAAACAAGAGAGCTATGCTCAAATATATGGACACGTAGCGCCACCCAATGGCAATAATTTTGATGACGTCATAGCGAAAAAAAAAAGTAATAGCCTTCTGAAGAAAAATTCTATCTTCAACCACTGAAAATTTCAAAGCAATTGGTCCAGTATTCGAAGAGAAAAGGGATTTTTTAAAAACGTGTCAAAGAACAAGAACAACAACAACAACAACAACATAATATTGAAACGATCGTTATGTCCACTACGTGTCCAATAACTTATTCTTTCACGGTCCTACCAGTGCAGTAATGCAAGCGTTGTAGCACTTGTAGCCTACTATATTTGTTTATTTTGATGAGAGTCTACTGGAAATAAAATTTGAAAGGGAAGAATTGTTCTGTGATCAATTATATGTCCTAAAGTGTAAACAACATAAAATTTGCAAGGGAACAACTGTTCTGTGATCAATTACCGTATATGGCCTACAGTGTACAGGTAAGATGCTGGCTGACTGCTAACCGGTACTGGTAGCTCAGTACGTAAGTACGATACTGGTACTGGTGCCGGTACCGGTGTCTTACCACAATGAAATTACCGTAACTTATTCTTTCACGGTCCTACCAGTGCAGTAATGCAAGCGTTGTAGCACTTGTAGCCTACTATATTTGTTTATTTTGATGAGAGTCTACTGGAAACAACATAAAATTTGAAACGGAATAATTGTTCTGGGATCAATTATCTGTCCTAAAGTGTAAACAACATAAAATTTGCAAGGGAACAACTGTTCTGTGATCAATTACCGTATATGGCCTACAGTGTACAGGTAAGATGCTGCCTGACTGCTAACTCAGTACCGCTTGACACGTTTTTAAAAAGTCGCTTTTCTCTTCGAATACTGGACCAATTGCTTTGAAATTTTTATTGGTTAAAGATAAAAATTTTCTCCAGAAGGCATATTACTTTTTTTTTCGCTATGACGTCATCAAAATTATGTGACTCTACGTGTCCATATATTTGAGCATAGCTCTCTTGTTATGTATGTATCAAGTCTTGCGCCCTGATGGACATCGTCGTTAAGATTTTTTTTATTTCTCGCAGAACTGTGCGTTTTGTTCGACGAGCTTGATTGTGCGATCATTGGCGACAAAAGCTCAGCGCAATTATGGGGATGAATTTGGAACCTAAATTTCCAAATTAGTTTCACTCTGATTGTAGGCTTTGATCATCTTTATCGCCGACGTAAAATAAAAAGTCAACAATATCTTTGCCCCTTGCTCCGGGACACGTTGTTCTTTTATGTTTGTATTTTTGTGTATGTTGTGTTTGCGTTAAATAACAATTTGGAAATATCGTCACTGCGTATCCGTTAATAATTCTGATAAAATTGACCTAAATGGCAATTTTACCAATCAAATTAGTATATAAATATATTTGTCCAAAAGTCTTTGTAATGTTTCTTCATTATACTTGTATCGAAGTTTTGAATTTTACGAAACGGCCCACTGAAATTTAATGTTTCCGCGACATTGGCGCACATTACGTTCAAATATCATAGCCACTGAAAATAAATAAATAAAAAACACTACGACTTAAATATAGGACTCAATTTTGACGTCTTTGTTTGTTAGTGAAAACTGTGTGCAGATTCTCGTGTGGCCGTCAGAAATCCACAAGTGCGTTGTGTAATGATTGATTTTTTGATTGAGCGACTCGCGAATGCCATGTCCACGCCCCATGTTACCAGATATTCGAATAGTAAACTGCTGATATTCGAATATTTTGCCAGCACTAATCAGTAACCAGAAAATATTTATTAACTTGATTGATTTTATGTTACCGTAATAATCTTGCCTTTATGTATTATGTAAATTCTAATGAAAAACGGGACTTGGCTAGTATTAAAGTTTGTTACTAACGTTTGCGGCCCGCAACGATTTTCGTTATGTGAAAGTGGCCCGCGAGACGAAAAAGGTTGGGCAGGCCTGGTAGAACAATTTGATGCTCATTTTCAACATAGACAATAGTTTTAATTACATTTGTAACCATGAAACCGCAGCCGAATACCGCAGTATTTCAGACTAGTAATGCTTTCATCTGTAATGTACTCATAGGAATTTATCGCTGACTTTGAAATTTAGCTAACGGGGATATTTTTAAAAAAATTATTAAGCGGCTCATATTTATCAAATTACCAATATCGCAAAAATCAATTCTAATTATATTCGGGCAGTATAACATATATTTTTATGCACGCAGATTGTAGTATTTCAATGTAGTAATACTTTTATTTTATCATTAGTCGACGCAACGGCGAGTTACGTCCAAAATAATTAAATTATTATGGCAAGATTTTTTTAATACTCGTATCGACCATGGACGGATATTTTTCGCAACAGAAAAATCACCATGATTGAAATAGTCGGCAATTTTAAGGAATGGCGTAATCGCGACGACTGTTTCAATCAGAATTTCCGTTTCCAAATTTGAATATAAAATAAAAGTCATCAGGCATTTGTGGCGAAGTATAAATGTTGATTCTTTTATTTCTAACATATTATATTTGTAGAAAAGGGGTCACCAAAGCGAAGAATGATTATTTTAGATTGTACCTGAATAAATTACCTTTATATATTATTAAAACCTCTTGAAATTTATCATCGTGCACCATGATTAACACAATTTGTTTAATTGATTTGCATTGACTTTGTTTGTAACTTAATGTTCATTGTAATGCTGGGGCCGATGATAACGTGAAAGGAATGTAAGGGAGCGACATTACGGAAAATTTTGAGAACCTCTGGTTTAGAGTCTAATAATCAACTAATGGAGATAATAATTTAAATATAAATGTACCGTACAACAGGGAGAAATCCATATGGTCATTACGGTGGATGGAGTTTAGTAGGCTGCCACACATTTACTAATGATTTTACATCAAACATTGAATGAAGAATAATAACACTCTTCTGATCAAGCGTTTCATGTTTTAGTTGCAAGCAAGGATATAGACAAGCAGATCCAAGCCTAAACATTTACACATAGTGGAGGGTACAGTACTACACCTATTTCGGTATTGCCACTATTAACTTCAAGCGATAGGTGAATGATAGTGCTTAACCTTCATTAAGTGTTTTGGTCCGCCACCCCGAGCAAGGCTTTTGACAAGCATATGCATGCTTATTGATTTATAAACTTGGAAAAAATAAACTTGACTGTCATCCAAAAATTTCATCACCGAAAAATACAGACAATGGTTAACCGGTTTGTTATTTCATATATAGCAATCATGAAAAACCCTATTAACTCAAAATATGTATGAATATATTATGGTAACACAAGGATTTCAACTAATGTGCGTGGCTTAATTTTGCATATGTATAGTCAGATGGGAGTCTGGAACAATATATACAAAAATTGTTTGGCCATGACTGCTAGAAGGAATGGTGGTACTTTACGTAACACCATTTTGATATATTAGTATTAAAATATTGTTTATTATCATGGTGAATGGAGAACCATCCGGCTACAGTCGTTTAGTCATACCCTTCAGTGTGGTTATCAGCTGAGACTAAGAATTGAATAAAACAACGGGGTTGTTAATCAGCTTCAATTGTATTAGTGATTTAGAATACAGAAAACACTAGAAGTTATGCTTGAAACATTGTAAATATAATAGTAACTAATTTACCACACAGCAACACATCTGGAATGTCCAAATAAGCGGCATACATACGGTATTAGAATATGACAAAACTATTTTCTGAATTAACTGCCAAAATTTCAAATGCCCAATTATTTCACCAACTTTGTGTGATAATGTAAAGAAGGGGTCGCAACAGGCCCAAGCCATTTAGTGTTGCTCTTGTCAAAACTCAGATTTTTCCCCATCAAGCGTAAAATCTTAACCAGACAGTTTGTTTGGAAAGGTGCTCACACGGATAAAAATACATAATGTTTCCAAGATTTTGCCACTGCGTTAGATCTTTTGCCGCGTTTGATCTTTTGCCTTATTAATGTAAGGCTAAGGGATAGCCGCATTCCGCATTTTTATGTGGCACAGCTTGATGTCTGAAGTTGGTTATATGGCCCACCGACGAAAAATGTTGCATACCCCTGATGTAGAGGGACTCAGATTTCTTGGCATATATATTAGTTAATATATAATTAAACAATCTAAAAAAAATAAAAGGAATGGAAGATAAACACAATACTCTGTTTTCTAAGATTTATCTTTTATAAATATTTATCAAGGATCTTGAGAATCTTCTTCTGATTTGAGAATAAATTAAAAAGGATGTTATTGAGACATATGGTTGGTTCAAATGACTCCATTTATATATTGAAAAACAAAAGTGTATGCAGTTTTTATTTTACATACACTTCAAGTATTTCAACAGTTTTGAAGAAACATTATCCGTTTCAACTAAATTATTTGAAATCTTTGTCTGATCTATTTTCAAGTGTCCCGATTGTATATAGGACGTATATGGGCATATCTTTAAAACATAACCAGTATAATATAAGTTTAGTAATATATTTCAGGATATATAATCACACCATTAATAGTCTTTTGATATGCAGTGGGAAATTCTATATGTGAAAGCTATAATTGAATTGTAGCGCAAAATATAATTTCAGGAACTGAATCTACATGGACATACATTTGCAAAAAATGATGAATTTATACAAATAAACATTGCGAGTTAATTTTATGGCAAAATGAAGTAGTATAGCAAGAAAGCTAATTTACATTTCCATTATTGTCTATTCTCAGACTCTGGGAGCTCAATTCCTTTGACAGAAAGGCGAAACAGATGAGAGATATGCTTAAAACATATTTCACTCGGAATCCTCTCAAACCAAGCTGGAGTGTTCTCCTCAATGAATTCCAAGAAAGGAAATACGTCCTCTTTCAAGCTGTAAAAAAATTAAGTCTCATTTTATAAAGTAAATTTCACATTTGTACCTTAATAAGTAGAGAGATTAAATAACTTGGCCTTGAAGTGAATTATCATGTGAAGTGTAGTAAAATTAACAAAATTAGAGATTTATGAAAATTTCATGGCTCGACGGTGACCGTGTGATGCATCGAGCTAATCGTTAGGAATACGCTCACCACCGCACCTCTGATTAGTGATTACCCTGCGTGAGTGCACAGGTTCGAAATATGTGCAAGAGCATTGCTGGATTCTGCGCCGTCGTAGGGTGGTTCATGTAACCTATGGTCAGTTACGGCTTCCTCCACCATCAAGTCAGTGCATCTGAAAACATATAACTGGCTAACTAATCCCATACCAGACACGGATTGGTAACCGGACGAGAGGCCGTGGTTTGCCATTTGATTAAGCCGCCTCATCGGCTTTCCTTTCCTCTGGGAAAAATATAAATCCTATCCTTCATACAGGCTTGTCTCAGTTTTCATAGAATCTCTATAAATTAGTTCATATGAAATCGACTGTATTTTCAGCTTGTTTTGGTTTACTGGTTTATGTTTCTGATATATTTATAGCAATTGATCTAACTGCTAACAGCTTATCCTGACTGCAGATAAATTTATTTGGGGAAAGTTTTTTCTAAAAATATTAAGATTTTTGATGAATATTTAACAAATGAAAATGTGGAAAGGTTTTTAGTAGAAATGGGACGAGTACGATATGTGTCGGATTTTGTGAATCTAAGTTATAGGTAGGTCATAAACTTCAAACTACGTACGCAGGCTCATATATCCATATAAAAAGAAATGTGAAGTCTTGAAGTTATTATATGGCAATCTCAAAAAATGCAATTCTGGCTGTGGGTGTCACCGCAATCACAGAATATTCCAATCATACAGTTGCAATGCCTACATAAATGGTAAAGAATTGCTCGGCAATGGAATTTTGCAAATTGGATGCAAATAAAGTATTGGTAAAATGTGCTCTCAGGTTGATCCCCTTTTATTTTATGTTATAACAATTAGATCTGAAACGCTTTTTGTCAGGTATGACCAAAAATTACTACTTTTTATACAAACCCGAAACACAAATATATTGTGTACAAAAATGTATATATATATATTTTTTTAAATAATTCACCGACTCGTTATATTTTGAATTTCCTTCATCATCCAGTCCATGCGTCTGGAACAAATAACCGGCTAACATAAGCTAGGTACCGACGAGAGGCCGTGGTTTACCATATGTTTAAGATGACCTATCGGCTTTCCGCACCCACGGGATGAATATGTAAATCTTATCTATCGTGCTAACACATAATTGGTTTATTTATTCCTAATATGCTAAGGTCTTGTAAAAAATTTTCAGCGCAGTGGTTGTAAGCGACAAAGAGAGTGGGCTTTTACGTAGTCTAATAAAAGCTTGTAATAGTTTGCATGTGTATGTTTATGTCGATTTAATGTAACAAATAACATTATTTTAACAAAATATTTCTTTTACTGAGCTTTATAGGGATGAATTTAAAAAGTGGATGTGCCAATTTGTTAAAAACATGAATTGAAATAACGTTCGGTAAAATGACATGAATTCGACGTGGGTATCCAAATCTTGTTGTCACACCCTTTGCTTTAAGAAACAAATAACAAAGTTCAGGATGCAATTATCTGTGCATCCGAAATATGTGTGGCAGAAACTTGTTAACCTATGTTAGTTATTAGCCTTCTCAAACATAAGGCATAGTGTTTTGGTAAGGCTAACTAACGTACCTCCAGTCTGGAGTAAAGTCTGGAACTTTAATCAACATTTCATTAATTCGCTGTTGAAATAAATTCATGTCAGTGTGATCGAATGCATCTTTCAGTCTTCTTAGAACATCTTCATCTTCAATCTCCTCTTGAGTAACTAAAATATAGTTTCATAATGGTTGGTTAGAATATTTCAATAAACGCGAAGGAAATTACGATTAATGCAATGTGTACTTCATGTGATATTTATCACCATCACTGATGGGTATGCATAAGGCAGTTCACATAGATCAGTATTTATCTCTTTTTCTCGTGCATGAGGGAAAAATATTTTGTGAAGCGCAATATGTATATTCCTTGTTTCTTATTTATGAGGTACAATGATAAATACTAAATTTCCTTTATCCCATCATATAACACTTGTTTTTATTTAAATCTTTACTCCGTGCAATATATATTTTGCTGAGTAGAAAAAGTAGAAATATTGATCAAAATAATGGAATGATATCTATTTATAACGGCATATTATTAACCAATCCTGGTTCTGTTTGCAACTTCTGTGCATGGTAATTAAAATGCATTTGTGTGGCAATTACTAATGAAACTAAAATTGAAGAATATGATGCAAGTGAAATTACCTTCATACAAAGCTTCTTGATATGGATCCAGTCCTTGTTGAACAAAGTTAACAGCTTTGTGCCACATCAAGCGTTGATAAAGAGCCAGAGTGTGGCATGTGAGTGCAGATTTTGGTATCATTGCCATATGATTTGGAGACAAGAGTAAATTTTCTTCCATATATTTATGCAATTCCTTGCTTCCCTCAAATTTAATCTTTAAAATTGGAAGGTTCATGATTATAAAATTGACTTTTTTACTTGAATGAGGAAGCATTTTGTTACCAACCTTTGCTAGAAAACTGATAGCATGGGTCAAAGTTCTGACACCTTCACATACATCAGCAGGTGTGACATCTTGATTTGTAACTACCTCGTCAACATCTTGGGATAACTTAGGCGACAACGGATTCTGTATTGTAAATTGAAAAGTAACATAAAAATAAAGACAAAACTTCAGGTTATGCTCAGAAAGTCACATTTAGACAATAAATACGGACTGAGTATGAACCTAGGCCGATTGTTTATATACCCGAATTAAAATGCATTTCGATGACTGATACACATGCACCAAACAAATCAATCTTGGCCATGAGTCAACAGCCTCAGTGTGTTTCCTAAAATGTATCAAACCAAAGTGCTCATATCACAGATGCTATTTGTAACTAGCCTTAGAGACTTATTGAAATATGTTGATTTGAAATGAGATAAGATAGACCTATACAGTAACATTTATTTATAAAAAAAAAACATGAAACAAACAATTTCCACTATACCTGGGGATGTTTTTCGAGAACTTTGTCCCAGTTACTCCCAACTCCAACATCTTGTGGGTATTTCATGCAAGGCAATGACTGCAAAAAAAAAACATAATCATCATAATGGAATTTACTTTTCAAGGGTTTGTTATGCTTAAATGTCATCTATTGCTCGGGTTTTTCAAAGTCATTATAATAGAGTCCACATTCCACATCAGGGTTGGGACCATGCCATCAATCTCCGCAACAAGTCGAGTTCAAATTAAGTCGAGTCATATCCAAATCTTTCGCCTACATCTAAAGTAAAATACTAACACTGGAAAAAATGCAAATTAATATATGTGATTGACTTTAAATTTATACACATATATCGAACAAAATAAAGTTCTCGAAATATGGTTCAAATGAGTGGACGAAAGATTTAAACCATTGAACATGCCTAATTACACTCGCGTAGGGGCAGCCAGGAAATACAAGGCTTTTGAAAAAAAAAATTGAAATGCTTTGTGTAATTGAAAATTCTAGCATGTCCAAATTATCTTGATATGTTTACTTATTAGGTACACCCCACAAGCGTAAATTTTTTATTTTTTTCCCAAGACAACAAATCAAATCAAATAGAAGGCAATAGTCAATAAAATGTTAAGTCATATAACTCACACAATTCCTCTTTCTTGGCTTCAGTCAAGTTATACAATTAGGAAATTGTCAAGTCAGAATAGGTCGAGTATTGGGTACTATGACTATTCATTTGAATGTGACTAGCCCGATATTGTCACATATTCTGATTTTTTATGTATTGCTAACATTAAATATAATATATTAAAAAGTACCTTTTTGTTGATACAAGGTTGGTATGTGACATACTTTTCCCTGACCTGGAATAAAATATATGTGAATTTGCAAAGTGTATAACAGCTTTAACTCCGATTTACGTGATATTCAGAATATATGTTCAGTAGAAACAAATGGTGATTCTATAGCAAACCAATAAATTATATTTCACAAACAATACCAAAAAGAAATCATTGTGACAGTTGGTTTAAAATCAAATACTAACTGAGCAGCAGCTGACACTATAAAACAGTATAAAACTTACCTGCTTTTCAAGCGCATCAATGTTATAGCTGATTTTGTGATGACTTCCCAGATTATCTTTGGTGATGGTGTAGGAAGTATGCATGCGAATAAGTGGAAGAAGATCTTTTTGCTTGTCAATGCGAATGAAGTTTGAACCAAGTCTTGATACGTCCACAGTATGACTGTGATATTGAAAAGCACATATGAAGTTAAGTATGCAAACTCTTGATATATTTGGCCGATAGACTGGAGTGAGCGACTAATGATATTAGTCAATACCGAGACACTGTAGTGCTCATTAAAATTGTAATGTATTTGACTTCAATTGCGTAGGCTATACATATCGTACTGAAAAGTTCATCTACGCATTGTTTACTTAGTTTGAAGTTTTGAAGTTTTTAGTATCAAAATTATTACATACCCATTAGTGGTCTTTAGTGCACTGCTACACTTGTCTAAGAAATTGTTGTGAATATCGATAAGATATTCCGACAATACTTTTGCACATTTTCCACGTCCACGAGAACTGGGTAATGCCATTGAAATAGGACTGGATCTATTTATGTCTTTCAGATATTCTTTCATTTGCTTGTCAGGATGTTGGCGAAACACTTCATATATCTGTTTATTTGAATAATTTAATATCTGTGAGTGCCGTTTTAATGTACAATGTTCGATGTCAAAAGTAATAGCAAAGCTTTACTTTCAACAAGCCGGGAAGTTTGGAAACATGAATTTACCTAATGTCACATGGTCTATACAATTTCTGACTCATTAGGGTAAGTGATGGGATTGCACAAAAGATTAGTCCAGGGCTGTGTAGCCATTCAAACTAACTTCAATTAGGCTAAAATATTGACCAAAGCTCCTAACACAAAGGTAACGAGAATATTTCTACTCTGTGTTTGTCTCTGAGGAATCGGGAATACGATTCAATTTCTTAGAAATGCACAACCACGTCAAACTCACAAACTTTTTGTACCTTATATATTTTTTTTCAAGTTAATCCGAGCGCTTATTTATTAAATTGACCGATTATGTAAATATTGCTTACGCTATTGTTCCCATTATTAATGATTTGATTGAAATGAAACAATTTGGGATTTTACCTATCAAATTCAATGTTACTGTTATCATGTGGAGTGCAGCATTGGATAGGCAATAAAGTCTTTTCAATTTGAATCAAAATACTTCCATAATTTGTGACTCTAGTCCAGAGATGTTACCATTACTGTTTTAGAAATAGGATTAAAGAATAAAAATTATTATTACCGAATTCCAAAACTTTATATATTTGTCAATGTTATCTCGTTGTCTGTAGCATGAATTGTCCAGACTCATGTAATCATCGAAAGTGGTTGCCTCAGCTTGTCTCATATCTATTTGATTTTGATACCTGCATAGTAAAATGTTGCCAATTGAACTAAATAATTCATAAATTTGAATAAGATTTTTTTAAATATCTTAGGTTCAAGAAAATAACTTAGAAATAAATACAAAATCTGATAAATTTGTTACATCTCACCTACTGATGAAATTTTTCTGTAGCGTCAATACGTTTTCCATGTGTTGTAGCAAATGCAAATCAGGTGAATCAAGTATTATCTTCAGGACATGACCTACGTATATTAAAAACACTATATTTGATGGGAATGTCTTTTGTGGCAGTGGTTTCCAACATTTTTTCACATAACCCAAATTTTAAACAAATTGTAAAAGCTTACCACCCTGAATACATGCATACTAAATGACTTGTAGTGCTTTTATGTCCGCAAAATTAAATGACTAATATAAAGGAAACATTTTTACATAATATTTATTTCAACATAAATTAATTCAAATTTGTACTAATGAGGATAATGTTTGCCATCAGGGAGTTTTAGATATCATGGCGTGTGTTTATTTAATAAAAATAAATGTTGCCAAGATTTTACGCTATGATACTTCCTACGTATACAATTACTATTCAGTAACACTACAATACTAAATATAAAATAAACAATCATAAGAAATTTACTAGAGAATAAAATCAATAACTTTTAAAATTTTGTTGAAACAACATTGAGGCGTATTGTAGACCAGTGATTCCCAAAGTGGGCGATATCGCCCCCCGGTGGGCGAAAACGATACAGAGGGGGGCGAAAAAGTCGAAGGGGGCGATAGGGGGGCGATTTCGCGAAATCTGTTTCTGCTCATCGTGCACTTAATTTTATACTCTGTGTGCATTCGCAGGCTTGAATCACGTGGTCGATTATCACACGCGAATGGATTGCTGGACTCGTCTCCGCAGTAAGGTACGGTAGTTTGCGTATCCCAATGGTCGGCAAAATACGGCCGGAGTAAAAAAATCTGGCCCTTGGACGATTCACTGAATAGACCTATCTCCGACCTTTGAGCGCGGAAAATTCTTCCTATATACTTTACCATTTTAAAATTGTTGGTGCTTATTCTAAGAGTGGTTTCGCGAGTTGTTGCCTGTAAAATAGGCTATTTGTTTCAAACTATCATTCTAATTCATACCATTCAACAATCTGTTTTTTAAAAGTACTGATAAAAAATTTTAGCCTATAAATTATCACAGCTATTTCTACACCAATTTTTGATTACCGTATTTAAACTGAAACTCATAGGAAGACAAAGTAATCATTGACTTATATGATTTATATTTAAATTTCCGAAATACAACTAAAAACTAAAGAATATAAACGCGAAAATGAGGAACGTTCATGACCACTCCTGAAAGTCTGTCTGAGTGAGTGTGTCTGAGCGGATGCGAAAGGGGCATTGTTACGTTTATTTTTGCATCTTGCTGTTTGGCCAATGTCACAATGTAAAGAAGGATGTCTATGCCCGGGGAAACATCCAAACGGCGGTTTTGACGATGAATTTATTTTATTTATAATCTACGCTCGAGGAGTAAATTACATTTTTTTACGCAACAGAATTTATCGTGAGACACGTTTAGACTAAATTTTATTATATCCTAAAAATTCTATTGAACAGCTAGCTACTCGTTTAACGAGCCTACAATTTAATTATAATTAGAAAAATGGAAACACGAAGATAAAAAAGTTGATTCTGAGGGCAGGGGTTCAATAGCGCAGTAAATATTCGAATATATTGCAATACTATAAGGAAATAAAATTCATATTCTATTCGAGAGATTCAACACTGTGTAATTTTTGGAAGAATGTTTCTTCCTAAAGAAAATCTTTATCAAAATTTCACAAACCATGCAAGAATATTCACTGGGATTAGTGATGCCCATTTAGAAAATGTTCCAATCTTGGCGTCGTAAAGCTATCAAGCGTGATGCAGCAACAAGACAGTGTCACATTAAATGTCATTGTAATAATTTTTTAATAAGACGACTGAGTTGAGTTCACGAATTGTCGCAGTTTTCACGCGCTGTTCCGTTTTTAACTTTTAAAAAATATATGCGACCCGCAAAAGACTATAGCAACCCAAAATTTTGTCTCGCGAGCGACACAAATTTGCCGACCCCTGAGCCGTAGTCGATAGTCGGTCACAGCTTCTTCCACATCCGAGTCCATGAATCCAAAAACAAATAGCTGATTAATTCTATGGACTGGTGATAGGACTGGAGGCCGTGGTAGGATGAGGAATCGGGGATGAATTTTACCGAAGTATTTTGGTGCAGGTCATCAGGCTGTAGGAATGAATGAGATGCACGACAATCATTACTACAACTTTGGGAAAATTAACTTTGTTTTCATTAATTTAATGTGAAATGGGGTGAATTTAGGGAGTGAAATGCTATAAGGCAAGAGTACACGACGGTTTTTAAAGAGGTAGAACCCAGGATTCTTTCATTTCCGACCTAATATATGGTGAAAAAGGGTTTTCGAGCCGTGCTACTATTGTCATCAAAACCACGAAATCGCCTTTCCATCAGTAAACTGGGTAATTTCAGATATAATAAAAAAAAACTTGCTGAAGAACATCAAGCTCATCCATCTCATTAAAAAACACTATAAACTATGATTTGTCTTCTCATTTGGTCTGTAATATATTTGTTTCTGACTTTACATTTTTTGTAGTGCTGGGGGGCGATGAAGTTGTATAAACTACTCCAGGGGGGCGATGGTCAAAAAAGTTTGGGAACCACTGTTGTAGACCATGGGTCATTTCTAATGAAGAGGTCAAAAAGTTTCTTTTTATTATGGAAAATGGGTAATAAATAACCATTTGATGTCTTCATCAATGAGTAACTTGCGTACTGTTGCATTTTTTTTTGCATGTCGTATAGTCTTCGGTTTGTGTTTGTAGTTTTGAACTTTACATATTCAGTACAGGGGCAATTTCTATTTCATGAAATTTATGTGTGAAATCAAAGATTTACTGCAAAACATTTATAATGAATGAAAATGAAATATAATAATCCTTTCGAAGATTTATAAGATCATGGAAGGAAGTGCCACTCTGAGAAAATTGAATTTTTAGTCGGCTTCCAAATTCTTGGGTCACAAACATCTCCATGATTATTTAAGTTTTCTGTTTTGTTTAATGAGAAAGAAACAGATCAATTGTATTGCTATGCCATGAATGTTATAATGTCATTATAGCCAGTAGTTGGATACCGGTATATTATCAGTTTTTATTTTTAAATGTTATGACTGAATGTTAGCATGTTTTTTCCATTACTTCATGACTTAACGCGTCATCGATGAAAAATATGGTTGGTGCCTATGTAGAACGCTTTCAGTGGTTCACCATTGCACTTGCAGGCGCATCTTGAATATGCAAGGTCAAAAAAGAGGTAGAAAATGCGAATCAGATGATTTCAATATTATCTTCAAGAAACAGCCTATACGTATATATAAATATGAAAAATAATATTATTTGGTGATAATGTCTTTTGAGACAAATCATACATCTTAAGTATGCAAGATAAAAAAGAAATAGAAATGGAATGTGGCCAATTCTTAGTCTATTTCCAATTCATGGTTAATTAAAATTCATTAAATTTTTTTCAAAAATTTTATCGCTGGCCAGAGTTCGGTTAGAGATTAGAATGACCTATCTATGTTCATTTTTATTTCTATTATTCTTCATTTGCAGTGTAAAATTGTGATTTACATACCAGTTGATGCAGAATCCCGTACATATTGGAGTAAATGAGCAGCATTAGAATGCCTAATTGTTTTCCAAAATAGAGACTGGGACCAAATAAGTTGGTTTGGTGGCTCCTCAGTTTCTATTTCATTGACAATTCTTAATAAAAGGAAATTCGATTTAAAACATTGATCGGACATTGTGCCTTGTTAGAATGTATGAATTAAATGTAGCAACCTGTACAAAAGCATATCTTCTAGATTTTCTACATTGTTAAAGTTTTTCTGTGCATCTTCTAAAATTGCATCAACATTTTGAAACACAGGAAGTAAATATTCTTGTCTAAATTGTGCTTCCCAATTGCATCTATTATCCATGGAAGTCCAATCATTTTCATTTTCATCCTGTCAAAGACTCAAATTAATTTCATTCAAAGAAAGACATATTTATTTTATTCCAATATTTTTAAATTGGCAGTTTTAAAAATCAAGTCAAACATAGTGTAGATGATTTGGATGTTAACAATAGGCCAATTTGCTCATATTTCATCTAATACCAATTTGTTTTTATTGTATCAAATAATGTATTTTATTGCAAAATTTGCAAATACCTCTGACTCTGTGTTTAAAATGCTCTTGAAACAGCTGTGCATGATTGTTATTGCATCATCCAAGTTTCTGCCCATAGCATTAGCAAAATCATCCATGTTCTCTTGTAGCTTAGAGTGTAGATATTTTCTGGAGTCTTGAGGAGAAACTATACCAAGCATTCTGAAGACGTAGAAAATAAACATTTTACTGTTGGTTTGCTCTATTAATTAACAAACATGCATGTGAAAATTCGTGGCACCTGCAAATAGTTTCTTTATCATACTCTAATCCAACCAACATGCAGCAATGAATGATGAAGTGAACCAATGCAACTCCTTGTTTTGACATTCGATCTGAGGGATCATCCTTTCCAACTGTATCTGAGTTCAGTTGATATCCTGCTTGAGATTCTTCTGTTTGTTCAATTCTTTCATTCCCCTCTGCTGCCACATGTAATCGACCACCAATAGTTTCTCCGCAAGTCGGACATTTAGCTTCTACCATTGGTCGTGTACATTCACCAATAATGTATGGATGACCATTAGGACATGCATAGACCGCAACTTGTGTTTCGGCCTGAAGAGCATCACGAATAGAAAAAAACATTGATACGGGCATCCCAGGCCAAAATAAGTTTTCAACGGATGCGGGTTCAGTGCACAATCTTCTGAAATTCTGGAGTATTCTAGGTTGTAGAATAATCACAGAGCCGGATAATATTAAAAGTTGTTTCAATATATTGTTTTGTTTTTCGGATGTTCCCTGTATATGTTGGCCAAGTATTCTGATGACTTCAAACAAGAGCTCTGTGTCATCAATTCTTTTGCTTAGTTGTTCTTTGCAGATATCAGTATAATGATTATTAGCAAACGTAATTACTGCCAAAACTCTAGGTAATACAGTTCTAATATCATTTCCATCAGAAAAGCAGGACTTGAGTTGTTCTGGATAGTTTTCATGTGACATGCGATGTAAAATCTCTCTCATTGTTGCATAATTCTCTCCAAGAATTAGCCATGAATCTAACACTTCGCCATGCATCATAGCTTTCATTTTCTCGGGTGCAAGCTCTTTAAGTCTTTTGTGATTACATATCATATCGAACCATTCTGTCCCAAATGTTTGGCAACCAAACTTGATAGCAAATGTACTCAGCACATCGGTCTTATCATTGGAGCAAATGTCAATAAATTCATGTAAATTTCTATTCAGTCTCCGTCCTTCTTTTTTTCTAATATCAGACATGCTGATGTATTTTTTAATATATTGCCTCAATGTTGTAAGCATTTTCAAAACTTCCAGGGTAATGTTTCTATGTTTCTGAATGTTTTTCCAAAAGATTTTAAAATTATCATCATCTTGCACTTCTGTATTTGCTTCAAAAGCAGTCAAAATAACTGTTATAAGGTCTTCCAGTTGCTTGCTTGCTAGATTGCCACCTTCAGTATTATTTGAAAAAATGCGGTTAATTTCCTCTTCCACAATTTTTGAGTTATGTTGCATCAGAAGCTGGAAGATTTTACTTTTTGTCGCAATGTTCAGATCCAATGCTAGTGTTTCAAGTTCCATTCTCTCTTGGTTTGCTGATGTTTCTGTAATGAGCTCATAAAGAAAAAGTTTGGCTTGGTCTTTCACATCATGTTCTTCACTGGAAAGACAAAATTGTGACAAGTACTCAAGAAAAAAACTTGTGCAATTTGCTTGGAACTTCTGGAGTATTCTTTCCTGCTCCTCTGTTAATTTTGCTTGATCAGTTGAGAAATCGTCAGGTATATTTACAGAGCATTGAGGGCATTGTCGTCTCAATTCTGATGCTGCAAACATTTTATCGATGCAGTCTTTGCACACAAAATGTGTACAATTAAGTATGACAGGCTCTTTAGCCAAAACTTTTCTACACATTTTACAGCTTAAATCTTGCCAAGAAACCAAAAGGTTTAGTTTAATGTCTTCATATGACTTCCGCAACACATTCGACAATATTTTTAGAAAGTCTTGGTCTCGAGAACCGTATCTTTGCAAAGGTTTCAACAATCTTTTTGCGTGGTTGACAATGACTTTCACATAATTGGTGAACAATTCATCGTCTGCATTTGGTAAAAGCTGAAGTAAAAGCAAATCAAGCAATGATATTGATTCCCATCTTTGAGATATTTCTTTCTTCAGTTTCTCGTCAATGGTCAATTGCTTAGATTCATGGTATATTCTCTTGCACCTGTTTGTTAGATCCATCCAATCAACACAGGATGCATCATCAACAACAGGATATTTTCCAAGCCATTCTAACATCTTTTTCAATGCTAGAGCATGAATGATAAAGTCCTGGGTGTGTTTCTGTTCTTCAATCCAAATATCTGTATCATCAGAAATACCAGGGGATATTTTGAATATTTTGCAGATCATACACAAGTGAGGGAGATATTCTTGCAAACAGTTGTAAACAAGAGTTGCAAAATCTGTACTCTCAAATACTTCCAGCCTATTTTTCAATCTGTAGAATATTGTGAGTAAAATAGCAACAAGTCTTTCTTGTAGAATTTCTTCTATATCACCAAAATTTGGATTGCATTTTAATGTGTCAAAAGCATATGCTCGAATTACTTCTTCACCATTTTCTTTATATGTCCTAGTAATAATTTTAGCCTCTGGCTTTCCATGGAACATGTTTATGAACATTTTCTGTCTTGTTTCTGAATCTTCACTTTCTATAGTTGACCAATTTTCCAAAAATACACCATTCAAAGCATAGCTAAAAGGAAACTGAGGTGAGAATGTTTTGGTCAGATGATTTTCTAGATGCACATTGAATTCTTGACGACCTTTCATTCTATTCCACTCCAGTTTTATTGTTTTGAATAATTCAAACCACATTTTCTTCTTCCAGACCTTACAATCGGTATTGAAAACAAAATCCAAATTGTTATTTTCATCAATACTGCCAACGATAAAAGCCAATAGCTCTGACAGATGTCGCTTAACACAGAGGCTAAGAGTTTTGCCAAATGTCCCACCTTCTTGCAGACGTTCCGCAGACTGTGCTTCTTTTTCCATCCATGAATGGGGGGACATTGCAGTGTCTGAATCCCGTTGGTCATAGATTTCTGTCATGCATTTTACTAAAATACTCAAAAATTCACCCCTGAGATTAGGCATTTGTGCAAACGATAAAGTGATATATCTAATGCATTGGAGATTTCGTTCATCAGTTCCACTTTTTCGTCTTATTCGTGTCATTGCTTGGCAAATGCTGTCCTTCAGTAATGCTATGAAATTAATTCCTTCTTGATGTGATATTGTGTGCTCGTCTATTTCTTCCTGTCCCATTCGCAGTACATCTGTCAGTGTTTTTCCAAAAAATTTACTAACAATAACATTGCCTGCTCCAGGTGGCCTCAAGTCATCAACGTAAATAATTTGTACACTCTTTGTATGCTGGAGCATGAGTTGGGGCTGTTTTTCAGTATGGGATGAATGCTGTCGTTGCGTTGAAAGTAGGAAAGCTACAATAATTTGAGAGTCATGCTCTTGTTTTGTAACATCTTTAATCATATTGGTCAGGCAATATTTTGCACATGCTATGAGTGATCCATGTCTTTGAGCTTGTGGACATTGCACAAGAAGAATTTTCTTATCTTGTGAAATGTCGGCTTTAAAAAATGTTTCCAGCTTTGAGGAATATTCCTGTTGCGTATCAAAAAGTAGAAGGGAAACCAGCATTATGCTGTTTTGACCGAGTGCAAGGGTAGATTCAATTTTTTGTCTGTCTTTTTTTGTGAGAATGTTGGAAAATGAAGTGATTTCCAGCATCGTTAGGTTTCTTTTGCTTGTTTTGAAAGTGTGATCCAACAAATGAAGCAAATTGGCATGGACTTGATCGTTTGTATAAATATCCAACAGTCGCTCTTTTTCATTAACATTGGCTCTAAATATTGCATCTGTGACTACAGATTGGAGGAGTACACTCTTGTATAATTCAATATCTCCGCTTTTGTCCTTGGCTAATATCACAGAGCTTGGAGTATTATCATGATAACCCAGAAAAGCATCTTTCTCATTGAAACTTCCTACTTTTGCAAAAGTTTTGCACCACGTCTTCAAGTTATCAGATACACAAAGTTGTGATTTATCCAGCAAATTGCTTGATGCAAGATGGTGTTTCTCCAATCTATTGACAAGAGGAATGGGATAATGCTGATAGACGAAATCTTTTTGCTCCATAACTACTAACCGAAAATTGTTTGCTATTCGGCATTTTACTCTGTGGCCACCCAGGCCTATGTCAACGTACCTCTGTCCACCATAGATCATGTAATGCTGGTTCAGTGCATCATACAAAGATTCATGAACCTCTTGCATACCTAGCAACACCACAGTGCGACCTGCTTCCATGCACACTTTAATCCGGTTTATGTTCTTGCATATTTCTGTATATGTATGGTCTCCTGGAAAGCTTGAACCAACTATTACCCGAACTTTTGTATGAAAATCTTTCATAAGATATTCTAACATGGATACAGAAGAGCGCTGATTTGTCAGCAACAGGAGGAACCTGCTGTCATTTTCTTCCAAGTTATCTTCAATCATGTCACTCACAGGCTTTTCTTCCACATCATCGTTATACATGCACTGTTCTTTCACAGCATTTGTTAGCGTTTTGAAATGGGACTCGTTTCCACCACTGAAATTTCTTTGCACAGCATATGCGATGTCACTGAAATCATATTGTTCTTTGTTTTCGCTTTTGGCATTGATCATTTTGATCATACTGTAGTAATCTCGTAATCCAAAGTATTCTTTTGATACTTGCTTATATCTCTGATTATGGTATATATTCAGATAAGCTTTTGTTAGCCCTTTTAAAATATCAGTTTCTTCTTCCGTGAAATGTCTTTGTTTTCGCATTATGCTTTTAGCAGTTCCTAAAAGGTCTTCGCCATTTGGTGTACTCCTCGTGACGAATATACCACGATTCATTTTGGCAGGATCCAAAGCCCAGTTCGAAATTCCTACAAAACCAACCTTGTCCGTCGGTTTTGTATTACCAATTGTTCCGCTTTCTGTGCTACCACACTCTAGTAGTGGATGAAGTACCTTTAATGGCATGTTGGGCGTGTCTTCTGCAAGGCCAATCTCATCCAACACCACAACTGCCGAGTACGAATTCGGATCCTCATGGTCTTTCTGTAAATCTGAACATTGCTTGAAGATTCGCTCTATTCCTGCGGCATCTGTTAGAGCACTACACTGGTACGATATCATATGAATCTGAAAATACAAAGATTTAGAAAATGTTTATGCAATGAAAGATTTATATGAACTCAATTAATGAACATATATACAATACCTGCTTGAGCCTTTTAAAAAGTTTAGATTTTGATGCTTTTCCTTCCATGTTGTCTGCGACTATAGTCTTTGCCAAAGACTTCGAGCTACCAGGTTTTCCTACAAGAAAAAGGGGTATGCGGAGCTGGCAGCATATTGTAATAAGATAGACATTTTCTCGTAGTGCTTCATTTCGTGCGATGTTTGTATCTATCTTTAAATTTTCGAGAAATATGTTCTGGCATTCAATAAGGTCTTTGTTTATTTGTTGTTCAGTAAGATAAATATTGTGTTCTTTCAGGCGTTCTGAGATGTGTTTTCGAAAATCTTGTCTGTTATCTAGTGAAACATGATAACAGACACCTATTGTTTGAATCAAGCAACAAAGTGTAGATGAAATTTTTGTCTGATGTTTACTAAGTTTCTTTACAATTGTAGGAAAAAGAAACTTGTGCTGATCATGAAAAAACTGAAAAAACATTAGACATCTTTCCACATCCCTAAGACTGACATATCTGCACTCATCTTTCATCCTTACTTTCATGTAAGACTGTGCACTGTATAAGATGTAATCGAGTAGCTCTTTTTCTTCGTCATCCAACTTTAGTTCATTAGCCAAATGTTTAGTCATCTGATATATGTACTTTTGTTCACATTCTGAGCTGAGTTGACCAAAATCCCACACAAATGGTTGCATGCTTGGTGGCAGAGGAACAACTTTGTAAACAAGTCTTCGAATTGGTATTTTACCAAAGCAGTGGGTAGTTTCAGAAGCAGATACTCTGTAGCCCAGGCCAGAATTTTCTAGTACCTGTATAGCCTTTTCCGACAAACTTTTATATGGATTGCAAGCTGCAACGATTTGGAGTTTAAAGTCATGAAATGACTTTCCATTGATTGTGTTATCGCAAACAACTTCTTTGATGGCATGAATTGCAGTTGTTGTGTTAGCTTCATCATAAAACAACACTGTGCTTATGTTTCTGGCAGCATTCTTTTTGGCAATTTCATTTGCCTTTTCAACACTTCTGTAAATGTCTTCAGCCATAACTCCGCCATGTACTTTCAAAGTAACCATGTTCCGAACATTTTCATCTCCAGCTGCTCGAAGTTTGCTCATAAACTCAACCATTCTGGTTTTTCCACAGCCTGTTTCGCCCATCACAATGACCGGAATATTGCATTTAAGTCTCATGTATATTGCGAGTATTTTGAGAACATTGTCAGTTGTCAGCTCATATGTTGGATCAGGGTCATCAGCACTTAGTGGAAGTCCCATAATGGTTCTTAGTGTGTTTAACTTTTCGACTCTTGTTTTTTCTTGAAAATTGAATTTAAACTCAAGTCGCTGAGCATGCAAGCCTTGGATGAGTTTCCTGCTAGCTATTCTATGTTCCAAAACACTTCCGTCCTCATTCAGTAGATCTCCATTTTCATTTAATGCCACATTAATGAAAGTCATGGTTCGGTCTTCATTGAAAAACAAATAAGGATGAGATTTTTCTTCCCATTCTCGCCTAACCTGATGTCTTGCAAGACTATCTGGGGTCTCATTCACATCCTTGCTACTTTGATCTGCTATCTGCATTGATGGCGTTGCGAAATCTTGAGACATTCTTATCATGAACTTTACGGCAAAATCCTTTAGACCTCTGAGCTCTGTGTCCTGCCACGTTTGTCCCCCTCCCATACTGACTTTTTGGCAGAATATGCTTTCTTCACAATTTTTCAATTGAACATTCATGAAACTTGCAAAATGTCGCAGTTGAGCCCATGTTGGATTGTCTGACACATAACTATTCAAAAATGTCTCAATGCAATCTTCTTGATTTCCTTCTGGTTCACGATATTGAAAGTCATCAAGATTTATATCTTTAACTGCTGCATGTTTCAAGTATTGATATGGTCTTTGGAAAGTGCTTGAAATGAATTCTTTATATGCCATAAGTGTAATATTTTGTAAACCCTCTTCATCGTATATGCATTTGAATTCTTCAAATTTGTCTTCTGGTATCATTTTGTTTATGAGTGGAATCACTGAATTGGGAAATCCACTGTAGTCGAGTAAATCGGTCATGTATTCCATGCCTTGTACGCTCTGCTCTTCATACTGATAATCACTCAACAAATAAATTGCATTCTCATGAATGTATTCATGCACTTTTTTAATATGTTGGTAGTAGTCAGTGTTAGGTATTGGTAATGGCAAGTGATGTTTCAGGGCTTTTAATGTTTTTGATCGAACATTCTTAATTTTTTTCAGTGAATCTTGCGGAGAGAGGCATATTACACGTGGAAGCATATTCAGAATACTGTTCTTTGAAATCTATTTAAGAGAATGTGTAGAAAAAATCTTAAGCAAAGAGTGCTGATTTTAGTATATGAATGGGAACTTTAGGCTTACCTGTTGTCTGTTTAAGTCGCTTCTGGTCAATTCAATTACATAAAGATGTTTCTGTTGCCTGTTCCAAATTTTTCCCTAACATTCATTTTAAATTACAAATAAATATGATGAGAATGGGAACAATTTTGTTCATTTACTAAATGAAAATGTACCCCAGAAATATTTGATGTCTTATGACAGCACCTAGTTACCACACAAATATAGAATAAGGTCCATTTAATTCATTAGAACTTTTTTATGATGTGAACAGCTGTGAAACATGAAGTAAAGTTTTACCGCTGGTGTTAAGTCTATGTGAATGAAGTGATTATTATCATTATGAATTTCCGCCGTTCGATAGAGGCGATCAAGAATATGGTTTGTGTTGATAGTTTTCTCAAGCAGACGTATAGTTGTCTTATGCCACAAATCCGGTGGGTCTCCATTTTGTAAATGATTATCTGTAAATTGTAACAATATGCTTGAGCACAATATCAATTCAAAATGTTTGCACAGAATGAAGTATATATAGTTTCATGAATATTTCCATCAGAGTTAATTTATATCACTCATGGGTATTTAGAAGAGTATGCTTGAGTTTTATTCAGTGAGGTGACTTTAAAGAGCAATTTCTGATAAATATTTTACTATTACGGCCTAATGCCAAAAAAGTACGGTATAATCAATAAAAAAAATGTTGTTCAAAATATGTGTCTAGTGAAAGGTTGAGCGCAAATTTTATATATTTACTTTAATTATTGCAATATTTTTCTGTAAAATTTTGTAACTAAACAATACTACAATTATTATTATAGCTAAAATCATCACAGTGGAATTCACAATTGTATTTACATAATTTTCAAAGTAAGCTATCCTTGAAAAGGACCTGACATTACATATTTGAGATTCTATACCAATGTGTTTACAGCTAAGGCTCAACATCTTCAAATCTATGCTTAATATACAACTGGCATTTTTTGAAAATGTTCCAGACATTTTTCTTCCACTATATAAACTGTAGGAAATGTAAACATCTTTAAAAACCTGATATTATAAACACTATTAGTACTGTAGCCAATATGTGCATTCTGGTGTAAGCACGTATGGTTGTTATGCGTGGAAGAGAATGTCAAAACCTGATGTGCTTTAAATCGTCCAGATGTAAAAGTACATGTATAAATGACGTAAGCCAACACAATAATGCATAATACGAGAATATCGGTCGGAGACAGAAGACTTATCGATCGAAACTGCGGTTTCGATTCATGACTCTATAGTGACACCGCATGTCCCATCACTAATTAATTGATAACTCACTAATTATACGACATAATTTATCCAAAATCAATAGGCTCTTGGTTCGAAATATGATGAATGCACATGCAATTTGGAGCAGAATCAACCACGCGTTTGTGAGATATCGCGTGCATCTAACAGACAAACAGACAAATACCTATCAACATACTTACCGATCTAAAGATCGATAAGTAATAATCACTATCACATTAATAATAATTTAATTTTCTTGTCTAAATACCATTTCTTGGCAGAGGCTCGTTTTTGGCCACAGCGGTGAAACGAATGCTTTCATACTCTCCAATGCTTTCATTTCCCAGATAGAGCAATATTTTGTCAGAATTCCATTGAGTTGAATCTTTTGCCACTCGAAACTGATATTAAAAAAATTGATAAAAATAAAAAAAAAATCTAAACAAACAAGTGTGGATGAGTAAGAGGACGTCATCCGTATCGCATATCTCAGCTGCCTCTTTAAATTCAACAAGAGCGCGATGTTCAAATATATGGACACAAAAGCCAAAACATAGTATGCGTTCGGTTATGCGAGTCACAGTAGAGTACCAGCGCGGCAATCATCGAGACTAACGAGGAAGCGGAATCGCCACGAGCTGTGCAATTTTGGATGACGCTATCACACAAGAACGAATCCCATAAAATCCACAGAAATTTGCTCAAACATACTGTAACTGATACAAAATTATTTACATTTTCATCTTTATTATGTTCGCTTTGTGTTGTTTAGGCTTGTTTTGTTAATATTTGGGTATTTTGGAATGCGTAAGAGCGAATTAAGATAATTAATCTTATGGCAAAACAAGTTTTGATACTCTAACAAATCGGTAGTTGAACACCCCTTGAGAAGGGAATATGTTTGACTACCGAGGTATCACTGTATCAGGCTAACATTTGAGTAATTTTTTTAGTCACCGTCATAGTCAAAGAAACACATTAATCGTCTTTAGCTATATAGAAAAAAAAAACAGAATTGTAACATATAAATAAGCACTTTAAGATTTTTTATTGTCTTTCTATTCTATTTCCATCCCTATTAATGGTTTACGTCATCCTTCTTTTTGACAAAATGTCCAATGTTCTTCCACAGTTGTGAAAACAGTATGTTATAATAACAGAATCAGATATAAATACTGTATATTGAAATTTAGGTGGTATGATTCGAAATATGATTGAAACAAATATTTGAAACTTACATCTGTAATGCGAAGTTTCAAACACTGTTCAAACAATTTCTGACTGAAAATTACTGGGGTCATTTGAACTATATACAAACAATGCCAATCATATTCCAAGATACCGCAATTTGCCATTTATTATTTTTCGGCATATGATACTTACCACATGATGGTCTCTGCACCAGTCGAAAAACGTCATGTCACTGGTTAGAACTATCAGTTGGAATTCTTTGTTTGCATGTACAGTTGTTGATAATGACTCTGATAATTTTCTGAGTTTGTTTGCAACCTCAGGTCGAATTCTCTCTCCATAAGCAATTGTGAAAAGACGTTTATCTGTGTGAATTTATAAAACACTCTCTGTAGGAAAGGTGAGCCACGGCGGTGCATGGGACACAGTGAAAAAATCAGATCTCACACTCATACTATATCCAGAATCAGTCATGCGTTTAGATGTTTGATTTTTCCCGAGTGTATTCGAAAAAGTAAATTATTTGCTTTTGGATGGAATTAGACAAGTTACTGTTGATATATATGTTAGTTTTGTTTAACACATTGAACAGTGTAGTTATTGAAAATTGGTTTACACCAGTGGTGTTCAAAAGTGTCCCAACCTTCACCACTACTTTAGCTTATTCACCCCTACTTTAGCTTATTGAAATGCACTTAAATCAACCCCCTTATAATGTAAGTAAAAATTTTGTAATACCTTGTCTTTGAGATTTGCACATTGCTCTTCGCATGAATCTTTCAACTTCTTCCTCACTAGTTTGCTGGCAACAAAGTAAGACTTCCGGTGCAATTGGTAACGGTTGTTCGGGGTTTGTCATGTATAGTGATATGAGTGCTGGTAGAATGTCTGGCTCAGGAGTAAATATGAGGTTGACTTTCCCATTATTCATGGGTGTTGGAAGTGTTCTCATTGGTGTGATATGGTTTGCATCACGATTTAGGACATCCAGAAAAGCACGCATGTGAGGAATTTGATCGTGTTTCTCAAACCATCGCTTGTTCAACTGTTTGTCCAAGTTTTCGACATAGAGCGATTTTCCTGTTGAGGGGTAATTCGGGTTATCAAAGTTTGCAATTTTGTGTTGCACTCTCTTCGCAAGAGAAAATTCAATGCCAGCATGTTGGAGAAAATATGACAGTGTTCTTATTATTTATTATTTATGTTGTTTATGATGTTTATATTTATATATAATATACTTTTTACTCCAGTAGATAGGTTTACTAACCAACTCCCGATCTGCTAGCTTCCACTATTTTAACAATCGATGGTCCGACTTCATCACATGTTGTGCTTAAATGTTTGTCCAAGTAATTTAGAATGTCATCAAATGATTTCCGCTCTAACAGTTCGACTTGGTGCTGAAATTTATGAATGTTTATTTTTCAAATCTATTGCAGATGATACTGATAGTTTTAATTCAAATCTTTAGTCATTTTCATCTGAATACATATCGTAATATAAATATATTGTATCAAATTGAAAAAATAGTTAATGATTTCATTAAAAATTTAAGCAGAAATGAAAAACTGCTAGGCTACAATGTTTCATAAAATGAGACAAAAGTTTCAAATATTAAATAGTTTATGTTACTCAGTGGTTATCAACTTTTTCAAAAAAATACCATGACGGACCTTTAGAAGAAATTTTGAAATTAATATTACAGAGCTAAAAACGTAAAAAAATATAAGCCTACGGTTACCGTGTGTCAATAGCTAAATATGACAGTTGAAAACTAAAACGTACAGCCTTTCTGACAACGCTCTACTTAATGTAGGGTTGCCAACCGTCCTTTATTTCAAAGGACAATCTTTTAAAAATAACTATACCATGATCTCTTTCAACGAAATAGTAAGTATATTTGTGAGCTTTCGTTAGATCATGGTCTAACTTCTTCAAACAATACAAGATATAACTGTAAATATAAAGATCACAAGAATTTAATTTATTTTAAAATTAAGTTTTCTATAACTGATTTAGATGCTATGGTAATTTAATTCATATCATCTCCGAACTGTCGGTCTAACTGATGTGGTTGGGTTGAAGTTCGTCTATTTGTGTGGTTTCCCTTGTTTGCTTTTGAACCATGTTTGTTTGTGTGCCACATGTGACCCGCCGCTTCATTATTTGTGGCCCGCATCGCGAGGGTAAACAAAAAATCCTATTTGGTGTTGTTTTGTTATAAAAATAACCAGAAAAATCTTTCGACATATTGTTACATCACAAATGTCACTGAATTGACTAGTGTTATGGCTAGCTGAGACAACTAGAGAAGTTAAATAATGTGCTTAGCTATTTTAAATTGTTAACTGGCTTCCTATTTTTTGGACGCGAATATATGCTAACGAAATAGGCTTTATAGAAAGCTAAAAATCGAATGAGGAATCTATTAGGCTGGGTTGGCTATATCTGATTACTGGATATTTATGTAAGCAGAGAATAATATAATTCCCGCCGAGTGTTGCAACCAGCCTAAACAGTATTACAAAAAGCCTATGTCAGAAAATTCAGTAATTCTACCCTCCTCCTTGTAAACATAAGTTTGAAAAGAAAACTGACTAATTCAAACAGATTTTTGATTGAATAATGGAGGGAAAATACCACAATGCTTAAAGTGTCTGTGACAATCTAAAACGGCATTTTCTTCGTTATGAAGAGATTAAGATCTTACACTTAATGTAGATATAATAGGATTCAATGTAGATAAATGACAAATAAGGATCAATGTGTTTTGACAATAAAAGCGTTTGTTTTGTATTGCACTGTTTGCCTTTTCTGAGCACTATTGGGGCCCGCAAACGATACAAAAATAATAGTTTGGCCCGCGAAGCCGACAGCCTTGGACCACCTTGCACTAAACTGTATACAGAATGCAAAACAACAAGCAGTAAATGGCACTTTATCTTGAAATGTTTCATTCTCAAGTGTTTTATTGTTTTCAAAATAGTTTCATTTTTGCTCTCAATTCCCGGAACCTCAGCTTGTTGTGAACGCATTTTAGTGTAATGTCATCTAAATAACGCAGTGAAAAGAACAGATGCTCCATACAACTAATGAAAAGTGAGCTTTTAATATATTTTAACTTGAAAGACACGTGTCGTGAATTTTCGAAAAAAATAAAACGTGATCCACAATTGCTGAAGTCAGCAAAGAGTCAGTAGAAATAGAATTATAAACTTATGCAGCTGCAAAATTAGAGCTTGTTTGGGACAATGTTAATAAGCATTAAATGTAAAACATATGAAGAATTTTTTAATATATCCTTTTAGCTTGTATATAATTTTTATTTCATGGTTTTATATTGTTCCTTCCTGCAAGTTACAAAATAAATGATGACGGTAATCTATGTCCTTTATTGAAACTTTCCATAGTTGGCAACCCTAACTTAATGGTATCTACCTTTCAATATTAAGGCATAAAACAACATTTAGAAGCGGACTGGCATACTTTATAAACACCTACTGTAACTCCCTCGTATACCAACAAACATGCAAAAAGGCAGCGTGAGCCACACCTCTGCAGTTAGTTAACTTGTAATGGCAGCAATTGAACTCTCTCTAAAATATCACAGACCCACGGCTTTGTGACATCACCATGGGACAGCGTGTTCAAAACAGAAAGTGGGGAATTAGTGTCCCAAGCAGTGATTGTGAAGCGGCAAATGTGTATTTGCAAATTTATGCAGTGAATTTTGGCATTATCAAACTATGAGCCATCTAACAGATTTCTTTTGCGGACCCTCCCAATGTGCTTCATGGGCCTAAAAACGTCCGCGGACCCTAAGTTGGAAACCACTGTTCGGTCAGTATTCTGCAAGTTAACGACGTTGTATTTAAACCCTTTTTGTGCGCTTCCTAGGCTTCTGATATTTCAGTACAATAAAAAATAGTAATATTTCTAAATTCCCAAAGGTCGTTCAGAAATGTGTATGCGCATAGCACTATAAAGGTTAATAACAAAATTTTGACTGGAGACTCTACAAGTGGAGCAGACAGAGCATGCTTTTTGTATGGAAATTGACTAATACCAATTTATTACACAAGAATTGTTTTGTATTCATGTCTTCATATAAAATTCTCGAAAGCAGTAGAATCTCATATTTTTTTACAGTATTTTACTAGCACTGTCAGAGCTGAGCGGTCATGTATGCTACAACCGTGGTTCCCAAACTGGGGTCCGCGGAGCTTTTGGGGTCTGTGAAGCACTTTCGGAGGGTCCGCGGAACAAATCTGTAATGTGGCTAACAGCTTGATAATACAAAAAGTGCTCGAATTTGCATATACATATTGGTCACCTTTTGCTGCTTTGCTATCGCCGCTGGAGACACTGGTTCTTCACATTCTGTTTCGATCACAGTGCCCCATTGCGATGTCACAGATCTGTGGGCCTGTGATATCACAGAGAGAGTTCAATTTATGCCATCACAAGTTTACTAACTGCAGAGCTGTAGCTGGCACTGCCCGTTTGCGTGTTTACCAAATGTCGAAACAGACTGGATGTCACACATGTCATTAGAGTTGCGCTTTATATACATTATGTTCAATCCCCTATTTTTTGTTGTGATTTATTAATGTTTTGTTTTAGTGCACAAGTCCGGAAATCATTAAAAAAAGTGCAAGGGGTTCGTCATGAAATTTTTTTCAAAAAGTTTGGGAACCACTCACTGTGCGAGCTTTTTTTATACAAAACTTAGAATAAGATTAAATGATGATTTGAACGCAAAGATTGTTTTGCGTCAATTTTACAAAAAATGTACAAGATGTAAATGAAGGTATTGATACAATTTAGTCATATTTTAATATATAACAAGAAGCCAAATGCATCATTTTGAAGAAAATGATATTTGCAATAACCCATAGAGAGTTTGAGATTGTGAAAAATAAAATCCGTGTTTCAAAATAATAGACCCAAAGCATGTAATTTGAGATCTAAAAGTAAAAATAGTTCTAAAATTAAGAAAATTTCAAATATTTTGGGCAGGACTTTTCCTTTCTGAATCTAGCATGAAACCTTACCTTATCAAAGCATTCACTAATATAATGTTGCTGACTACCGGATAAAATCACAAGTTGATAATCTGCATTTAAATGCCTTTGCTGTTGCAGTAGTTCTTCAAATATATCTTCGACTGACTTTGATACCTTCGGTTTGAGCTTTTCAGTGAAGGCCAGGCAAAATAGTGGTTGACCTTAAAAAAAAAGAAGTTTTTTTTTTAATTTGAAAAATTATTGTGCAGACTTATACCTGTGTGAATAAAATAAAATCTAGCAAGGAACATCATAGTAGATAACAATGCACTACTGCCCAGGGCTGCTGCTGCTGCAGGGATGCCCAAAAAGGATTGACTGGTTTTTGCATGCTAGGCACACGTGATTTGTCTTTCTTTCTAACAATGCTTTGCAATTTGTTTTGTCAGACAATTGTGTTTCATTGAATCTGTCGGCAACAGCTTTTTAATAAATAATTTTTACACATTTTCCTTGCATATATATTTATTATGAAGGATGATATTGTCAAAACTCACAATGCTCTCAGTTAGAGAAAGTTTGTTTTCAACTTTAAAATTCAGGCGTTAATAAACATTGAATAATTTTTTTATTATTATTCTTATCTTTTTAAAAAGTTACCCACGTTATTATCAAAAACTTGGCAAATTTTTCTATTCTAATAAGGTTACAGTCAAGGTCATTTTCAACTTTTACTTATTCCACCTGAAACAGAAGCTAGTCTGTGAACAATACAATATGACTAGAAGAATTATGATCATTTGATAACACGAGATTATTATGCCAATTTACTTTTTATATATGTAAAAAAGTAATTTCTGATATATATTTGGCATCAATACGACAACATAACCAGTCAATGCCAATAAATTCTACGCATTCTTATGCCGCAATAATTTCTGCCATCTGCTCCGCAAATCGCTTATTATTTCGCAACTGTGTACGTTCAGACACATTGATGATTTTTTTTTGTGTACTAAAAACAAATTCATTTTAAGACAATTGTTTTGAACTATCACTAATTAAAACACTTTTTCAAGTATAACGCAAAATATGAAGATAATTATATTTTGTGTTCTACTTTCTAGGATATTACAATACATATAATAAAATTATATTGTGCTGTGAACGCTCAAAATTGTGTCATGTGGCTCAGTGAAAATTTTGGTCACCCGTGCTTTATCTATGAATGTGAATATTACAATCGTACCATTACTTTTGCACTTGCAAATTGCTCTTCTCATGAATCTTTCCAGCTCCTCAGATGTTGTTTCTTCACTGCAAAGTAACACTTCAGATGCTGTTGGTAGTGGTTGATTAGAATTTTTCATGAAGATTGACAACAGAATTGGTATTGCTTCAACTTCTTGGTGAACAATAAGGTTGGGTCTACCCTTTACAAATGGTGGCTCCATGCTTCTTGTGACTTTTTCTTTGATTTCATGATTTTCATGTAGGTAAGTTAAAAATTTGCCCAAGTGCTCCACACTGAGATAATCTTGCATGGTGAGAACCTTTTAAAAATAATTTTTTATTATTATTTTGAATTCAAATTTGGAAACATTCAAGTTCGACATAAAATATAAGTAACCTTAGTTTTTTCATAGTATCTCCTACATATTGTTTTGACTGCGTTAACAATTTTACGTTCTGATTCATCGATATTTATCGTTTTAATGATCTGATTTATCATCTCGGTCAAAGAATGCATAGACTTATTGTTGAAAATTGATATCAGTTCCTCATCTTCATTTGACTGATGCTCGAATGCTGAAAATTATTAAATTATAATGGTTATACATTTGTGTGGCTTGCGGCTTAAAAAAACTGAAAATGGTATTGCTGTGACAATAACTAATTACAGATAATAATATATATATATGTACCTCTGTCTATATTGAATTCCATCAAATTACTCTGTACTTTTTCTTCATTATATTGATGAAGTAAAGCCCAATTGTTACATTCATCAATGTTCTCATAGCCTACAGCCTGAATGGCAGCTTTTGCCAAGTCTTCAGACAATCGCTCTCTGTTTACAAGGATGCGAAGCATTCGTTTCTTTTTATCCATTTCAGTCATAGTGGCTGGAAACATTGAATTTCATTAGTATGCAATTTTTAAGAAAACTGATTTGCAACACCACATATGGAGCTGAACTTTCAAGACACTTTTTTTATGATTTCTAACGTTTGACTTTTTATTGGCTCTCAACTAGATGACTGATAATTAATAGATCGGTATTTCGACATTAATTTTTGAACATTTTTATTTATTTTTTTAATTTATTTTTTCGCGTCACCCTTTAAAGTGAAATGTCACCTGCAACTTTTTCAAATTTATGTTAACAGTAAGTGCATTTTGATTTGCATTTTCGGTAAAAATTAAACCACTGACTGACTGACTGACTGACCTTCAGAGATATCTGTAAAATAACAGCGAAGCAGGCTAGTGTTGAACTAGAGCAACTGCCTTAAACATGTTTGGATAATTTGGTATAAATGTTAATCAAAACTGTACATATAACAAGCAGGATATAGAAATGTACAGTAGATACTCCTTTAAAATAAACAACATCTTAGTGCTTTGTTTTCCAAAGCTATAAATCAATTCATAATGTTTTCATTTAGAAAGATATACTGTATTTTGGCCATACTTTGGATCATTTGTAAAATTATATTAGATATGAATTTTGGTGTAAGTGAAATCAAGTCAACATATATTTCATAATATTGAGTTATTACATGAATGTTTTTGTTTTCAGCCAAATTTTTTTGCTCTCTATTTGCAACATTCGCAAATTCCTACCTTCTGTATTACTTTGTCTTTCATCATCATCATCGCTTTCCCCTTTTTCGAGATCTTCATCATTAATTTCAATTGCTTGATCACGGGCCTCTTTAATTATGCCTGGTGCGAGACTCTTACAGTCATTTGAAAGTAGGGTTAAAACCTGTCAGATAAGCATGTAATGACGCAAAATAACATGCAAAATTAAGTGCTACAATTTTTGCGATCATTGACAGTGTATTCGAATTAATATTGATTTCCAGGTAAACTAATATCGTAATACAAAAAAATTAGTTAATTTTAAAGCTATCTTCATAAGCAGTACCAACTATATATGTTACTATCTGATAAAACAACTTCCAGACTCCTCAGTATACCATAAAAGCCTCTGTGCATTATGTGGGTTTCTGTCTCATTTTGCTTGAATGTTGTTGTTTGAAAAGGTGATATTAACTACTGCTCCAATCACTTTCATTTTCAGTTGTTATAAGATGAAGCTGTTACTGTCAACTATTATCATATTCAACTCATTTTTTCAAATTTTCATTGGACTTTTTACATCCCACAACATTATTCCAAGACTTGCCGATTTCATAATATTAATAATGCTCAATGAACGGTTTATGTTCATATTGATTAAACCACGTTTTTGTCCATGTTTATGGGCATATTGCTTTGGGAACTGGGGTCTACAATTGAAATTATTTACCTAAATGATTTATAATATAAATCATTAAATCAATCAGGGATTGAGATGTGGCAGTAGTAGAAGTAGAATATTTATTAGCCAGTTCTTCCATAATAGGCTTCTGCATACTTGTTGTAATACTTTCCCTATACATACCTGGTCTGGGAGGAAGGAAATATTTTCAGCTGTTGCCAATTGATGGCACAAATATGTTATTTGTTGAATATTGTATTCATTCAGATAGTAATGCTGTAGTCGTTTTGATTTGATATAGTCAGTCCATCTGCAACACAAGTTTTCCCAAGTAAAAATTTATAACATTCATTCTATCATACATTTTTGTAATTTATATGAATTACTAATTGATCAATGAAAAACATGTGCTGAAATTAATGATCATCCAGGATTGTCCCATTGAATGCGTTTTATATAATATCGCTAGTTTTCTCTTTCTTTTCAGCAAAAGTTATCAATTTAACTGCCATGTTATTGTATTAAAATAATAAAGATTTTACTACGATAGTAATTTAAATGCGTAACTTGCTTAATATTATAAAATTGCAAAATACCATTAAAGTGACTTAACTGAAGAGGCAAGCTAATAATAGTGAATCGCTAAAAGATACACAAGGCTGGAGAATGTATCGCTAGAAGATTATCAATAAAAAAATAGGAAAATGGATATCAGCGATGAAAAAACTTAGCAATATGTCACATACATATGCATCATCATCTCATAACAACTTCAAAACCAACCAATGCCTGGTTTCCAAAACTCATTTAATGCTGATATCTTTCTTTGTATTCCCTACACTACCTATTTGGAGCAGCTATACTATAGCAATGGTGCACAACCTGCGGCCGTACGGCCGCATGTGGCCGTCGTGAAAAAATAATGCGGCCGTCCACATACAAAGTCCTATGAAAAAAATAAAAATCAAAATATAGGATGCTGACGGCTATGCTGGCGTATATTGAAGCAAAACAGAAGCACTGCAAAAAAGTCAGACGACACGATGCGTCACAATCTGGATGGTGTATTTGCTGTTGGCGATTTCCCTTCACGGTTCAGATTGATCACGCGTTTCGGCAGCCCACATGCAAGACCGAGGGAGTCATTAAATTGCTACAATGCATTGCAAACTTTTATAGAATAAATTCATTAAAATATATGACATTTTATTATACTTTTGGGGACAAAAAAATGGGGGCGACCGCCCCTCCCCCCTCCCCGACATTCGATTTTTTTCAAAATAGTGCAACCATTATGCAACTTGCTGCAATATATCTGCTCACGAATAGGTCCACCGAACAGCAAAATTCGTTTAAAATGCGAATATTATACTTCCAAGTAGTCCTACATACTTTATAATTGGGCAGACTGCACCTCGCATGGGTCAAATACGTAGTTATGACGTCATCAACGCCAAAAATTCGGAGGCCGTATTTAATAAAAATAAATGCAATGTGGCCGCCAATGGCAAAAAAGTTGTGCACCCCTGAGCTATAGGGAGGTAGGTATGTCTCTTGCTGACTTACTGTGCATGTGTTAGACGTAGTGTTTTTGACAATTCTTGTAGAATATACAAACTTGCTGTGTCACAAAGGGGTGCACTTTGTTCCATGAAACGAATTGTGACTGTTAAGTTATGCTCATTTTGTCTGTCATTCATGTCAGCACATGGAGAGGATCTGAAGAATAATTGAAAAGAACACCCATCACATTACTATATAATATTACATTACAATACATACACATTATTATATAGATTATCTCTCTCTATGTTTATACCGACGCAATGCTCTGACTTTTCTGAAAAAAGTTATTAAATGAGTAGTTGGTTGGGCTGGGCAAAATACTCTAATAACGAATATATTAAAAGTTCTAATACGATTTTGGTTGGACACAGAATCAAATGTGTCGCTACAATGTGTCAATCACCCACATCAAGCTAGCAAAAATTTGCCCATCGCTTTCGTAGACATACAAAAACGACAAATTTGAGTTGTCTTTGCGTTATAGTGTTTACTGTTTCCATTCCACACCCATCATATCATTTAATTTTCTAAACTTGAAAAAAAGCACGCCAACAACGCTACAATTTTGAAAATTTTCTTTTCGGTCAAACCAGATAAGGTATTCTGTAAATATGTCATGTTATCACTAAAGAAAAATATCATTCATTATGACTGAGTAGCAATGCCAAAATTGCCGATTTATTTTATCAGTAATTTAACTCAAAGCAACACGACTTTGCAAAGTTTTTATTCAACACGAAAATTAAATAGACACACCAGATAAATAAATTCATAAGAAATTCGGTATTAATTTATGTTCAGAACCTACTTTATAGTTGTCCCTCAGTCTGTCACCAATGTGAATGTGACAGTTGTGACAGAAATATTAAAACGATTATATTATATTATTGCCCGACATTTGGTAAGAATTAATAAAAAGAGAAATGGGCGGAAAGGTAGCTTACCGACTCAGTGACAAATACGGTCAATGAATAAGACACAATTAACCGATTTAAAAATCCATAATTTGTTACTGTCTTTATGGTCTTCTAGTACCGGTAATTTTCAAAAACATTATCGCCCTTCTGGGTCCAGGTCTGGTCAGTTATATATTAACACTATATTAAAAACATTTGTTATTCTACTATTTAGCATTTGGTAAAAATGTTCGATGTAATAGAAACAATTTATTTTGTCCAAAATTTTAAGATATATTCAGAGAAAGGGTAGATTAAAAATTCTTAGAAAGGGTTAGATTGGGCATATGAAGTCAGAATCATGATAAATCTGTTTTCACGCAAACAGTTTTGTCAAAAGAGGCCCATATTTTCCTATAGCAGATCATATTCATTTAATTGTTATCATAAATAATTCAAGAATTTCAATTTAAAAATGAATGAGATTTCAAAATTGTAAAATATAAATATTCTAGCCAATTATAATTGACAATGTGGTATTCTAAGCTAATAAGCAAGACTCTTTATGTACCATACTGAATTAATAACATGTTAACTGAAGTATACTTCATAAGTAAAGCATTGCTTTACACTATAGTTTCCGGAATATGTTCCCTTGTAAGCTATAAATAAAACATGTGCAGAATACAAAATTCATAAAATCGAAAACTTCTAAAAAATAAAAGTTAAATTAGGTTATTCAATTCTTACGTTATCATGGCCGTAAAGTCATTGAATAGCATACATCCTGCATTAGTTAGGTTAACAAATGCTTCTGCCAAAGTTTTCACTGCTGTGAAAAGTTCAACAAATTGAGCTATATCTTGCTGCCCTTGGTCTTCTTCACCTGCTATAAGGGCCAACTTGGATTGCAAGTCTTGTAAAGCATGCAGGTCATATTTTTCTGATTTTTTATCTGAAAATTTGAAAAAAAAGTAGATGATTGCAAGTTATATTGAGCTGAAGAGTGATTTATAGTTGACATCTCTTTATTAAACTATTCATGGTCCTGCTAGGCATATTGGCAGCAAGCTACTAACTGCCCTGACCATAATATATTTATTTTCTAATGAAACGGAGAAGTGATATGGCAAAATTAATGAAGCTATTGCAATACTTTTTTGACTGCATACACCAAAATGCAATAATACAATGGAATATATAGTTATTTGTATAAACGAGGCATGTAGTTAGTTGCGTTTATGCTAACGAGTCAAAAGTATGCTGCTGTTACTCAAATATCATTCAATTAATTTTTTTCCATCAATCCAATTATTCTAATAAGAAGATAAATTACTTATGGTGAGTTTTCTTGAGTGGAACTGCTAACTAATTTATATGTTTGATTCTCATACTTAAAATATGTACAAATTACACTTGATTCTACAAACATGCACGCATATACCATATCAGAACATACACAGGAGTTGGAAAATAAATCAAGTGATTTCTGGCATGAACAGTTAGCAAAGTAAATAAAAAACCATGATTTACATATTTCAAGATAAAACATATAATGCAATTCAATTTTATCTCCTAATAATGGTTGAGACATATTAACCGGTACCTCTTTGAGGACTAGACTTCTGAGGCAGTTTGTCTTGAATGGTCAATGAAACACAGTTTCCCAGTGCTATTCGTTCATTTTGCACATTACCAATAGTGTAAACTCCTCTTTCATTTATGTTCTGAGCCAGTGCTAGAGAACGCTTTTGATCAGATCCAACAAGACTTTCTCTGTCCTTAAACCATTGAAGGTATTCACCGCTATTTTTCTTAAAATACCGTATGACAATGAAGAAATCATTTAAAATTGAATTACCGGTCTTTATTGTTTTCATGTTCACGGGCTAACATTGTTTCGAAACTTATCAGGTTTTAAATGGTCTCAGCATGGCTTACCTACTTATTTCGAGAAGAACCAAAAATGACCTATATTCTGCAATTTTCCTCCAGGCTATTCTCTGGCTTAAATTATAATGTAATATTAATAAATTAAAAAAAATATTGACAGTGATTTTGACGTTAGACGGATAATTGAATCTGAAGTTATTTTATTTTAATTTAGTAGCATTGGACAGAGTTTCTCTTTATTTTTGTAATATAATATTAATTAATTTAATCATTGGAATCTGATTTACATACCCATTTTTCCAAAATCTTATCATCCTGGTCAACATTTTCCCATACTTCTTCACATTTTTCAAGGAGCTTGTCTAGACAGTTAACATCATCCAAATGAAAAAGCAATGGGGCAAAGCCTTTTGTTGCATGATGTAGATGCAGAAATCTGTCAGTCTCAACAGGCGTTTCACCAGCATATGACATGGCCAAATTACACATCACCTTCACTTCAGTAACATCTGTAAAATGGATTTTTGCTGCCTCACAATTTTAGTGATGGACAAAGCCTAAAATCTAAATTAATATTTTTGAATATAATTCAAGTCATGTTTAATGAAGAACGCATACAATACAAGTAAATTGAAAAAGTTGAAAATAAAAATTCGGAACTTAATTTAAACAGCAATTGGTGATTTTGATTGTTTATCCATTTTTACAGTTTTCATCGATTGCTCAAAATGAAAATTTTTTAAATAAAACTACCTATTCTAAATTAGTCCTAGAATCTGGAATCTAAAATATTGTTCAAATTTATTTTCAGTGAATTTGAATAGTTTTTTTCTTGGTTATCCCTGTATTACATATTGAATTTAATTGTAAATGATAATCATCACTGTTATAATCAACCACCATATAAAAAGCATGTCAAACACTTAGATTAGGTATTGTTGTGAAAACAACAAATCAACCTGTCATTTTTTTGGATTGAAGCCATTGAATGAGTTCCCTTTGCTGAATAAAAGCTTGTAAAACAGCTAGATTAGATGGTGCCATGTCACGTAGTCGCTTAGGGAATTTTTCCAGTGTTGTTTCATCAATATCCCTCAAAGTCAAATCTTGATTTTCTTCCGTGTTCTAAGTTATAATTTAGTAATGAGTTTTTGTTACAAATTAATAACACCATATAGAACATTTATTTGATGAACTTACTAGAATTTGATTCAAATGTTCAAAATCGCCTTGTAGCTCTTGTACCTTTCTAAAGTCTGACACCCATTTTAAGCTTTTGCTATTCTTCTTAATTTCAAAGACATTAAAAATTGAGGTAACCGCAGAATCCAAATCGTTGCCTATGACAAATAAAAATATTGGAAATAAATGTTTTGAATCTTTTAAATGTGTGATAAAATAAATGTACTGTACTATATTTTGCAGGTGCTAACATTAATATTAGGAATGGCTGCATGGTCTCGATCACATGTTGAACAAACTCCTACATTCAGCACTATTAATATACAGCTTAACCAGAAGAAAGCACTCAGCGAATAAGAGTTGGAATAATGAATGAACTAACACGTTGAATCGAACTTGATTTTCTAAAATTCGAAATATGAAATGGTGTAAACTCGATACTGAAAAAAAGCATTCAGCCATTCATTCTTTTTATCGGTAATTAGCAGAATGAGGGTAATAAAATATTGAATATTAAAGTTTCTGCTTTTTACCACAAGTCTAGAAACTGACAAATGAGCGAAATTATTTTAACTGGCTACTTCTGTTCCATCAGTTATTACCAAAATCTGCAATATATATTTCTCTAAGATATATACATTGTTCAAACAAAAAGAAAGGGGTGTTTGAAAATTGGCTGGCGGTATATAAGTGGTTGAAAACAAATGGATTTAATAGTAATAATTAGTCAAGAGACACGTTTATCTTGAAATTATCATATACCTCCTATGGAACTTAATCAAACGCATTATCAGCAAAATATTCTGACCAGCATGACTTAGGCAATTTGCATAATAAAAAAGAAAAAAATATATAGAAATTGTTGGGAAAGCATCAAGTTCGAATAAAGTTGTTTGATACCTTTCATATCTGAATCATTGAATTTTCTGCTGAATTTGCACAAAATTCCCAGTTCTTCATGTATAGTTTTCCATTCCCCTTCAGTCCAAATAAAGCGTTCAACAGCCATATCAAGTTTGAGTGTTTCTGTGAATATTTCATTATAATGTTAAGAAATATTAGTGGCTAGATGGCAATAACTTGAAATTTTCTACAATAACTAGACTTATCCCAAATTTACCTTTCTGAATTGAGTTCACCAATGAACATATTTCATGTTTCACCGCTATCCACACATCAGAAAGTACCTCTTTCCAATCCATCTTACTGGGGTGCTGTTTTGTTTCTTCTAGATTTTTAGAAACCTCTACCCACAAGTTTATGAATATTTGACTTCTCTGTAAATGTATACATTATTCAGCCTTTCTGCAATCTACGTGGCCACATACCAGTCAAGAATTGAATGCCTTTGTCAAATCGAACTTTTTGAAAGGATGTTGACGAGGGCTGGTTATATAATAAAATATTGCTGTCATCTTATTTTATCCGACTGACTTAGATTGATCTTCTCAATATGATGTACTTTTGCTCTTCTGAATTATATTTATATTGACGCTTCGCATTAAAGCATTAGACCATGAGTAATAAAATTAGGTTGGCTATATGTTGCACAGATTCAGATTTTGTTTTATCATCTTAAAAGGAGTATGATCTGCCTCTTATAGTAATAGTGAAATCAAAATTGACCATTTATTTGGGATAGCTATCCATTTTGATACAGTTTCGATGAATTAAAGCTATGTACAAATATTGTTTTTGTACACCAATCTTTTTATATTTGTTTTTTGGTATTTAGGTGTGGAAGGAGTCCTTTTATTTTCTTTGGCCCTTCCAAAATGAACAGAATGGGTTTGGTATTTTTAATGATTGTTTTGACTAAATATTGTAAAAGCTTTTGTATAATCATGAAACTTGTTGAGAACCATCAAAAGTGATTAAAAAAAAATGAATTTTACTACATTTACTTTACTCTGTCTTTTTTATCATATCAAATATTAGAAGTGTGTTTTCCATGAAGTATTTATTGAATCCTCGAAAATATCAGGAACTTTCACAAAAATCTTATAAGATAAATTTACTAGATTAGGAATTCTTATTTGTTAACAAAAATCAATATCGTAACAAGATGAATCAACAAAAAAAATCATTTCAAACCAAGAGAGGAGATAACTCTCCTTTCAATCACTATGGAAATAACATTAAATTATATGTCTAACATTCAGGACACATATGTACAAACTATCAAAAATCTTGCTAGCCAATATCTTAAAATATCAGATACAATAGGTGATAGGGACAGTAAATGGCCATATGCCCAAAAGCTCTAAACATCCCAAAAACGAAGAAAAAAGTGGGCATGAACGGATCTGATTCTCAAACAATGTAACATTAATGAAATGAAATAAAAGTTTATTAATATGGTATGTTAGTACTTTATTTATTCAAGGTTTATAAGAATTTTATACATTTCAGGCAATACCTTGATTGTTTGAATCAACTCGAATTGCTTCATTATATCTGCGGTCAGCCCAGAGTATTGGCTAGGGGTAGCTTCTACATCTTCTATTGTAAACAAATCATTTAGACGTTCAGAACGAACACTTCTATCGTATACTTCTTTTAATTTACTGTAGTCGACACTTGTCTCTGTAGCATCTTGGAAAAGAAGTATAGTGAGTCATATAAATTGATCTGTGATTCAATGTATAATTTTGTGCCATAAACAGAAAAATATATTATACAGGAAAATGCAATATACTATTTAACCAAACCGGAATGATGATTGATTAAGCCTGAGTCAGCATTTCATTGATCAGACAATTGAAGTATTATAATCAACTATCATCGGGCAGCAAGTGGATGTATAATCTAACTGCCCATTTACTGAAAGAAATTTGTGAGACCTCCTCAAATACCAGATAAAATCAGACAATGGCATATTACCCAAAATAATATGAACAATGCTTTGTGAGAATATACGTTTTAAAGTGACATACTGATCTAAATTTAAATGCATGTCAAGTTGGTTCAAAGTTCAGCAACTAATGCTTAATAAAACTACACATAGACAAACCTTTTATCCGTGAGCACATGCTGCAAAACGTTTTGTAGTTTTCGTGTTCCTTCTCAAACTTTTCAAATTTTGCCTGCATTTCTCCTATAACTGTTTCCAAACTTTCAGTTGTAGTGCCTGAAGTTCTCTAGGATAAGAATAAGATTTAGAATTAGAAAATGATTTGAATAAAGGAAAATTGGTAAACAATTAAACCCTTTTGATAGGGGACTAGATTAGAAACGGTGACTTTTTCATCAACATTACCATGTAATTGCAATGCAAACTTATATATTTTAGATTTACATTTAGTTAACACACAAACTATTAGGATATGCACGACGACCACTATTTATGTTGCGTGTGAAATCTCATGGCCCGGCAACTGATTTTCTATTGCACCTCTGATTACCGTACCCAGCTTGAGTTCTTTTGCCATAGGGATAATTATGTGTGTGAAAATTGATGAACAGATATCCTCATCATCAAGACCATGCATCTTTATTTTATTGAAATAATTACTTAACTATTCCTTATGAACTAGTAACAAAGAAGCCTATGATCTCTATATGATTAAGCTGCCTAATTGGATTTCCTCTCCCCCGAGATAATATTGACATAAAAAATTTAGGCTGTTGATTGAAAATGTATTGTGAGTTTGTATCAAACAGGTTTCATGGTATATTATCTGCTGCTATGTCTGTTTTATTGTAGTTGCCCTTTTGTTTGTTTCATGAAAATACATATTTTGAATTGGTGATAAAAGCCTAGTTTCATTGCTTTATGTTCAACTAATTAAGTCCACACTTACTGAAAACATAGTTTGAAAAAATTGACATATTTTTGAATGGTAGTTTCGTATGACGATCAGTTCATCTATTGGCACATTTCGTCTCTCCAAAGTGTTCAAGAATTCTTTACAGCTTTGCTCAATCAGTTTTATAATAGGTTTTGCTTTTGGTAAATATTCAAGAGCATTGTTGTTGTCTGTAACATAAAGAATTTATCATTTTCAGTCATTTTTTGAAATCCGCAACTGCAATGTACAATTATTTTGTAAATCGAATTTAGGTATTCACTGTCTTCTATAAAATATAGACATCTGAGGAATGTTGTTAACAGTTTGAACTGCTTAAAATAGGAAATGAAAAGAAAGATTGGTTCCAACATAATTTTATCAAAATATTCATATGCTTTACAAAATTTACATCTTCAATGTTATCACCGTATATACAATTTTTACCACAATCACATTGGAATCCTTTTCATTTTATCAAATAACTTATTCAACTGCAGTACTTACAAATTATTCTGAAGATGCTCAGAGATATCGGCCATTCACAAACAAATTTTAGGATATTCTTGGTTGATGTTTTCTTATTAATGCCATGAGTTTCGATCCCGTCAAGGATTAGTTTTTCAATAAATTTTACAACTGCCTTGTTCTTGTGCGAACCAAAGATCTTAGCACTGAGTCCACAAAAGAACGATAATGATTCAGAATCCTGTTAACCAAATATTAGGATTGGCGCATTTTAGTGCATCATGTAATGGTTCATATATATAAGAAATTTCGAGATTGTTGGCAGTCGAGTGTTATCCATGATATGGTATTAATGTTTTCCATATTATACTGCGTTGAGAAGTTGACATATGTCTCTAGAGGCATATTTTTGTATGTGCATTTAAAATACTGAGTAATCAAGCCGATTTAAAAACAGGATTGAAATTCACTTTTGTGATAGAGTGATAGCTCATTCTTACCTCATCTTCCCTCAAAACTTTGGCCGCACTGATCAATGCTTTCTCAATAAAACAGTGTTCAAGTTCATCACAGAAATGAGCTTTCAAAATTGTTTGTGTGAAAAACTTGAAATACTTTTCGTCATCATTCTTCCATTTCTGTGTTAAAAATTTGTTGTACTCAATCTTATTCCAAAGATTTCAAATTCCATTAAAAGTTAATTTTATTGTGAAATATTCTTCTCGTTTTTAATTATATCTGTTTATTTACTAATTTTGTATACGAATTTGTTGGGTAGCATAAACAAGGCTCTTCGTATTCATATTTAGAAGTAATTAGAATGCTGCTTGTCTCAAATTTGTCTTCGAATAGACCATTTTTGAAGAAATTCTCAATTTTCCTAGAGATGATCCAGATAGTTATATAATGTTTAGATTAGATTTTTTGCTCAAATTTTGGCAGTTGGTGATCCCATGATATGTATGTACATGGTGTGTCATATCAATATGTGTATAAAAAAATATCATCCGCATACCTTATTAATGTTTCTGCTGATTTGAATTTGAATGATTTCCAACCACTGTTTCTTATATTTTTCAGGCCATTTGATACTCAGCAATTTGTCAAAGAACTGTGGGCGCATACGAAAATGGCATCAGTAAACATTTTACAAAATATATCAATATATCGCAACAAATTTGTGCAAGATCTTAAATTAGGTAGTTCAGGTGGAATATTACTTGTCCATCAGAACACAAACAGATTATCGAATTCTCATATTTATCGTAACCGCAATAAATTTAATTGTAACAAAATTTAACAATGCAGCTGTACAATTTATTCAACAGTCAAAAGACAAACTTATTAATTATAAGGAATCACTACTAAATCTTAGTCTGAGTAAAGTTTGTAGAGTCACCTAGGACAAGGTCAAATGTAACAGCCAGGTTCATCCAGGAGAAACAAATCTTAATCATGCTTATTCTGTTTCTCGAGCTGCTTTTGAAGTGAAACAAGTGGAATTTACCTGTGTGTCTTCAAGAACATTTGTACATAGTAAATAATGGATTACCTGAAAATTGTCTTTGAGACAAGGATCATAACTTTTAATTTTTTCACCCACATAACTTTGTATATTAAACACCAACGAACTTGTCTGATCATCAGTAAACTTTTTATTCTGTGAAGTTAATTTTACACATTTGAATATGACAACATCATCCTATTTTTATATGCTAGAGTTCTACTATTGTTCTTAATCAATATAAAAAATGATTGCTTGATTATATAGCTGAGCTCTTTTACATGAGTCCTAGTTAGGCTTACCATAAATCTGAAACAAAAAACCGGGACGGTGCGATTTGGCAAACATTCGGTCGATTGCCAGTCTTGATAATATTGGTACGTCTACCATGCCATTGCGGGTATATACGACTGTAAATCTCTACTGATCATTGAATTAGAAAAAACACAAAAAATTAGTTTGTATTATTCATTCAGACCAAAAGTATTTGTCCGCAGATGGAACCTTTCTCAAAAATTCTTGTTTGATTTTCTCATAAAACTGATAACAAGAGACATCACCATTAAATTTGCAGGTTACGGAGTGGTTTTATATTTTCTTCTGGCATTCTGCACCTGCTTTCGGACCAAAATTTTTTAACAATGGAAAAAATCCTTTCAACAGATGCCGATGTTCCGAAAAACAAAATCAACCAATTTGCTGCAAATTCGAAATGCTAATATTTCTGTTAGAAAAAACGTTAAACAAATCTGTCCACTTAATTTCAACCGGCAAAGTAAGTCAAATTGCATTTGAACCATGCTCAGATAAATATCTCTTTATCAGTATTCGTCGAAAAGTGCATCGCTATTCAAAACCTGATCAGCTAACCAAACATATCATTTATCAATTTTGCAGACCAAACACTTCAGTCCAGTTTATTTCACTCTTCAAATTTGTCAATATGTGTGGCCTGGCAGCATTGTAGGCTTCATCGTGCAGCCTTATATACGATAGACATTTCTCGTAAAAATCGCAAACATTCTTTTTAAATACAAATTTTTCCCTGCAAATTTAGCTTCACCTCTGACAGAATATTTGCAACATCTACGGCAGGGGTCGGCAACCTTTTGTCGCCCGCGGGCCAAAATTAAGGGTTGCGAGTCATTGGCGGGCCGCACATATTTTTAGAAAGTTGAAACTGAACGGATGATATTTTTTATATTAAAAATCAAGCAGTGATACATCTCTCGAATAGAATATAGATTTATTTCCTCATTGCATCTCAAAAAATTCCATTTGAATATTTTCAGCGCCATTGAACCCTTTGCACTTAGCATCAACTTTTCTGCGTTTTGTTGCCATTCGAGCTTGAAGTAAATCATCATTAAATTCAGAGGAGAACAGCGGAGCAATGCACCAACTCTAATTTATTTCTGGCTAAACGTGCAAAATCAGCGAATCCGCATATCAGACAGCGGACATCAGAAATTCTAACTGTGTATATTTACAAGTTAATGCAAATTTAGCCTCAAAAAAATTTGAAATTAATTTAGAGGTGCAGTCAAAACTATGGTCATGAATAGCAGTGTGATAGGTAAATGTCGGCTGCCAACGACACAGAATCATCCGAATTTGTCATCGCAAAATTGGTCAGTCGAGTCGATGCCTCAATGTTTTGTGCTTCCTGCTTTGGATATGATCGTTGACATCTGAACGTCCGCCATGACTAATAGAAAAACAGATCTGCAATGCGTACAGTGTACCTTTCCTTCTTCAGTTTGCCTCAAATAAGGAAGATCTTTCTTCAACTCATCAGAAAACTTGTACTTTCTTTTTGGCATTTCGACAACTTAACGACATTGCAGTTAACGCCAGAAAACGCATTAAAACATATACCAATTGTGACATAACAATAGAGCGATTTCTCTCTCTGAACTAGCAAAGTGTGTCGCAAAACAGTGGTAAATGGGCTGTCACCGTTAGAAAAAAATTTGTAATAATAATGAATTTGAATTTTTTACCCATGAAAACCGTGCTGACAAACCGGGACATTTGAGTCAACCGGCCGGGACGCCGGGACAGCTTGTCAAATCCGGGACTGTCCCGGCTAAACCGGGACGTATGGTAAGCCTAGTCCTAGTCTACAACAAAAAGAATAGTTGATTAAATACAAATGATGGTTCAAGATTGAAAATTACTAGATCGAGGAAGCAAAAACTCACCAAAGTTAGTATAGCAGACCAGTAGGAAATAAAGCTGACAATCTTCGAACAGAAAAGAATATATTTCGTATGGTTGCTATCCGGTTTCTTTAGTGACATAGATAGTGTATTAAGCATCGAGTTCATGAAACAGACACAGTCTTCAGTATTATCTCCAGAGAAATTGCTGTATAATTTGAAGCATTACTTTGTGTTACAAACTGTTGTCAAAGATGTTTAAAATCGTTGTTGCATAAATATACACCCGATAATAGCATGGACTTCACATCAGCTTTGATATAAATGGTTTAAAATAGCAATGCTATTATATGACAATGCAAATTATACAAGTACCTGTTGAATTCATTCCTCCTTGCATAATCGAATATTTCTTTGAAAAGCTCTTCTGCGTGATCAATAACTGTTGAAGTATTTTTTTTTACCTACATATTTGAATAGTATTATTTAATGTAAAATATAACCATTAGAACACACTGATCATGTATGGAACACTATCCAAATAAAATATACCAGTGATGGTAACCTATAAGTATTTCCGCTTGTTACACACGGTCAATCGGTTGTTTGCTACAAAGTTCCTTCTACCTACTCTAAATTCGTCATCGATAAATTGCACGATCTTCCGTAGAAGCTCATCCAACCGAAAACTCGTGAGAATAACAGCTTTGCTCCTCAATAACTCAAGAACAGAATCAGTTGTCAGTATATTCTGGTATAGATATGTAATCCAAGGCTGACTTGTCTGGATTTCCCAAATTTCTGGTGCGAGCTGCACAAGGTATCTGAGGTTATAGAGAAATTAAGTATTTGTTTAAACATTTTTTACTGGTAACATTTATAAAATTGTTGTTTCGATACTACGTGTAATATATATGTTACTTAAATAAACTTACTAAATAAATACTGTAATTCTTACTTCTGATAACCTTCAGCATTACAATCCTTTTGAACTGCCTTCCAGTCTGACAAAAATTCTTTCATCAATATTTTACTGAAAGGATTAGAGTAAAATGCTGACTCCCTTGATAAATCGAGTTTTTTCATTGTTAACGATCGTTCATCATGCTTCACAAAATGGCATAGCGAAAGCGCTAAAATCCATCTTGGATTTGTGGGGTAACAGGTTCGTAGCACCCTCAATATCTTTTCTGATAGATGCTCGGGCAATCTGATAATATAAGAATTATATAATAAAAGTTTTATTTTGAAGCGTGCACTGAATCACCGGCTTACAATATTGTGCTCTACATTTAAAATATGTTTGATGAACTCCACCTTTAATCCATGAACCACATCATATAGCTATTTTTTTTATCTTTCAAAGGGTATTGTTAGTTGACTATAATAGTAACTGCTGCCAGAAATGGGCTTGAAATTCTCCCTCATCATCACTGCATTGATAAGGATCGAGAAACATAACTTAAACCAGACAACTACCAAGTGTACAATTTCACATTGTACAATGCTGTCAAATACCAAGTTTAAATTTAAAAAGTATATGTGAGTATATGACTTTGGCAGGTCCACACATTTCATACCTTTTTTTGAAATCTTGCACTTCGTACCAGGCAGAAAACTATACTTTTATCATTTATAATTTTTAAGAGATTGTTTGATGCTCATTATCACATACTTACGTGTGTGCATCCAGAATATTAGTTGTGATAAGTTGATGTAGTCGTCTTTGTCTGTCTGTTTCAAAAATGTTAAAACACAACCCTTCTGAAATGCACATCAAAAGTTCATCCCCTGCTTTACATTGAAGTCTATCCATAACAATTATCAGGGCTAATGTCCCCATCATTTTCTCATGTTTTTTCAAACTTTGTAACCAGTCAATTAAACACTTTTGATACATCTGCAATATATCACAATTTGCTATGTTATTTTGAATACCTGATGTAAACCAGAAGCGGAGCTGTGGCCCTTGTTCGCTAGTGTTTATTACATTTAACTTAACATAGGTAATTATTATTCTTAAAATTTAGAATTCAATCCTTAAATTCTCAGGAAGAATTTATCTTTGTTTAAAAATATTTTCAATAGGTAGTCAGCAATGATTCAAACACGTTTAAATAAAGTCAAATTCAATCCTCCCATTTCAACATTCATCCAAGGGCTAAAGTTACAAGTTATCGAACATATCTGTTTCATCTACCCGCTGAAGCGTAATGCATTCCATGTATTGTCGTAAATTAAGGTATTTGATTTGTGGGATGCTTTAGCCAAAACTGTTTTCAAATCTTATTTGAGGTAACCCAATCTCTATCCCCAATTTACTGCAGTATATTACCTGATCGTCAGCAAAAACTCTTTTTTTCGGTGGATAAAACTCCCACCCACTGGTTATTTGATCCATCCATCCCATTAATTCCATTTTTAATATTTTAGATGTGAACAAATCACTACCAGACATTGGTAATAGACTCAGAAGCAAGTCTCCCCACTGGGTAACAGAAGGCATTTGCTCATAACCATGGAAAAATGCAACATCAAATATATAGGACTCTGCTCCTGAAAAACATGGAATTGTTTACAATATTATGAAACCAATATTAAATGAAAGATAAACATCTATTTATGGCAGTATATAACTAGCAAATAACAACAGTTGTTAAGCCAGGAATCCCATTTTTACACAACTGTACCTAATACTATCACATTATCATTCAATGGTACTTACTATGACTGACATACACTATGCGGCGTCCAGGTACTCCAACTTTTTCTAGGTTGGAGCTGTTGTTATACACTGAGTAATCGTATGATAGTTGATTTTTCCAAGGCACTGTGATGGTATACACCATGTTTCTATATAAAATAACATGACAGTGTTCCTAATTGAATTCAGACTTAATGGTTAATTTTTTTCAGAGTTCTAGATCCAGGGCTAAATTAAAAACAATTAACTTCGTCGCAATCACTTGCTGGTGGGCATGTGCAACAGTGCAATTTAAAATATTTTTTTGCTGTAAAATGACTATTTTTGCAATTTGTACAAATAAATATGTGTATCTTTGGATTATCGAGCGAAGATGATGAATGAATCAGATTGATGAAAATCCTTTTTTTATCGGATGGTATTTTAAACTGGGTCTACTTAAATGTTGGCAATAATTAATTTCAAACAAACACGAGCCGTTTGTATTCTTGATAATTAAAAAGAGACAAATTCACCCGGCATAAACTTCTATTGTACGCTGAACTATACTATATAATAAATATACTATAATGTGAAATCTTGAAATGATTAATGCGCACAGTATTGCAGTAGTATGCTATAAAAATGCTATTCCATATCAATGAATTTCATTACTCAAGATGGTCCATGGCAATCCATTCCTTTCCAATCCTAATTCTGACTATTTCATCAGAATGAACACCTGATGCCGCCACACGAATTATAATTTCTCGACCTGAAAATATATTACTGACATCAAAATGGGTTAGAGTATGCGTGTTTGAGTTTTTCAAATAGCAACACTTTGCATCTGGAACGGACTGACTTTGTTTGGATCAGGTACATACAAACCCTCTCAAGTATGATTCACATTTGGAAAGTCAATATTCCAGTCATTCCCAAACTTTTTCAGCTTGCGGCACATCTATTACAAACCAAATTTTTTTTGAGTCCTTATCCGCGAACATTTCGGGTTTTGGCAGTAAATAAGATTAAAATAGGATTCCGTCGATCAATTGTACCGAGTCTTTTTCGTTTTTAGCTTTCAATTAATGAAGAATGGAAAAATTATTATGTTGCTCTATATATATTGTATATACATATACAACAAATAATCTTTCCGTTCACATATATATATCAGTACAATAAAAATTGTATATAGCCTACATATATACTGTACTGATATATATATGTTTTCTAATAACGACTCGCGGAAATTTGTCGAAAGAAAATTACATGGTGGCGAAGTTTACCACAATTTTGTGGTGGTAATAGTAGCTCGAAATGTGAAAAATTATGAAAGTAATATTATTACAAGAATCTCTTCAATTTCTGAACTGTTGACAGCTTAAAAAGGAATGTACCAGGAATTTAAAAGTAACGATAATTTGACCTGAAACAGCAATTTTTCAAAACGATACGTAAGTCCACTCTGACTAATTACAGAGCTGTCCTGGTGGTGGAATCATGAAATCGCAATTCTACCAAAATTAGTAGCCCTTCAAGTATCAGTGTCTACTTATCTAGATGCAGCTACAAATAATTTTCATTTTGGGAACTAGTACCGAAGTTTTCGAACTCGAATTTTTTTTTTCAGTCATCAGCCATATCGGGTAAGTGTTGAGCGAGCTGACTTTGAGCAACCTTGCATTGTTTAGTTGGGGTTGTAAATGTATTATTAGTAAAGACCTATCAGAAAAACATTATTAAAATAGTGTGGCACAACACATCCCCTTATCGGTAGACATAAATTACTAAATCTTTATATATGTGGTACCAAACTACACTCAATACTGATTTTTAATAAAGTTCACGTTGAATATTGTGTGATAATCTCAGGAATATCGTGAAAAATCCGCACACACTTTTATGGGCTTGACAGCACACAATTTGGGAAACCCTGACATATGTTAATGAGAGGTTGCTCCATACCGCTGTGATGTGGTTTGCATAACTTGTTGCTGGTTAACTAATTAGTAACTGAAAACTAGACATACTGGTGTAGCTTCAATGTGATATTGTAAAATATGGCTTTTCATCATCTGGACTTAATATCCTTTGGTTACTTATTGAATGCTTTTTTGGATGCTATACAAAACTTACTTTGGACTTGATTTTGTCTCATTCGCAATTCCTCGGATGAGGCAGAAGATTGTTCTAATGGCCACACTTGATCTTGAATACCATAATGGTCTGAACACAATGTAGAAAATGTTATTTTGGAAAGTTGAAACTATGAACAAAAAACAATTTAGGGAGGATCGTAAAGATTCAAAAGATCACAAGGAGGTAAATTGTTCTTTCACATACAAATAATTGAGGTTTTTCAACAACCTCAACTGTTATGACTTTTTTAAATATTTGATCTGAAAGTGAAATATCACTAAAAATTTAAATCTTAGTGATTCATCACTCGTAGAAAAAACCTCAGTGACAGTGATGAATGTAGTGCCATGGTTGCCCTCATGGGATGCAGCTAGTTTCTGGCTACTTGAAGTAGTTATGTCATGTTTGAAATGGCCCACTGATTTCGTTGTACAACTGAACTCTTTGTACATATTTTTGTGATGATGAAGTATGAAATATGTGAGCTGAAAAGTTTATATTTTAATATTTACATGGAGTATTAGGAAATTATAATGTAAAAAAAATTAGCTGATTCTGAGCTGGAGCCACTAAAGTTTCTGTTAGCACCGGCTCCAGCTCTCCAGCCCTAATCTTATCATACGAAACATATTCATATATGATTGGGGCATTGCCAAGTTCAATTATACAAAATTCACAAATTTACATGTTGTACTAAAGTGCCAGTTAGCTAATTTGACAATGGCTTCAATATGCCCATTTCTCAGCATGTTTACTAAGCGTCCCGATGCTGGAAAGGAATCTAGAGTTTCTCCAACGCTTAGTTTTTTTCTTGGCACTTGAACCTACATCGCTACAATGTTGCGCCAACTGCCAGACTACATATCTTGTAATACAGCCTTTTGTTATAAATTAATGATATTACTTTGGCTATGTAATTTTACCAGTTTCAAGAGCCGGTGGCGTTTCCTGAAACAAAACAATGCATAAACTGGCAGTGTGATCATCCAGAAGAAATATGGGTTAAATAATTATTTGACTATGAAGGCATCATCAGTCGTTTTTCCATTAGATGTTTTAAAATTTTCACCAGATTCGGGTAATTCATGATAAAGTATGGTTCAGGACCAAGCTTGTGCTGATCAAATTCATACCCATTTGCAGTCTGACCCAATCAGATTTTCTTCAGACACACTATATTTACAATATAGATTATGTTCCATAGGAAAGTGGGCTTAAATCGGTGATATTTCATTAGAAGTAGATTGTAGTGATATTTGTAGAAAAATTTCACTTCTTTGGGTTTCTGTCTTGATCCAAAAAAGATTTCTTTCTGGCTGTGTTGAAATGTTGCTCCACAACTTTATCTCACTTGAAAATATATCAAATGCATTTAAACACTCACCAGGTTTGGATCGATTTGTTTGCATCCGGGTTTGACTGCGTGAACGAAATAGAGTCTGTGATGGACAATCTAAAATAAAAAATGTTTTCTCATTACTAGTAGTCATTTACATTTGACAAAGATTGAAAATTGAAAATAGCTATCTACCCTGCAATAGAAATACCATTGTAAGTGAATCTAGTGATGAGCGGTGGTGTGGCTCATTGTGCTAAGCGTTAGGAATACCCTCGCCACCGCACCTCTGATTACTCTGCGTGGGTTCGCAGGTTCCAATCCTATGTAGGGATATTTATTTGCAAGATGATTGCTGGACTCCTCGCAGCCATAGGATGGTTCACGTAACTGCTGGTCGGTTACGGCTTCCTCCACCATCAAGTTAATGCCTCCGAAAACAAATAACTACCGGTGACTAATCCCATACCCGACATGGAATGGTAACTTGACGGGAGGCCGTGGTTCGTCATATGGTTATGCCGTCTTATCGACTTTTCTCTCCCCGAGATAAATATGTAAATCTTATCCTATACTGAAATTTAAAATATATACGCTATTTATAATATAGCCCAATACATATTTGAAATCATTTAAAGCTTTGTCAATTCGTGACCCAAAAATATAAGGGAATTGTATTATGTGTTATAAACAGATCGAGTGAAAATCATCCAATATATTTCCTTAATTGAACACTGTATCCTATTGCTTGCAATATTTCATCCTAGTTCATTTCAGTAATTTATTCCAGATATTATTTCATTTTGCATTTACATTATCTTGCTGTAGAAACATATTTTTTGGACATTTGATTCAGTATTCCGCAGCATTTTTAGAGCCAAGTTTTTTCCTAAAGCCCACCCAGATTAATAATACAAAACGTTTGATGAATTTTCATCTCACAGACTATACAGGCTATGAGGTGGCTATACGACATCTCGAAGTCGGGCTTACAATTGGCGGCCAAGTAACTGTGCTTGACCCATACTGCAGCAGTTTTTGGAATGGCTAAGTAGTACAGTTCGAGTTATCAGTTTCTTGAATGCTGGAAACAGCATTCAGCTCTCTTGATTTTGTGTACTCTAGCTACAATCTTTGTACGTTTTTTTACGACAGAGATTGTACTTAAAAAACAAAAGAATACAATGCAAATATTTAAGATGACTTAAGAAATTCTCTTTCAACATTTGCTTAAAATTCTAATCTGAAATTTGTGTGTAAATAATCAGTGATACATCAGTCAAAATAGATAACCGCATGCACTTTCTACAGATACTTCTTTACTCTCAATGGAAGCAATCAGTATTTTATTTTAATATCATAATAATGAGAATAATATTGTGGATTACTGGATATTCTTACCTCGTGCAGGCAACACTCCTTGTCTTGATGACAAGAGTGATGCTCCATCGTTTCGTCTTGCATATGGTTCTGAAGATATGGAATTGATTAATGTAGTATTGTGAATGATTCACAATTAAGAACAAATTTCTTTCAAATGAAGCAAGAAACTATTGGTAAACTTCAACTATTATATATGATATATATGATTGAGGCAACGCCAAGTTTAAATATACAAGATTTGTGAATTTACATGTTTTTCTAACCCAATTAAATAGTGCTCAAGTCAAATTTTTACAAATTTTAAAAGTATAAGGGCAACAAGGCAGTAATGCTCAATTTTAATTAAGCAATCAATATTCACCATTTGTTACAGTATCCGCCCTTGATTTCCTTCTCTCATCAGGTGATGGCTTCTTTGTTGTTGCGCCTTTTCGCCTCTCCGCTTCATAAGTTTCTGTAAAATTATCTTAATGTAAATTTATAAAAAAAAAATACCAGTTACCTCCATACCGATTATACATGCTAATTTGGCAATTGCTTCATTATACCCATTTCTCAGCATGCTTACCAACTTCCCGATGACAGCAAGGAATCCAGGATTTTTCTAATGATGAGTTTTTCTCTTGGCACTTGAACCGACATGGTATAATGAGAGGTGTATACCCTAGGATTAGGATGTTGTGCCAACTTCCAGACTATTCACAACCTTTCGTTATGATGATAATATTTAAGCTATATAATTTACCAGTTACAAAAGTTGGTAGAGTTTCCTGAACATTTGATGAGTAATTCTGCTTGTTTGATGTGTCTTCATTTTCTGCTTTTGGTGGAATATGGAAAAAATGAAATAATGCGTATGTTGGCAGCTGTTATTATGCAAGAGAAATATGAGTTAAATAATTATTCGATTTTGGATGAATTGAATAAATTAAAATTTTTATCAGTCTTCACTCATCAGGCGTTTTTTATGTCTTGTCACTCGCTCCATAACATTTTGTTACAAGAAAATATATTTAATTCATCTCTCCCCCATTTGAAGTGACATATTTGGAAAAAATGTATTGGTTGCATTGCTCATGAAAATATTTCATTAAATTTATATAGAAAAAGTTGTTTAAAGATTGAAACACTCACCATTTTTTAATTGTTTTTTTTGCAATCGGGTTTCAATTCGTGGACGAGATGCAGTGTGTGTTGGACAAGCTAGAACAATTTTTTTTTTTTCTTTACCGGTGGTCATTTAAATTTGGTATTAAAACATAGCTATTTACTATGTTGCATAAAAATACCATAGTATACAAATCTAGTGATGAGCGATTAAATTCAAAATATATTTTCAGTATAATAATACTTATTTAAAATGAATAAAATAATTGTTAATTTGTGCCAAAAAACATAAGGGAATTGTTGCAAGAAGTAAAAAAATTTTAATTTATTTATCCTCCAGACAACATACAAGTGATATCCTTTCATATTAAAATGCAGTGTCCTTTTGCTTTTTCTAATTCTTTCATTTGTTTCTCATAATTATTGAATTTTGTACCATACCTTGAGCTTTTTCCACCGATGTTTCTTTTCTAGTTTTTCCTTCATCAGTTTGCTTCATGGTCGTGGTTTCTGAAATTTCCAAACAAAATGTGATAGTAGAATTATAGATTTAGCATTGCTTTACTATTAACTTTAAAATATGGTACTTAATACAAAATATGAGATTTCTTTCATGCCGAGTATAACATATCAAAACTAATTTTTTAGACATTTACATCAGTATTTCCGATTGCCAACCAAAATAAAATGATAAAGTAGATGTGAAGACCTATAGTTGAGATATAAGATGTCTAATAAGTCGCATAAAGCACATGTTTACTACAAGTCTGCAATGTCATGTTTGAGATGACACGCAGTCTTTTTGTACAGCTAACTCCCTGGGAAGTTTTGTTTTGAAAAATATTTTACTAGCTAAAATAGGGAAACAACAAAATAATTTTGATATCAGTTGATATGGCTTTTTTAATATTTGCTTAAAACATAACTTGAACTTTATACATATTCTAATTGATACATCACTCAAAATAGATAACCACAATGCTTCTATAACATGGTTGAGGATATGCACATTGTCATAGCAGATCTCATTAATCTCACTGTTCAACGCTGGATAATTTAACCATTTTGTGACAATCCTGCAGATCTAAAACTTGAAGTGTATTGACTTACAATATAATGAAGTCTTTCAATAAGCAAACGGGATGATCAGAGATTGTACGTGACCAAATTGTCATCCATCTCAATGAAAAAAACACTGACCATGATCTACTTGTTCAATCGATTTGCAATACGATGGGTCATTGGTACAAAAGATTTGAGAACCACCAGTCTATACCGCTTTATTTTTGAACTTGTTGCAATGAAAGCATACAAATACTTGATCTCATCTGACCTCAAATATTAGTGACATACATCCAAATAAAGATTAAACATGACTGGTCAAATTTCAGCACATAACTTATTTTAACAGTATATCTTTAGATCTAGTTGAATTTCTAACTGAATAAAGTTGCTAAAAACGAGCTATTGATATTTTGATGATTACCAAAACTGAAATAACTTAATCTTTACCTTCCAGAGGTTGTTCTGATTCTTCTGCAATTCCAGTTTTCGAACTTACTTTCAACTATAAATAGAATAGGATTTTATTATGTTTATTCCAAATGAGACAAAAGCTCATAAATGAATTAATAATAATAACATGGTGAATCATGGCCTTTTGTTTAGTCACCTTTGATATTTGTTATGTTTAGAACTTGAAATTTTATCAACTCAATCATATGATATGTACGGTAAGTTATTAGTTTTAAATTTTATACACAATAAGTTGGCCTAGAATTTAATATCAATGTGATTACAATTAAATATTGCTCAAGTTGCTCATGTTTCAATTGTAGTAAACGACTTTTTCTAGAAAACAATAGGCCCACTCATTGCCTAGTAATCAGAAGCATAAAGTGAACCTTGGTCAAATCCAATACTATGTTGGCTATGTAGATAAGTTCAGTAACTCGGTCTTTATTTTTTCTGACTTTTCCAAACATGGCACTTTTCCATTGCTGTGCTGTTTGTCTACAGGGTTCCCGACTTCCTACTTTATCAGTACTGAGCAAAATTTGTAAAATAAAGATGTAAGAAGAAATGAGGGTATTAGTTTCATTAAGTAGTTCGAGTATTCAGAACAAATTACCATATGTCATGGCGTTGGTGCAAGAGGTATTCCTTGAAAATAATATTATACCCTGAATGCAAAGGCAATTGCAGTAACAGTTAAAAGAATTTTAATTGTACCTTCCGAGCATAGGCCACGCAATTTCAAGTAAAGCATTGAATAAATCAATTCCCAATTCAGGGTCTAGAAATTTTTTTGTATTGTCCAATATCCATTTACGGAGACTTTTATCATCTTTGCCTTGCTCTCTTGTAACTCTGAATATTTTTGCTTCCTGAAAACAAAATAAAAATTGTAAGGATTTGCCCAACTACTGATTCCAACAAACTTTTATGTGCCTCCCATCTCTTGAGATAACTGTTTTTTCTCTTTTTTGTATATGAGTATTCATTGTTTATTCACTACACACGTAGTGATGGGATAAATACTACTACTACTACTCCCTCTAGAAGAAGAAATTCATTGTTTGGTATTTCTGCAACAAAAAATGATGATTTTTCGTTAAAGATGAAGAACATTACACTAAAAAAACAGATAATTGAGAGTTAGATTAAGTTGAGTGGGGCAAGTGGCCCAAAAGCATATAAAGTGGTATTTATCTTATTTTCTTTCTGTGTTAAGATAGATATAGTACTTCGGCAGAGAGTCAGAGTATTCATATGCAGTGAGATTCATACAATTGGGGCAAGTGTAGACAATACATTTTTGAGAGAACCCTCTGCATATCAAATAAGGCATATTTCATTCCTACGGGAAAAGATAAATTGTATTCAGTTTCTCTTGCTTCTAATTAATGTAATTAAATAAAATGTGATTAAAACCCACAGCCATAAATATTTGATAGGAATAAACTATAATTTCCTAATCTAAAGTTGCATTTATGAATTATGTCTTTATAAAATTAAATTTGCAACCTAATTTTTGAATCAGTGATTCACAAAAAAATCGTTCTGTATCTTATGATAATAACTTGAGAAACGTTGTAGAAGATTAAACACTGTGTTTATAGGAGGATATAATTTTGTTTACTATATACATATCCCAACTCATTACTTGTTGAGTTAGTTCTGGCTGACAGCAAGTTTATACTATTATAACCACAAGATCTCATGAAGCTTTCAATTTTTTTGGAATATATAGAAACTAAACCTTAGAAACCTAGTCAACATTAATGGGTTCTCATTTGTTGCCCACCTGTGACCTTTCTAAGTAAATAGTACCTTTGTGTGTGTTAATATCCAAGAGCAAATCTTCATAAATGGTTGAAAACTATCAATGTTTCCATGTTCAAATATTGTAGCAATAGCATCATCAGGCCAATTTTCCAAAACTTGCCTGGCATGACGATAAAAGAAATAAATAAAATAGTGAAGTTAATGTATAAATCTGAGTGAATGACAGTAAAAGTTCATCATATTTCCACATATGTTTTTCAATTTGCCGCTTGCAGTTTGAAAGCTTAGAGCAAACACATTTTCATTATTGCATGGATTCTTAATTACTAGAGCATTTGTTTCAATAGAATTTAAATGTTATGGTAATCACTTATCAATGTGGCAAAATATTTGTTGCAAATATATAACTTACTCTCCAAAACCAGGCCATGTGAATTTCATTGTGGGAAGAAGAACTTCTCTGGTGCTCGAAATACTCTCATAGTTCTCATTCAAAAATGTTGCCAACTTTTGGAATTCTGAACATAAAGGAATGACATTCCACTCTAGAGGGAGTGCATAAAATTTAATTAGATTGTGCCAAGAATTACAAAATCGTTCCATTTGTATGAAAAAAATTATTGTAAAAATGGAATACTGTTCGAAACAGGTAATCTCAAGTCTTGGAAATACTGAATTATATCTAACCTGCTTCTTCAATATCATTTGTTACTATATCCGCATTAACCTGAAATATAAACATTGATATACTGGTATATACCGGGTGGCTCAAAAATGGGTATACAGTTATTAAAATCATTAAACAGTAAAATAATTTAAAAACTGTATACTTACTTTTGGACCACCCAGTATATAATTATATATAGGCCTAAACGTAAAAATAGTTCATACTTGATAGGGCCCAAGACATATATATGTTAAGTGGAATTAGACTTTTCATGGTGTAATTAACATTGGTTGATTGCAAATCAACGCAAGTATATTTTCAAGTATGACACTTTATCATCTGCGTAAAATCTGGCCTAAATCAGTTGATCCCGTTCATTATGTTATTAGAACATTACAACTCAATAGATAGTCATCCATATATCATTTCTTTAATTATATTGCCAAGGTTTCGAAGTGTATAATTTATTTAAAAAATATATTTGCACTAATATAATATTAAGATATACAAACTTTGTATATCTGCAGAAACACATTTGCAGCATTTGCAAATTCAGTGGTTTTCAACGTATCGGACTTATGCTTTTGTAAAAGTGTTGTCGTCCAATCCTGAACCTGCATCCTAGAGAAAATGTGACATGGATATGAGTTATAAATATATAGGTGTATTCGAGGTATTTAAATTCGTGGTTAAATTCGTGTTGCTTTTTTATGACTTTTATATTGTTTTGTTTAAAATATTTTATACGGTAATTAAAACCTCAAAACTCACCTACTTAATTTCTGAGTGCAATATTTGTATAATTCTGAATTTAAGCCTCACTTAATAGTAATGAACATAAGGAGGAATATTCTGGGATGTTGTTTTCACTATTCAAATAGGTTAAATATATCTGTTGGTAAAGAATTTTTATATTGTAGATTACTTTTCAGTTTTTGACCATCCCATATGTAGTAGCTTATTGAACAAAACCGTCCTTTTTTCTGTCTTCTTGAAATGTCTTGGGCCATTCATAACCCAAGCTCTTGCATCTTTTGTGTCAATATTCGGTACTTGCACCAATGTCATATCTGGTATTTTCTGAAAATGTTAACATATAGTAAAATATAGCTTATATCAAATACTTAATGCTTTTGCTCAATCATTCATTACTGATAATGGCATGATTTTTGGGAATTACGGTAATAAGAATCCAAATGAGTTTGGTGGTTTAAAGTCAACAAATATGAACCTGTGGTTAAAAATTAGAGAAAATGTTTCAGTCACTTAGCAAAGTAAAAATTATCTAAATAGTATCAATTTGAAAATATTGAGTCAGAGATTTGAAAATCTTTTATGAATCACTTATAAATATTATACAAGGTGGGAGGTAAAATTATAAACAGGAATAGAACGTAAAATTAATCGTGAATTTCAATGTGAAGAACATTGGCTTGTTTGCGATTTGTTATTGCTGATATCATGGAAAATAATTACATTCCTTGAATTATGTCAATGAAGTGTGGAATTTGCCAATTTTGTAAATACAAATGAGTTTCTCGGTAACAACTATAGCTATAATAATGGTTGTGAAATTGTTTTGTTGCTAATTCCACTACTAAACACATAAACACTAAAATTCAAGGTCATTTTTCACACATTTTGCCATTAGATCTCATATGTTCAATATCACCTTTCTCCGAGTAGAAATATGTTTTGAAAAGTGAAGTTTCAGGGACAAATGTTTGACAAACATCTTATTTAATAAACGACCCATGCAAAGTGGCTTGAAAAGATTGATCATGGCCACAACATTCAATCATGCATAATACAAGCAATTGCGGACTATTTGAGAATTTTATCAAAAACCGGTCTTGCTGACCTATTCATTACCTTTTTAATATCCAAAATGTGCTTGGTCAACTCAATGAAATCAATAAATAATTCATCTTCAGCGGGAACAATCCTTGATAGTAATTCATCTATCCAGTCACCTTCTTCGCCATATTCACTAAAACAAGAATTTCACAAATGTTATTGCCACAAACGCAATGAGCCTGCCAATGACAAGAAAGAAGAATTGTACCTAAATATAAGATAATACAACAAACTTACATGGGGTCAGCGGACCAAATTAGTTGTACAACTGGGAGTAGAAAAAGTTCCAAGTCACATATTGCTTCATAGTTTTCATTGACAAATTCCAGTTCTGGACTCGACTCTGTGTTGGAAAAATTGAAAATTAGTACATCTATATGAAAAGTGATGTTCAACAGGCTTCTTACTCCTCGAGCACAAATTATTTTTGTAATGCTTTTAGCCAAGGCCAAACTTTTTGAAATAACCTGTTTGAAACTAGAAATAAGAAACACTTTGTCAATACAGGCAGAGACTTCAGGTCAGATCTAAACAAGCAAAATTAACAAAATATGTACTATCAAATCTACGGTATTTAGATATGACTCCTGACTAAAACTGGCATTAGTTTAAAAATATTAAAAAAAAAAATATTTTGCAAGAAACTTCTAGAAAGTAAGACTTCGACTAATAGGGTGCTATGTGTGTGTGACTCGATGGTTGTGTGCAAGTGCAATAGGATTAAGGAACAGATAAATGGTTAGAAATAGAACGGTCAGTCATTTGTATGATAAGATGATTTTTTCTGGTTTCCCTCTATGCTTCCCTATGAAGACAGACAATACAATCATGAAATCCTGTATTTTTATCTCAGTGATTAACAGTGGATTTAATCTGAGATCCTACTAATATAAAAAGGCTTCAAAACTGTTTATTCTGAGTCATGGGCTTCTTTTTGAACAAATGCTGCATCTTACCTTCCATTTCCTGCAAAGTCTGTACATTTAGGCTATCTTGCTTTGCATTCTGAAAAAAATTTTCAATAAATAATATAAGTTTTCGTATACCGTATGCTTTGGTACAGAGAAAGCCAGCTTTTCGATATGGTGTACCTCAACATTTTGGCTAATTACCAGTCACAATATTATACATGAATCATTAAACCAGTTAGTCCATTGCAATAGTAGAATATAACTGTGAAAGTAACAGTCAGGACTAGAAGTTACACGGACTTTAGGTGAGGAGTCCAAGAATTCTTTGTACTTTATTTGCACTGATGCAAGAAATTATGACACAAAAAATTGTGAGTTGAAAATTGTGAATTAAACATCTAGATTCTAGACAGGTTGAATGTTGGGCTCTATATATATCTAGTGTATCTGTATATATCGGTTGCTAACAAACTAGTTATGATTAAAAGATTTTTGAAGTCACATTTTTTTTTTATAACAAAGTATATATTCCTACTCACCTCAATCAAACATATGATTGTTCGAGCTGCATTAGCAATATCAGTTGCTCTGGCAATATCAAGTTTGTATTGTCTCAGAAATAACTTTGTCCACTCAGTTGGATCAATCCTATATCAATATAGAATCAACATTTGAAACGTTGAATAGACCCACTGTAGTATTGCTTTGACATTTGCAATATTTGTCAAATATTTTGATTCAATATAAGCCGAGCTCAAACTCTATCATTGATGATCTGTCTTCAAACAGTAATTTTTTCTCATATCTACAACTAAATACTAGTGCCACTATATACTTAAACTATGTAAAAAACTATATTTCAACAATCTTGCATGTAAATGCAAAAGATTACCAACTTAAAAGTGAATCTGGATGTCAGGGCATCCTAATTGAATGCCAAAGAGATGCTTATAATAAATTAACTACAAACTTTTTATTGGTTGGCCAGGCCAATTGAAGTATAATATTGACTGTTTCCATATCTTCTTCACCAAGCTGAATAATTTTTTTTTGCACAGCCATTATCCAGCCTCTTGCTGATTTCGCATCCATGATTATTGGTGACTGGAATCCCTGAGAATCCTAAAAAAATCTTGCATATAAAAGTTTGGACGAGATGGCCTAGTAATTAGTGCTTTTGACTCGATCATATAGTGTCGCAGGTTTGAACCTCATTCCTGCCTTCTCTCCACATAAAGCAGTGGTTCCCAACCTTGAATCGTGACCCTCCAAGGGCGCCACAAAGCAATAGCAATACAAGGTGCAAAATTAATTTTGATGCCATTTTGTTTGTACATTTTTCCCCTTTATAAAATAATGTTTAATGTCCAAGAAACAGAAATGAAAGACTGTTACATTGCCTTCGACTTAACCACACCAAATCAAGATGGCCTGAAAGTTGCACAATACTGATATTTTTGAAATGCTGAACAGGAAGTGCCGGAATGGAAATACGGGCCATAAAAGGCGGGAAACCACTGACTTACTGTGTAGTAAATTGAGCTACTAATGTACACAGCCTTGTTCGGAGTAAAATGTGAAAAAAACTTTATTATAGATATAATAGCAAATTGCATTTCTAAATTACTTATCCTCACCTCAGAACGGTATCTCAAAAGTCTAGTGGCCACACGCCAAGTTATGATATATATATATATATCTGGCGGGGAATTCGGTTAAAGTAAGTATATATATTCCTGTTATATTTTGGGTGAAGATAGATATATTGCTCCTGTAGAAAGTGGGAATATTCTTTTTAAGGGAGATTCATACAATTAAGACAACTGTGGGAGTGGAAGAAGTGATAAGTGGGGTGCAAATGCGAGACACCCACATTAAATATTAAAAAGCTTTGAAAATGTTCTTGGTAATTGTATCTCACAAAACGCAATATTCAAACCTTGCTCAAATCAAGAATGCATTGACAGACATGCACAAAATGTTGTCCTGGTAAACGATCTTCAGTCTTGGAAAGATCAGAAATTAAATCATTCAGCCAGTTTTCTGTTTCAGCCATGCTATAACCATAAAAATAGAATATATCATCAAAAAAGGAAGAAACTTCATTCTAAATTTGAATGATGTCTATTCCATTTAGGAATAGACTATCAGGCGGCTTAATGCTGTAGCAGAAATACATGTTATAAAATGTTTTTTTATCAATGTTGACACAATATCCATTTTAATATCATTACTGTTGTTTAGCTATTTGACGGGTCTTACCGACAAGCTAATACTTTCTATTCTGTTGTTAGTGACCTAAACAACCGAATTCAGAAGTCCAAATTTTTATTCAATTTAGATATAAAAAACATAGTTTCCTCTCCAGCATTTAATAATACCAAATAAATAAAAATCAATCCATCACAACCAACATAAACCAGTACATAATAAATTTACGCTTAGTTGAGGGAATTTGAATATAATTTCAATTTAGAAGCAGGACTCTTGTCAAAATGTTGAAGAGTTAAATATTTATTGGAAATAAATTTTCATTTCAAGGTCGTACGTTATGTCAACGTCGTACAGATGGTTAATATGACTAACTTTGTTGATAGAATAATTTGATCTAAAAAATCGGATCCAGGATATATCGGATATACACTAACCTTGTATCCGTCGGCCATATTACTTTTGCAATTGGAGCAAGCATATCTCGTACCGCAGTTAGTTCTTCAAACTTGCCTTTCAGAAACTCTACCTCTGGAGATAAATCTGAAAAATTATTAGGAATTAAAATTAGTTTTTACATAGAAATGTGAGTAAAATTGTTTGAACCATGGAGTTTATATCAGCAGTCGTTCTATAAAGATGTAATTACTACGTTTTGATTGAGTATTTAATTTAAATTTACATTGAGGTCTTGAGCAGATTTCAACATTTTTAGCGGTACTCACTTTGATCGTTTACACCGTTTCCAATATTCTTCGTTTCACAGGCCTGAAATAAAATATACCAAATAATCAAGTCATATTAACAATTGGGCGCTGCCCTCGTTATTGTTTAAATATTCACGCACATTTCGAGCATCACATTTATCGGTACTTTAAACTTTCACTCCGGCATACCTTTGGATTTATTTTGTGTCGACGTTCCTCGTATTGACGGATATGCATCTTTCGGAGTTGATTGTTTAGATTGTTCTCTTATTGTTGCCGTTGTTTCGGGGTTAGGAACGTCATATTTAAGAACAATCAGGGCGCACGAATGAATATTTTATTTATAAACGAGTTTGTGATAGATAAGACAGGAAACGACAAAAACAAATCTTGTACTAGCAATAGCGCAGCTTTTTTTATATTACGATTTAGCATTTAGAATGTTATGTCATTACATTAGTGTCAGATATGAGTATAACAACCTTGAATGAATTGAATATTTTCAATACCTGTAACGATTTCAACAGAATTTTTGCAGATTTTGCAAAGTCTTGGAATCTGTCTTTGTCATCAGCATACTGCGTGCGCAACTTTTCCATCCATGTTTGCTGAATGCTAAAATACAGTGTTACATATTGAGCAAATAATAATCAGGTATTTCATAATCAAAATCTATTGGTTAGATTTATTATGTCAGTTCGGTGATAAGGAGGTTAGAAATTCAGTAGGGTATTTTAGGCCTAGGGCAGTGGTTCTCAACCTTTTCCCTTCTGTGGCACAAATAATTCGGTGGCCCATTAATTTCTTATGCACGATAAAAAGTTACAAAAAAACACAAAAAATATTTTTGCAAAAATAGACATTTTCTTTTTAGTAAATAGAATGAAAATTACGACTCATTGGCAAAAACAGCATTATCATTCATTGCCACTAGAATCGTAATTAAACTATAGTTATAAAAATGAAACTAAATTTTTACAATAACGTTAGCGATTTATATTAGGTTTGTGGCCCACCTAAAAATGTTTTTGTGGCCCAGCAGTGGGCCATGGCCCACATGTTGAGAACCAGTGGCCTAGGGCATAGGTTCTCAAAGTGCTCCGTACGGAGCTCCAGGGCTCCGCAAGAGAAACCCAGGGGCTCCGCGAGCTATTCGTTTACTTTTTAAAATACTGACTAATTTCGTAACTGTTCAAAGAAGCAATAACAGCTTTGATAATATATGACAACAGTATAGCCTCGAAATATGGCAAAGAGGCGGAATTAAAAAATGACATTATTTATAAGCAGGAGCGCAGCAAGGATTCTTAAGAGGGAGGTGGTTCAAAATTGGAATCGGAAATTTCCGCGCAACATTTTTTGCGGTTAAAAAAACGGATAACGAGATTTCTGTTGCGTAAAATATTCAATCCATGTCCATGTCCACATATTCAATCGTTACTCACGTTTGATTCGAGATTACTATTAGGATTACTAAAATGAAAGCATACTATTCTAAAATAACATAAAATACGTGATAAACTGCCAACTATAAATAAATTGGAGTCGTATTTTTGCGATCTTGGAATTTGTCAAACTTGATTCGTTCTTTCGCACTTAAGATTATTTTTAAGCAAGATATCGCCGTTTAAAAAATCGCAATGTCTGGGCAAAATACGAACAATTGAAATTTATTTTATTGCATTCGGCTCCGTTGGTAGTTTCAGAATGAAAAAGGGTACATCGCGGATCGCGCGCACAATTGATTGCGTGCGGCTCCGTCGGTAGTTTCAAAATGGGAAAAAAAGGTACATCGCGCGCACAATTGACTGTGTTTCGATTTCGCAGTTACTACTACGATGAAAACCTAACATAACACCAAATTTTGTGATTTACAATGTCTATAAAAGCGTTTTCAATCTGAGGCGAGTCTGAATCTGCTGAAACCACACGTGTGATCTTCCATTTTAAGTTTTAGTTTTAATATTTTAGAATGCCGCTTTTCAATCAAGAAATGTGAGTTGCGGATTTACCTCTTTATTAATTATTATTTTTAGCATTTCATCGTCGATGACTATAATATGGTAACATATTTTTCACATTCAACTGATGATTCCCCACGAGAACAAAAAAGCAATTAACGTCGTCATTGTGTAACAATACATGTATATGCCGATCGACCCCTAATTTATTAGTATGTTTGTCAAGTGTCAAATTTACAGCTTTAGTATATAAACTATATATATATAATTTATGCTTAAAATTTAGTTTTATTTATGACTTGCATCAACCCTATTAAAAAAGGTTCCGCATTTAAATTGGGTAAAGTACTTTTAACTTGCTCAGGAATATTAATCTGAAAGTAACAATTTTAACATTTCTTTTGGGGCTCCGTGAATAATAGTCAACCTTTTCAAGGGCTCCGCAACACCAAAAGTTTGAGAACCCCTGGCCTAGGGGAAGTAATATAGTCAGTACGTACAATTCCACTTGTGAAATTTAGTTTTATTTATGACTTGCATCAACCCTATTAAAAAAGGTTCAGCATTTAAATTGGGTAAAGTACTTTTAACTTGCTCAGGAATATTAATCTGAAAGTAACAATTTTAACATTTCTTTTGGGGCTCCGTGAATAATAGTCAACCTTTTCAAGGGCTCCGCAACACCAAAAGTTTGAGAACCCCTGGCCTAGGGGAAGTAATATAGTCAGTACGTACAATTCCACTTGTGAACCCGGCGTTTTGTCTGGTTTAGCAGGGCAAGTCAGGTATGTGTGTGGGAATAGTTCACTTCTTAATGGTTTAGGATGAAAGCATAGACTTCCTTACACTGTAAATAAGGCTTACTAGGTCATGTGAACATTCTGCGACTACAGGTACCTCACAAGCATAATTTTGCTAGCAGTGCTATAGAATGTTTGTTTCGAGCGTCAAAATGTCGTGTATAAATTTCACAGTGTATAAGTTTTAAAAAAATTAAATCATCCCTTTGTTGAGTATTATTTAAGTTTCACATCTTTAATGCGAAACTGCTTAAACAATAAATTGTCAAACCTGTCGATGTTCGGCCATGTAAGTCTCAAAAGAATATCAAACATTTTCATCGATATCTCTGATTTTATCGGCTTCTGTAGATATTTTTCTACCCAACCCCAAGCTTCTTCTGGCTCAGCTATTGGGTCACTCTGAAATACTGGAGATGCCTAGAAATGATTGTATACAATTACCATTTATAAATACATGTAACACACGTCTAGAACTGGGAAAATGCACAGACCACCTATGAATAAGAATAGAGGTATTCATAAATTTGATATATATCTGATCGATAAATAGGTCTAAATATATTTTTCGACGTTTGGTCTTGAAATGGGCATTCCACAATCGTCAAAATGGGAAATTTCCATTTCTTTCTGAAACAGTCGCCGCGATTACGCGCTCGTTAAAAATCTTTTTCAGCGTATACCGACTTTTTTGTCGGTAATTTTGTCTAAAATTTCCCCCTGTATTATTGTAATTGTGTCCAACGTAACTTGCGGTTGCGACTTCTTGCGTAGAAATATAAACAATACTGCTTTAACATACCACATCAATCTGTTGAATCCGTAAAATATAAGATAAACATGCCTAATTGTATTTAGTTTTAATATATTTTTATGCGATCTTGCGAATTCGTTATCGCCGTTAAAAAATCTCAAGATAATAAAATCCGTACATTACTCATTATAAAGTATACCAGTAAATCAAAAATACATGTTTATATATATTCATTGCCTCAAAATCCACACGAAACGAGTTTCTCGACGGATAATAACGATTATTCTGTTGTGCAAAGTGATCAATCCATGGCCGATACGGGCATATTTAAAATGTCTTGCTTTATCAATTTAATTGTCTTCAAGTTACCCTGCGGTTGCGTCGACAAAATAAAAGCATCATTATTCCCAATAACCCAGGCAAACCGTGGATATAAAAATGTGTGATAAACTTCCCAATTATATTTAGTTTTGATCTGTATTTTTCATATTTGAGCTGTCTTGCAACACTGACTCCGCTTTATCGCAATGCTGCCACTCAGATTATTTTTAAAATAAAACAGTTAGAAAAATCCCCAAGTCTGCTATAAAATTTCATGTAGTTAAATTTATTTTATTACAATAAAAATTGAATGAATATACTTTAACACAACTCGGAAAAAATTCGCGTTTCCAACCTTGTATAATATTATCACGAAAATTTTCGACGGCAGTTGAAAATAATGAATGAAAAGTCAAATCCCGCGCACAATTGACTGTATTTCGATTGTAGTGAAGGTATGGCGGCCAACGGTACGGTACGGAAAATAAATACGAACGTAAAGGTGTTTACGGCCTAAATAACCAGCCTCGCTGATAAATAAAAACGGCAATTTTAGCAAAATGCAATCGCACGCGACTTTTTCAGTTTTCCAAAAATCTCAAAAGGAGGAGTGCTCCCCTCCCACCCTTCTGGCTGCGCCACTGCCTATCCATAATTCATTACTTTAGCATCTTGAAGAGAGACATTTAAAAAATTATAAGTCATACTGTAATACCTTTCCGAATTCTAGGAAGCAAAAACAGATTTTTCTAAAGAGTTGATGGGATACTTTATTCTCATTGTCAGTTTCTATGCTCATCAAGTCATCCAACCAAGATTCGTCGTCTGCTGATCTACGTCTGAATAGAATGATTTAGTTATCGTCCTATATAAACAGCTGTCGGAATATGACTCCAATATAGTTTTTTCATATATGGAAATTATATTTTTATCACAATGAAAAATTATTTACCATAGCCTTAGCATAAAAGTTGTCAGTCAATGTAAGATTTGTATGATTTGTATGGTCATCTCAGATAGTTCTAGAATCACTTTCAATAGTTTTTCAGCTACCAACGCATTGTTTTCGATACATGTTTCTGCCGTGCATGTCTATATGACCTTATACGATAATTAAGACGTAGATTATTGCTCACTAACATGTAAACTTACTCCGAGTCTTCGGGCAAGATTAAATTTACTATTGGAAGAAGCAGATTTGCTGATTCTGTCACCGCATCATAATTGTCCACCAAAAACTGTGACAGATTCAGATGGTCTTCATCTTTTTCTAAAGTACAACAATGCGGTTAATTGATGATAATTTTGATATATTAATTTCATATATTAATAATAAATAGATATTAATCAATTTATTTAAATATAAACCACATAATTAGTAATTTACACTCTAAACACAGTTGTAGCATTTTTGACATGATGACTAATATAACGAACCACAACATCGGTTCATTATATTATATTATAGGAATACCTAACCATCGAATTCTAATAGTTTTGGTTGCCTGGATCCGATGGCGGGTCATACCGTAACTGACATTCAGGGTGACGTTATGACAATCCTGCTGCTTGTCCTTATAGTCCGGCAGATAAGGGGACCTTTTTGGCCCAAGTTTGATTTCAGACATAAAGTTTTTTTTATTTGTGATTATTCATCTTGGGTTCATTGCCCATCATTTCTACATGGGTGTGGAGTTTGCAGCCTTGAGCAATTTTTTTACGGCTCGATATTTGTATTAGTGTTTTTTGTCAAACCTATGCATCATAATGACGCACAACCTGAACCATAACCTGTTACAATACTATGTTCAGGTTGTGCGCAATCTTGGTGCACAAACTACGCGGGCACCAAATTTACAAGAAAATAAAATCAATAACTTTTAGGTATTTGTTGAGCCCAGCTTTGGGTCGCGACCCATATACAGTATATGGAAATACTGTCGAAACACACGCGTAAAATAAAGAGAACTATTTCAAAATACCCGTTTTTGTTGCAATTAAGAATACAAGCCTGCTAAGCAGTCGCCAGTGGTTGAAGTGGATATACACCCGGTGGAGAACAGTCAAATATTTGTTAGCAAGAATTGTTATGCAGCGGGATGATCACGACGACGCAGTGAAAGATAATGATATCATGAGAACAAGAATGAGGAAATTGCTACATTTTATAGTATATCCCTGGGAAAGAATGTCTTTCATGCTTATGTCTCATGCCAATGCTTTTCAAACTACCAAAGACTCTCAACACTTTTGCTTCTTCTCTTCTATAAAAATACATTGTTATTATATATTTGTATTTCCATCTGTTTGTTAGTGCTCCCATATAACCGATCAGCGGCCTCCAAAGAGGGCGGGGTCCCCTTTAAGAAACCGTGTCATAAACTAAAAGAGGCGACTGTGCTTTTCTTGCTTGTTGTCATGCTGTCTCTGGAATTCAGCTACAACAAAAATTTCACGAAAACGGATTTTTAAATTTTATGATTTTATCAATATTCTCAACAATGAATGATATACGGGTGGTAAAAGGCCAAGTAATTCCAACAACAGGATTATGTTTTGCAATTTACAACCAATATTTTGTATGTAACTTTGTTTGACAGAGCCCTAAGAGCTCTAACTACAAATATCAAAAATGTGAGGCCAAAAAAGTCACACTACAACATTGTCAAATGTGCTGTATTTACGATAGATAACAGGTTTACCAAAAAGAATTACATGAAGAATGGTAAAATAAAGATCAATTCAGCAATATCTACTTGGTGATAGTAGTATGCAATCAAATAATCTTATTGTAGAATATATATTTAAAAACATTTCGTCACGCCAACTGTAGTCTCAAACTTTTTTTCTCTGGCTGAGCTTAGATACCAATTGGCACTCATGTAAACTGGTAAGACTGTAAGAAGCACGCGATGGAGCAGATATTCAGAGTATCCATCCCCCAGCTATCATTTGATTGGGTACTGCTGTTTTTATTGCAGATGTTACTGATCTTTTTGTATTAAAGATTTACTGGCATCACCGATTTAAGGATGTTGGAAACCTACAAGCAGTATTACAAAACTTACTTTCAACACGCGGTTTGAATGAAAAAGCTGAAACTAGTATTCTTTAGAATAGCATACAAATTCTATGGAAAATATCATACACAAAAGCCTATATCTCAATAATCAAGTGGAATTTGATGCATGTGCGCAAAAATGTGCGCGTTACTACGTACAACCGAAGCACGCAGGAAATGTGTGTGATGCACTAGTATTCAAAACGTTTGAATCAACTATGTTGGCACAACAGGTGCACATCTCGGTTTCGCATACGCATACCTTCTATCTCCACAAGGATATATTAATTTTGCCAAAGTCAATGCAGCACTGAAAGGTTGCGGTTCTTCCAAAAGAAAACACGTTACACATCTTTAGATACCAGTGGATGGTTTTACATGGCCTTGTTTGGAGTGAAAGACGAGGTCAAATATTCCAATCCAATTCAACTAATAAAATATTTCCCAAGTCCCTAAGCTTAAACTAGGAAAACGAAAAGCGCGCGGCAACGCAAATGTATTTTGAAGAGCGCAATAGAAAGTGGCTATAGATGCTGTCGATGGATCTTGGCTTGTATTAGTGAAATAAACTACCATTTAATCTACTAAAATTGAATTTCTGACATTGTAAGGAGATTCAATGTTACTATGTATGCAAAACTAAACCCTGTAGTTGTGAAATAATTGTTTTTAACAAAAAGGCGCTCCTGAAGTATTCGTACCAAGAAGGCTCACAACCTGAACATTGTATGTTTACCAGGTAAGGGTTCAGGATGTGCGTCATCTTGGACCGAATACTTTATATCCACTTAAAAAAAATTGCTCAACATTATATACTCCACACCCATTTGGGTATCATTGTATATGTCATATACATTATATCTAAACAATAAAAAAAACTTTATGTCCCAAAACAATGTTAAGGCCCGATTCTGCCGGACTATTAGTACTAAGCTCCTAGTTCCTTTTCTTACTACGATTTAATCAGATTTAGTATAACTTAGTAGTATTCATTGCGATCAATTTAAATGGTAGTTTCGAAAAGGTCACTAATAAAATATATAGTTTGCACTCAAATAGAGCTTATTCGCCATAATATTTATAAGATGTAGAGTCGCCTTGTCTGTCTGTAGTGCTATTAAGATGGACTGCCCTTCATAACAGGGCCGCATGCACAGTTCATAGTGAGAAAAGTAAATGACGTTGATATCATGCGATCAATATTTAATAAGTAAAAGAACACCTGATAAAATTCCAGCAATCACTGTCAGGTTTACAGATTTTTCTGGCGCAATATTTTTATTGAAGTCTTCAGAAAGAGATTTAGATGGTTTATTTGCCTGCAAATAAAAAAAGTAAATTCAAAATACAAATTATTATAAAATACCCAAGTAAGCTTATTGCGATTGAATTGTAACGATTTTAACGGTTTACTTGGCGTTTAGAAACGATGATCGAAAATCAAAATCACCGTTAAATTCATTCTCACTCAATAATAATGAATTCTCTATTTTAAATCGTTTTAACATTCTACATAACATAGAAGATGTACATACAGTAATTGCAATAAAAATTTCAATTATCTCACGTTTTCAAATTCAATCATTCCAAGAAGGATGTTAGATGCATTTACAAAATCCGTTGCAAAACTAGGATCACATTGGTACTTTTGAACAAGTTGATCTTTCCACATCTTTGCCGGAATACTGTTGAATAAAATTATACACAAAAATCAAACACTATCTTACTTTATTAGGGCTTTGCGGAAAATACGACAGGCGTGTGAAGACATACGCTCTTGCCAAAGAGCAAATGCAATAGCTCTATAAAACTATGAATGAATTTTAGAGGAAAAACCCGCTCTTACATCCTAATAGACAAACATGCATTGTAAGCGAAGCAATATTACTTTTATTTATTACATGGATACCTAATTATATCAGGCCAACTAATTTCCAATAACAATTTCACTGCTTCTACTTGCTCCTTTGATTCATTAAAGTATGTTTCTAAGTTCTGTATCCATAGTTCAGCTGCTCCGGTATCAATATATGATTGTGGCTTGAAATTAGGAGATGTCTAAAAATAGAATACACGCAATATAATTGTTAATTCAACTTTCGATAATATTCCTATATAATCGCGTTATCCTGTAAGGCAGGGGTGGCCAACCTGCTTTCGAAAAAGCTTGCGATCGACTTATCGGTAATAAGATTATACACAACAACGAATAAATACTGAATACGCAAATAACTGCACACACGCATAAAAAATCGCGCTCCCAATAAGATCGGTTTTTTGGGCGCATAGAATTCAGATCTAACACCTATCTAATTTTTAGTCGTAAATGTCAAAAAATATTGTCAAGTATCCATGTATTGTCTAAACAGCAAAACATTAAATAATCCCAAACTATAAATGTTATATGACCGCTCAAACTTCAGTAACTTTTTTACATTTTCCTCCGAGTCCGATTCTTCGCTTGGAATTAGAAAATATTGGTCACTCTGAAGCTCAAGAAGTTTAAGATTGCGATTAAATTTAGTTTTGGCACGAGGCTTGTTATTTCCCAGTTTGGCTCCAGCAACACTGTGAATATTGTTCATACAATGTAATTTTTAATGTCACACTTACATAGCCGGCCGGTCTGGGTGGACAAAATTTCTGACCCATAGTCCAAAAACCTTACCCACATGTGCTACAAAATATGTGTATATCGTATTTGGCGCGTGTACATTACTGTATTATTCGTGTTTTAAAACACACAGCATGCGCTTCAAGAAATTGGGTTCGAGGCAATTTTTTTAGGTATTTTAGTAAATTCACTCAACATCGTACTCGATCAACTACTCGAGACGTGGAGATCGACCGGTCGATCACGATCGACGTGTTGGCCACCCCTGCTGTAAGGGGTTTGTAAAGTTCCATAACTTCGCATTCTTACCTTTAACTTCTCAAAGATGTAACGGCATGCTTTTATGAAATGATCTAGACATTGCTCAAATCCCTCATCGGATGCTACACTCATCAAAACGTCAGGCCATGTTTCTTCATTTGTGATCCTAAACATAAAAACGATTTATATTTCTGGTTTCATTTACCAATTAACTTGAATGAACTTTGAAGTTTACAATATGCACCCGAATTCAGGTGGTCCATGGGTCATATTTACTGCGTTTTTAACGAGGGCTGAAGATGCATTAGTACCGAATTAAATTATGTGCAACAAATCCATGGTTTCGCTGTATGTTGCAATGTACTCGATTAAAAAAAACAGAGTTACAAATTTCCAGATCTATCGTATCATTGCTTAATTTCTTGTGCACTGCTGAAAACTCGAAAAAGAAAAAAATACTACATGATCATTTGCGTTCGAAGAGTGCAAGTATTTTTAAAGTTTCTTTGAAAAAATATGAAATGAAGTGGAACATAATAGCGTCACTGGCTTACTCTGGTTTCCCTGGCCATATAAGTCGAACTATTGGAAGAAGAATTTCTCTTGATTTTTCTATTTCTTCGCAGCATTCAGTCAGGAAGTCTCTATTTTGTGTTTCATCTATGAAAAATAGTTCAATTGTATTAAATTTATTTACAGCTTTGTCAACCATTAACTCTATTATACCAAGTTATATTACCGTATAATTATTATTGGCATTCAGGTATAAATCTCCATGCTTTTTTTATTTCTTGGACGCATTCATTTAAAACTTGCGCAGAATCTCGAGCGTGTTTCAATTTAATCCAAAAACATTCACATCTATGATTCGTATGTTGCTTTTATTGCGTTTGTCTCTTAAATTTTACTTTTTAACTAAATAAATTCCACCTTTGTATTGTTCAGGATTATATTCTTTTGTAGACGTGAAAGTAGACGTTGGAATTTAAGTCATTACTTTACCTTCCAAATTATCTACCCTACAACACGTTTCTTTTGACGTAATAGGGGAGGGGCTAAGACAAAAAATACGTAATGTTTGAGGCCTAATGTTAAAAACAAATTCACCAATGCCATTTTTGCTTACTGCCTGTTTTTGACGTGGTATTTGAGTTGTTACAATTTTCAAAATCCAGTGATTCGGGCTGATCGGATTCTTCACCTTTCGTAGAATCTAAGATATAATAAACTTAGGTAATTATCAGGTCAACTACATATATATACACCAATTACATCATTCTGCATGTTGAACAATTACAGCTTGGACTATTTGGTAGATTACTTGAACCACCATAGACAAATTATTGAATAACGACTTTATTTTATACTTAACATTGCAAGTTTGAGTATTCATCAATTTTTATTTGCCTACTTTTGTGAAAGTAATTGAGAAATATATGCTGATATCATGTGCATCAATTTTATATATGTAAATTTGGGCACTATAACAACAGAAAATTTTAATATTCCAATGTTTTAAAATTTAATGTTGACAATGTTCCAATTTATGACACCTCACCTTCAAGACTCCTCGTTCCATGATCCGACGATCCACTTTCAGTCATTACCTAATGTAAAATGTACGTATTGATCATTCACCTTTTCCTAACCATTCATGTTTCATGAACTTTTGTGATTTACAGACGAAACCATAATGATTTCATTCAATTGGCCACAAATTTAAACAAGAATTATACCTGTTCTGACTTCCCTTCATCAGTCTGTAAAAGTAGTTCTTTCGCTCGAGCATGAGCAGAGTCTTCAGCACAAAAGAGCAGGAATCGAATGGGCCAGTTACGAATTAACCTGATGGCAAAAATAAATTAAACATGATTTTCGAACTGATTTTGACACCTCCTTGGATCTTCAGAATTTATTTCTTATCTAACCCGCAGTTAACAGATAAGTTATATTTTTAGTGTTTCATTACTGCATTCTTCACGGCAAAACCCAACGGAAAGGTGTCTCATTTTTTCCAACTGTTTATTGTTAATGACCCATGGCAACATTTGTGGTGTTTATAAAGACTTTACTCTATATTAAAATTTTTAATCACTCCCCAAGAAATCTGCAATTTTCGTGGAGGAATTACTAAAATACTTATTCATGAAGGTTTATTCAACACCAATTACTGTACAAAAACGGGAGTGCGACTTGCGCATAACACTAGCGAAAGGTTGAACAAATGTATAAAGTAGTTTTACGCAATATCAAGGAATGAAGAGTTCCAAAAAGAGTGAAGGGAAGAATTTAATAAAAATGTTTGAAATCACTGCTCTATTACTTATTGCAAGTTTTTTTTTGTTTTAGAATTCGATTGCATAATTTTTATCTAATGTTTGTATTGTTGCAAAATGTTTGCTTGCAGTTCTTCGCAACAAAAATCCCAACTTACTCTTCAACTACATTCGGCCAAAACTTTTGTATTTTCAATTTGAATGTCTCTTTTTGGTTAATCAATACATCCCAGCGTTTGACAAGCTTGAAGAATGTAAGATGTGGGTTGTCTTCAACCAGCTTCTCTACCAATGAAACAACTTGGTTTTTCACTCCACTTTCTGAATAAAAAATGTTTAGTTGATTTTCTAATCTTCTGTATTCATTTTAATATAGCCTTATATCTGGCCTCAAAATATACTTATTTGTGATATATAGTTCTTCAATGGTATCAACACGCAGTCTTGTTCTATCGCATTGTTGGCATATTTTAGGTAATTAGGGCAATCTTATCGAATTGTTATGTTACCGTGTGTGATGATTACTATGGGAAATTAAAGAAATACCTAAAAAAGAATATGTCTTAGCGATTTCCTAAAGGCTAAATAGTTGATATATACCCTTCAAATGCGATGGTAATTCTTTAAACCCCTTTTCGGCTTTCAACACATGTTGGGTCATCTGTTCCAGCGCCACTTTGAGATCATTTTTCTTGACGAGATCGAATATCTTATTGTCTGCGTGAAATATTATAGTAAATATTAGGACGGGGCAGCGGACCTTCGCAGTTCTAGTACCAAAATTAGAACTGGAAGTAAAGAATCGATCGAGTAATGGTCGTTTTTGCAGCATTATCTGGTACGAATAATATCAACCAAGCATGGCTATCACCTACTGATCATGACATTCTAAGTCACCCCAGGTGTATCCGTTTCCGTGTGGACTCTGATAATAAGATTTAAATTCGATATACGATAATAAATGGCAATCCAAAGTCCAATAGAATTTATTTCTCCTAAAGCGATTTTGATTTTAATTCAGTTTTGCAGCATGCAAAGACGAGTATATTCTAATATTTTCGGACTTTAATATAACAAACTTACCAGACCTATTTACCACTGATTTACCTTTTCTGATTATTTCTTTATTCAGTAACGTGTTTGCCAATTGTTTAACATCTCTTTCGCTATCACCAACACATCGCTGAAGTGCGATGGATAAGCATTGAATGCGTTCATCGCTTCCACTGCTTGTCTCGCTCATTTTGAGGTTCAATATAAAACTGCAATATGGTTTCTACATATTTTCTGTTAATAAGAAAAATATAAAATGTTTCGTAAGATATATAATTACCTATCGATCGAGATCGATGTTGATAGGTACTTGTTTGTTTGGTTGTTTGTTTGTCTGTTAGACAATTTCGTATGTTACGCGATATCTCACGAAAGCGAGGTTGAATCTGCTCCAAATTTTGCATGTGTATCCATCACATCTCGTTTTTATTATTGGTGCTTTTTTGCCATCTCGTGTGCCTGTTCTACAATGGTGAGGCTGACCTGGACAATGCGGTCAGTCTGATGCACTCGAACTACAAAGTGATACTCTAGACCAACAAGCAAACCAGACGGCTCTTTGTAGGCTACTGTGCTTCTAACGGACGAGGCTACTATGGAATTCGTTTATTGTGTGGGATGACATAATCAAAAATTTCACATTTGGCGGTGGTTACGTATGCGTTAGTCGTGAAGTTTGCGGTACATTCTGGCTTCGTGTCCATGTATTTTAGCATCGCTCGATTGACAAATTGGAAGTTGGTTGCTGCTGTCATTGAAACAAATCCGTACTGTCGATACGTTCAATCCCATAACTCACATGAAAAATTTCATTCAGATCGGTCCAACGATTTGGACCAGGGATGTTTAACTTTAATAAAATAGGGCTAGATACAAATAATTGGGTAAAACCGCGGGCCGCACCTTTATTTAACATAGGCTCCTCAGTATACTCGAAGGCACAAAAATTTTGATTATTGATCTTATGACATGCGTTGTTCGCTTCACCCTAGCTAGCTGTTAGGGCGTTGTAACGTCATGGCATATATGAAAAAGATGACTCAGTAGCGGAAAAATATATTGAAAACTCGTTCCGCGGGACGCACATTTTTTTTGTGGGCTGCATTCGGCCCGCGGAAATTAGAAATATATATATTTATATACAGTATACTCATAGTTTACAATATTGACAAACTGTTTAGGGTTGATAATCTATGGAAAAATCGCAGATATTTCTATTTCAAAACTCCGTTTGTAAGAACATTTAGGCTTAAAACGATGTATATACACAATAGGGCGCTTTCTAAATAATGCTAATGAGCTGGCGTCTTCTTTGTAAGTGTATCTATATCTTATCCTAATAACGTACCAACGTTTATATTGCACAAACCCTAACCCAACGAATGCGCTAAACTCTATATTTCACGCCATACGATTACTAATATTAGTCGAAGCATTGCACAAAATTAAACAAACACGTTAGATAAGTTCTGCAGTTGCCCTTTCTGCTCCAAATAGTATTGACTGAAAAACGATTGCACTTTCTATGCTTTGTGCCTTAAACGGACATGTAAAACAATTTTCAAAGTAATTGATTACTATACCGACTTATCAGGCCGTGCAATAATAACAAATTCGAACGTAAAATGTTTGAAATATTGAAATACTCTTTTGTTAATCCTAACGAGATTATTGGGACATCATTTAAAGAGTTTGCAGTATTGTTGTGGAAGAAATGTATCCCAGAAATGAAGATATCGGACGTGCGTAGCTTTGAACAATGTTATTCTATTATTCTTCACGGCGGAACCCAATGATCGTTCAAGTCGACCTGACGATTCGTGGTGTTAACTGCACCATGATAATGAAGAAGAGATAGTCACGTGGTGTTTCATAACCGGTTTAAACCACATACATCTTGCTACACAACAGGTTAACTGCGATTTTTAGAAACGAGAGTGCTAGTTGGAATCGAGGGTTAATTGTTGGAAACGTTGGCCAATCAATCAGTTTTTTCAATCAGGAATTTCAGTACCACCTATTTGCAAAATCTCGGCTACCCACTGTTATATAAATTACAATTAGCTGACATATATAACACAATCAGGGCCTACCAACTAAAGGAATACTCCAACAACTCCAATTCAACCCAATATGAAAACAAAAGTACAAAGTACTTGTAATCTTGCTTACTCGAATCTCAATAATGATTCCAAGTAGTTTGAATGACTTAGCCGAGATATACAAAAGGGAAATACTAAAATGGTACAATCTATCAGAGGAAGAGCAGTTTGCTAAAAGAGAATGAAAAGCTATAGTTTCAACAGCGCGTAGCGAATGCATTAAACAAAACAATTCATTACGAAATGCCCTGTAGGAAACTCATGTGACTGTTTAATTCTAAATGCACTCTGTAACAAATTGAACATTTCTTTTCCGTTCATACACTTTTGCGACATAAGGAAGGGCTTGCCCGACTAAGCATAGCATATAGTATCTGTGACAAAATAGAAAATCAAAAGTTATCGTCATCGCTTCGGTATTGTTTACGTAATTCTTTGATAGTGTAAGGCGTAACTATATAGGAAAATAAGTGTTTTTCATGGTTCTTGATTTCTCAGATGAAGCCAACGTCGCCGGGGTTGTCAAAATGGAGTCAAGCCGCAGTTGGGTTATAATTCATTTCTGAAAATGCAGTTCTTGCAGCCATGTAAGATCAAGATAATATACAGACTAGGGTACAGATAGATCTGAATCCATCGAAGCACTCGCTTTGGTACATCTTGACCTAGCTCTGGTGAAACCCATTTATACGGAAACCATATCCGCAGGATTATTCATTGAATTATCTAACAGGATAAACACCCTGGCCCCAAATCTACCCTCTGCGATTCATGATTATCAGTTCTCAAAGAATGTGCAGTCTGCACTGTTAAGTTGAATAACGCTACATAGGCTAGCAAGTTTCGATATTTCGAATTGGAGTGACTTCTTTTAGGATAAGGCTATTGCGTAACGACAGTAATTTATATTTTAAAGTAAATCGTAATTGTGTCTTAAATGTACTGTACAGTGGCCGTTGCTTTTACTGCAAAGCCTCATTTTCCAGGCTACCGTCATATTGATAATTACAATTTGTTAAATGGCTGATAAACATCAAAGAAAAATATCGTATGATCAATTTTTTTAAAAGCTTGACTTTTAGTGCTATGAGTCTGCTAAAATCAAAGCACCGAAATCGATTAGACGTAGAACACAATTTTCGTTTGAGCTTAAGCAACATTAAGCCACGAATGCAAGATCTCGTTGGAAGGAAGCAGTCGCATTCTTCACACTGATTAAATATGGTTGTTGTTGGGTTCTTTTAATAAATTTCCGAATTCGATAAATATATTTTTCGTGTCTGTAGGTGAACATATATATATATAACTTGGGGTCGCGAGTGCTTATCATACGTAATAATATTGTAGATGGGGTCGTGTCTCAAAAAGTTTGAAGACCACTGCTTTAGATGGACATGTAAAAGCATTTTCAAAAGTAATTGATTGCTTTACCGGCTTATCAGGCCGTGCAATATTCATAAATTCGAACAAAAAATGTTTGAAATCTTGAAATACTCATTTACTAATCCCAACAAGATTATTGGGACATCATTTAAAGAGTTTGCAGCATTGTCGTGAAAGAAATGTAGCCCAGAAATGAAGAGATCGGACGTGCATAGCTTTGAACAATGTTATTTTATTATTCTTCGCGTCGGAACCCAATGATCGTTCAAGTCGACCTGACGATGTGTAGCGTTAACTCCACCATGATAACGAAGAAGAGATAGTCACGTGGTGTTTAATAACCGGTTTAAACTAGATACATCTTGCTACGCAACAGGGTAACTGTGCGATTTTTAGGAACGAGAATGCTAGTTGGAGTCGCGGGTTAATTGTTGGAAACGTTGGCCAATCAATCAGTTTTTTCAATCTGAAATTTCAGAACTACCCCTTTGAAAAAAAATCGTGGCTACCCACCGTATATAAATTAAAATTAGCTGACATATATACTACAATCATGCCTACCAACTAAAGGAATACTACAACAACTCCAATCAACCCAATGTGAAAACAAAATTACAAAGTACTTGCAATCTCACTTACTCGAACCTCAATGATGAACCCAAGTATTCTGGATGACTTAGCCGAGATATACAAAAGGGAAATACTAAAATGGCGCAATCTATCAGAGGAAGAGCAGTTTGTTAAAAAAGAATGAAAAGCTATAGTTTCAACAGCGCGTAGCAAATGCAATAAATACTTGCAATCTCACTTACTCGAACCTCAATGATGAACCTAAATAGTCTGAATGACGTAGCCGAGATATACAAAAGGGAAATACTAAAATGGCGCAATCTATCAGAGGAAGAGCAGTTTGTTAAAAAAGAATAAAAAGCTATAGTTTCAAGACTTTCAACAGCACGTAGAAAATGCAATAAATAAAATATTTCAATACGAAATGCCATGTAGGAAACTCATGTGACTGTTTAATTCTAAATACACTCTGTAACAAATTGAACGTCTCTTTTTCGTTCATACATTTTTGCGACATAAGAAATGGCTTGCCCGACTAAGCATGGCCTGTAGCAGGGATGGCGAACCTTTTTCAATGAATAGGTCAAAATTTATATTTTATCACCGAACATAAGAGTATGAGCACAGATATTCAATTCAATGTTTGTATCTATAAGAAACTTGCTGCTGGATCTTATCTTTCAAATCTTTCGAACAAACAAACAGACAAATTCCTATCAACAGACTTACCGATCAAGATCGATAAGTAAAGTCAAGTCGCAGTTGGTTATATTTATTTTCCAAAACTGCAATTCTTGCAGCCATGTAAAACAAGTTAATATATACAGACTATGGTACAGACAGATCTAAATCCATCGACGCACTCTCTTTGGTACATCTTGACAAAGCTCTTCTGAAACCCATTTATACGGAAACCATATCCGCAGGATTATTCATTGAATTATCTAACAGGATAAACACCCTGGCCCCAATCTACCTTCTGCGATTCATGATTATCAATATCTCTAAGAATGACAAAAAATTAACCAAGCGCGTTTACTATTCGCCATAGTTGCTCATTTACGAATTAAATGGTATTGAAACATTCGAAATTGAGAAATCTACCGAACACTTGAAGCATTTAAAAAATGTTTATTGTATATGGGCAAGCGAAAACAGTAGAAAAGTCTTTAATCAACACCTGGCTGTAAACAAGTTTGTAACACAGGAATTATCAATGACCAGATAATGCTACCGAGAATATAACATATAGCATTTCGAAACTCTCAGCCCAGTTGCCGCTCATGGACTTGAATAGATATTTTCTTTTTGCGTTTCGACATTGAATGATCGTTTAAATCAACTAGTCGAACAGTAAACGAGATAGCGATCTGAGACCGACGACTTATGGATCTAGCGGCGTGTATCCTTTGCGTTGACTCAATAGCGACACCGCGTGTCCCATCATTCGTGCTTTAAATGGACATGTAAAAGCATTTTCAAAAGTAATTGATTGCTTTACCGGCTTATCAGGCCGTGCAATAATCACAAATTTAAACAAAAAATGTTTGAAATCTTGAAATACTCATTTGTTAATTCTAACGAGATTATTGGTGACATCCATTAAAGAGTTTGCAGTATCGCCATGGAGGAAATGTAGCCCAGAAATGAAGAGATCGGAGGTGCATAGCTTTGAACAATGTTATTCTATTATTCTTCGCGTCGGAACCCAATGATCGTTCAAGTCGACCTGACGATGCGTAGCGCTAACTCCACCATGATTATGAAGAAGAAATAGTCACGTGTTTCATAACCGGTTTAAACTAGATACATCTCGCTACGCAACAGGTTAACTGTGCGATTTTTAGAAGCGAGAATGCTAGTTGGAGTCGATGGTTAAATGTTGGAAGCGTTGGCCAATCGATCAGTTTTTTCAATCTGAAATTTAAGAACTACCCCTTTGAAAAACCTTGGCTACCCACCGTATATATATTACAATTAGCTGACATATATACCACAATCGTGCCTACCAATTAAAGGAATACTACAACAACTCCTATCAACCCAATGTGAAAACAAAATTACAAAGTACTTGCAATCTTACTTACTCGAAGCTAAATAATGAACCTAAGTAGTCTGGATGACTTAGCTGAGATATACGAAAGGGAAATACTAAAATGGAGCAATATATCAGCGGAAGAGCAGTTTGTTAAAAAAGAATGAAAAGCTATAGTTTCAACAGCGCGTAGCAAATGCAATAAATAAAATATTTCAATACGAAATCCCTGTAGGAAACTCATGTGACTTTCCAATTTCGAATACACTCTGTAACAAATTGAACCTCTCTTCTTCGTTCATACATTTTTGCGACATAAGGAATGGCTTGCCCAACTAATCATGGCCTGTAGCAGGGATGGAGAGCCTTTTCTAGTGAATGGGTCAAAATTTATATTTTATCACCGAACATAAGAGTATGAGCATATATATTCAATTCAATGTTTGTATCTATAAGAAACCTGCTGCTGGATCTTATCTTGCAAGTCTTACGAACAAACAAACAGACAAATTCCTTTCAACAGATTTACCGATCAAGATCGATAAGTAAAGTCAAGTCGCAGTTGGGTTATATTTATTTTCTAAAACTGCAATTCTTGCAGCCATGTAAGATCAAGTTAATATATACAGACTATGGTACAGACAGATCTAAATCCATCGACGCACTCTCTTTGGTACATCTTGACAAAGCTCTTCTGAAACCCATTTATACGGAAACCATATCCGCAGGATTATTCATTAAATTATCTAACAGGATAAACACCCTGGCCCCAATCTACCTTCTGCGATTCATGATTATCAATATCTCTAAGAATGATAAAAAATTAACCAAGCGCGTTTACTATTCGCCATAGTTGCTCATTTACGAAATAAAATGGTATTGAAACATTCGAAATGGAGAAATCTACCGAACATTTGAAGCATTTAAAAAATGTTTATTGTATATGGGCAAGCAAAAACAGTAGTAAAGTATTTAATCAACACCTGGCTGTAAACAAGTCTGTAGCACAGGAATTACCAATGACCAGATAATGCTACCGAGATTATAACATATATCATTTCGAAACTCTCAGCCCAGTTGCCCCTCATGGACTTGAATAGATATTTTATTTCCACGTTTCGACATTGAATGGTCGTTGGAATCAACTAGTCGAACAGTAAACGTGATAGCAATCAGAGACCGCCGACTTATCGATCTAGCGGCGTGTATCCTTCGCGTTGACTTAATAGCGACACCGCGTGTCCCATCATTCGTGCTTTAAATGGACATGTGAAAGCATTTTCAAAAGTAATTGATTACTTTACCGACTTATTAGGCCGTGCAATATTCACAAATTCAAACGTAAAATGTTTGAAATCTTGAAATACTCATTTACTTATCCTAACCAGATTATTGGGACATCATTTCAAGAGTTTGCGGCATTGTCGTAGGAGAAATGTAGCCCAAGGTGCATAGCTCTGAACAATGTTATTCTATTATTCTTTGCGTCGGAACCCAATGATCGTTCAAGTCGACCTGACGGTGCGTGGCGTTAACTCCACCATGATAACGAAGAAGAGATAGTCACGTGGTGTTTAATAACCGGTTTAAACTAGATACATCTTGCTACGAAACAGGTTAACTGCGATTTTTAGGAACGAGAATGCTAGTTGGAGTCGCGGGTTAATTGTTGGAAACGCGGGCCAATCAATCAGTTTTTTCAATCTGAAATTTAAGAACTACCCCTTTGAAAAAAAAACGTGGCTACCCACCGTATATAAATTACAATTAGCTGACATATATACCACAATCATGGCTACCAACTAAAGGAATACTACAACAACTCCAATCAACTCAATATGAAAACAAAATTACAAAGTACTTGCAATCTTACTTACTCGAACCTCAATAATGAACCCAAGTATTCTGGATGACTTAGCCGAGATATACAAAATGGAAATACTAAAATTGCGCAATCTATCAAAAGAAGAGCAGTTTGCTAAAAGAGAATGAAAAGCTATAGTTTCAACAGCGCGTAGCAAATGCAATAAACAAATAATACGAAATGCCCTGTAGAAAACTCATGTGACTTTTCAATTTTAAATACACTCTGTAACAAATCTACCCTCTGCGATTCATGATTATCAGTATCTCTAAGAATGACACAAAATTACCCAAGCGCGATTAGTATTCGCCATAGTTGCTCATTTAAGAAATAAAATGGTATTGAAACATTCAAAATTTAAAAATCTACCGAACATTTGAAGCAGTTAAAAAATATTTATTGTATACGGGCAATCAAACATAGTAGAAAAGTCTTTAATCAACACCTGGCTGTAAACAAGTTCGTAGAACAGGAATTATCAATGACCAGATAATGCTACCGAGAATATAACATATATCATTTCGAAACTCTCAGACAAGTTGCCACACATGGACTTGAATGGATATTTTCTTTCTGCGTTTCGGCATTGAAAGAAGATAGTGATCAGAGACTACGGACTTATCGATCTAGCGCGTGTATCCTTTGCTTTGACTCAATAGCACACAGCGTGTCCCATCACTAATTAATTAATATCGCGCTAATTATACGACATAATTCATCCAAAATCAATAGTCTTCTGGTCCGAGGTATGATGAATGCACATGCAAAATTTGGAGCAGAATCGCCCTCGCTTTCGTGAGGTATCGCGTCTATCTTACAGACAGACAAACACCACAGACAAATACCTATCAACATACTTACTTTGGATGAATTATGTCGTATAATTAGCGAGTTATTAATTAGTGATAAGACACGCAGTGTCGCTATGAAGTCAAAGCGAAAGATAAACGCCGCTAGATCGACAAGTCGGCGGTCCTGATCACTATCTCGTTTTTATGATTTTTGATTTCTTAATGAAAATCAAGACTTTGCAAACATAAACCTCATATCGACAACACCGAGAGACAATTTTGTGCGGAGTTGTCAAGATATAGTAAAGCCACAGCTGGATTTATACAGGGTGTCCATAAAGTCTTTAAAAACTTTTTTTTAAATTAAAAAGGGAATTTATCGATACCAATATTGTTTTTGCTGTCACAGCTGTACTGAATGAAATGAAAAATACTTAACAATCACTGATTAAAATACAACAAACCTAGTAAGATATATTGAGAACTGAATTCACAACAAAATTGAAATTGTAGAGAGTGTTTAGCGACACTCTCTCTTTTTTAAAACGGCAAATACGTTAACCATGTAAGATTAGGATAACATATACAGACTATATAAGATACTATTTTCTGCATAATGATGCAGACAGATATAAGACGAAATTCACCAAACATGTTTAGTACTCTCTATAGTTGCTCATTTACTGATTCGGAAAATCGAAAATAGTCATGTTTTATCGAGTTTGTTTTGTTCTACAACCGGACACATAAAGCGTATCGAATTTTGCGTAAATGGGCAAGAGTCTTTAATAGTAATGATATAGTTTTTAATAAATAATAGTCTTTAATCAACGCTTGGCCTTGTCTTGCTCTAAACAAATTTGCAAGATATATCAATGATTGATAATGCTACCAAGATTATAACATAAACCATTTCAAAACTTACAGCTTAGCCTGTTTAGAAGTTGAGAGATCGACTGCTCATGGCCTTGGTTAGATATTTCGTTTCTGCGTGTCGGCATCAAATGGTCGTTCAAGTCAACTATAGTAGATCAGCAAAATAAAGCGTAAAATGGAGCATAGCAAAATGAGGAACTCTATTTATTTCGAATGCATTACGTGATTCTCGATAACCGGTTTGAACTGGATACATTTCCCTAGGCCACAAAGATGTTGCATTTTGTGAGCACAAGAGTGGGTTGGTATCGTTTAAAAAAAGATTTATCGACCCATCAATTTTACTTGTCAATTATACAAGTGCATATGATTAATTAATATTTCAATAATAGGAAGACAATGGGGACCATTTCCAGCGATTGCAGCGACTGATTTTAAAACTTACAGCCTAGTTTTTATTGATATTTTGACCACAAAAATGAAAATATTAGGGATGCATCTGGCACTTCGGCTTTAAATAATTGTTTAACGATCTCTCATTTCCCAATAAAATTGCAAAGAAGACAATTCAAATCCGAGAAAATCCAACTCATTATCTATGATTTGTTTTGTACTATAAAAGATCAAAAAGCATGTATTAGATCCTATTATAATTCATCTATGTACAGCAAGGCCAGCAGAGAAGATCGACAACCTTGTTCGTCTAGCGATAGAAGAGAACAACCTCAGAATGTATCTTACCAAGATTATTAGAGGAATTATTTCAAACTTAGCCAGGCATGGCATGTCTCATCTTAATTTAAATAGCAGAACAGAAGTAATCTGCACCGAGCAACCCATACTTTTCAATTTAATAGTAATCTAGAAACAAAACTATATAGGCAAAGCAAAAATAATAGAAAAATCTTCAATCAATTCCTGTCTTCGTCTGAGATCACTACAGAAATCATTTCAAAATTTATATCCTAGCCTTACCGGACATTAAAGAGAAGCAACTGCTCATGGCCTTGGATAAATATTTTCTTTTTTGCGTTTCCCCGTCAAATGGTCGTTGAACTAACTAGTCGAGCAGAAAATTACAACGTAAAACAAAGCGAAGCAAAACGAGGAACTATATTCATTAGCTTTGGCATCACGTGATGTCTCACAGTTTCTTGGGTACAGTCAGCTGAATTACCCATTAAGCAAAATAAGCACGTGCTTAGGGCACCAAGGAAACCGGGCAGAACGAAAATTTTCACAGACGAATTTTCAATGGCGCCTCAGTGTTTAATAAAATAATGCGAGTTTATCTGACGACTCGGACGTAATATTGGCCCGGCCAAAGCAAATTTTAGATTAATTTTTGCTCTGAAGTGTTATATTTAGCATCTAGAAAAGTTTGTAGGCACGAGAAGCCCTTTAGCAGTATTGAAGTTACGTTGAAATGTTATTCAAATGTTTCACGACTGACGCTTTTTAACAGTATTACTCTTAAAAAGCGTCAGTCGTGTGACATTTAAATTGCGTTTCACTGTAACTCCAATATATTAATATTCGATCTCGTACCAAAGAATAGGCGGCACCCCAGAAATTTTTGTAGCCGAGTTTTAAACAGTGCCTCAGTGTTTAGTGAATTCATTCATCAGACGATTCGACTTCAATATTAGCCTGATTGAAATAAATTTTGCTTCTTTTTTTCCTCAAGTATTTCTCTTTACAAATGTTTGTAGGTATGAGAACTATTTTCAAAAATATGATGTAAATCAATCATAATTTAGTCTTTAATCAAAAATAAATATTGAAACTAACTTATTCAATTTGAGATTATGTGAAACGCTGGTTACATTCCTATAGTTATTATTTTTTTATATATAGAGCACCAAAATATTAAGTGCTTAAGCCTCTAAAGGTCATAATCCAGTCATGTCTGGCAGGCGAGCATAGCCCAGAATTAAGTTCAAACACCTGAAAGTACGCGCCCGTCTAAAAAAAAAAATCGGGCGATAGTTTTAAAGCAATTTAAAATGGAAAAACACATAAAAATCAAATAAAAGTCTGAATAAAATATATTCGACCAACCAGTTCGCAATACAAAACGAATGACAGTCTCGACGATGGACGTCATAAAAACAGCGTTTCCATGGATACTAACGACTATTTACATTTGAAAACGATTATTCCATTAGTTAAAAGGTGAATTGATTGGTTTATTAGTCCATTGCAACGTAAAGCCCATTCTTCTACGACCGAATTCCCAGTTTTCGAATTCCCGGACCGAATTCCATAACGTCAACGATTTAGCAAGACTATTCATACGATTCATTTTACATGATACGTCCCTAATTGGTTTGGATATTTATAATGGCTTTGCTATTTACGGTCGAGGCTTCGTGAATTGTGTGATAAAGTTGACACTACCATCGCGCGGGATCAAAATAAATATGTATATACTCTGGCAAGATCATACTGATTTTCGCTGTATTTCATTCACAAAACATTTTTGAAAAGGTTATGTCAACTAGAATCGCATGACATAACGTAGGCTATATACAATTAGATATAGTCGTAGATACAATTAGATATCGTCATCTCTAAGAATGACAAAAAATTAACCAAGCGCGTTTACTATTCGCCATAGTTGCTCATTTACGAAATAAAATGTTATTGAAACATTCGAAATTGAGAAATCTACCGAACACTTGAAGCATTTAAAAATGTTTATTGTATATGGACAAGCAAAAACAGTAGTAAAGTATTTAATCAACATCTGGCTGTAAACAAGTTTGTAGCACAGGAATTATCAATGACCAGTTAATGCTACCGAGAATATAACATATATCATTTCGAAACTCTCAGCCCAGTTGCCGCTCATGGACTTGAATAGATATTTTCTTTTTGCGTTTCGACATTGAATGGTCGTTTAAATCAACTAGTCGAACAGTAAACGAGATAGCGATCAGAGACCGCCGACTTATGGCTCTAGCGGCGTGTATCCTTCGCGTTGACTCAATAGCGACACCGCGTGTCCAATCATTCGTTCTTTAGATGGACATGTGAAAGCATTTTCAAAAGTAATTGATTACTTTACCGACTTATAAGGCCGTGCAATAATCACAAATTCAAACAAAAAATGTTTGAAATCTTGAAATACTCATTTACTTATCCTAACGAGATTATTGGCACATCATTTAAAGAGTTTGCAGCATTGTCGTAGAAGAAATGTAGCCCAAGGTACATAGCTCTGAACAATGTTATTCTATTATTCTTTGCGTCGGAACCCAATGATCGTTCAAGTCGACCTGACGGTGCGTGGCGTTAACTCCACCATGATAACGAAGAAGAGATAGTCACGTGTTGCTTAATAACCGGTTTAAACTAGATACATATTGCTACGCAACAGGTTATGCGATTTTTAGGAACGAGTATGCTAGTTGGAGTCGCGGGTTGATTGTTGGAAACGCTGGCCAATCAATCAGTTTTTTCAATCTGATATTTCAGAACTAACCCTTTGAAAAAAAATCGTGGCTACCCACCGTATATAAATTACAATTAGCTGACATATATACCACAATCATGGATACCAACTGAAAGAATACTACAACAACTCCAATCAACCCAATATGAAAACAAAATTACAAAGTACTTGCAATCTTACTTACTCGAACCTCAATAATGAACCCAAGTATTCTGGATGACTTAGCTGAGATATACAAAATGGAAATACTAAAATTGCGCAATCTATCAAAAGAAGAGCAGTTTGCTAAAAGAGAATGATAAGCTATAGTTTCAACAGCGCGTAGCAAATGCAATAAACAAATAATACGAAATGCCCTGTAGAAAACTCATGTGACTTTTCAATTTTAAATACACTCTGTAACAAATTAAACATCTCTTTTTCGTTCATACATTTTTGCGACATAATGAATGGCTTGCCCGACTAAGCATGGCCTGTAGCAGGGATAACGAACCTTTTTCAATGAATAGGTCGAAATTATATTTTATCACCGAACATAAGAGTATGAGCGCAGATATTCAATTCAATGTTTGTATCTATAAGAAACTTGCTGCTGGATCTTATCTTGCAAATCTTACGAACAAACAAACAGACAAATTCCTATCAACAGACTTACCGATCAAGATCGATAAGTAAAGTCAAGTCACACAGTTGGGTTATATTTATTTTCTAAAACTGCAATTCTTGCAGCCATGTAAGATAAAGTTAATTTATACAGACTATGGTACAGACAGATCTGAATCCGTCGACGCACTATCTTTGGTACATCTTGACCAAGCTCTTCTTAAACCCATTTATACGGAAACCATATCCGCAGGATTATTCATTGAATTATCTAACAGGATAAACACCCTGGCCCCAATCTACCTTCTGCGTTTCATGATTATCAATATCTCTAAGAATGACAAAAAATTAACCAAGCGCGTTTACTATTCGCCATAGTTGCTCATTTACGAAATAAAATGGTATTGAAACATTTGAAATTGAGAAATCTACCGAACACTTGAAGCATTTAAAAAATTGTTTATTGTATATGGGCAAGCAAAAACAGTAGAAAAATATTTAATCAGCACCTGGCTGTAAACGAGTTTGTAGCACAGGAATTATCAATGACCAGATAATGCTACCGAGAATATAACATATATCATTTCGAAACTCTCAGCCCAGTTGCCGCTCATGGACTTGAATAGATATTTTCTTTTTGCGTTTCGACATTGAATGGTCGTTTAAATCAACTAGTCGAACAGTAAACGAGATAGCGATCAAAGACCGCCGACTTATGGATCTAGCGGCGTGTATCCTTCGCGTTGACTCAATAGCGACACCGCGTGTCCAATCATTCGTTCTTTAGATGAACATGTGAAAGCATTTTCAAAAGTAATTGATTACTTTACCGACTTATTAGGCCGTGCAATAATCACAAATTCAAACAAAAAATGTTTGAAATCTTGAAATACTCATTTACTTATCCTAACGAGATTATTGGGACATCATTTAAAGAGTTTGCAGCATTGTCGTGGAAGAAATGTAGCCCAAGGTGCATAGCTCTGAACAATGTTATTCTATTGTTCTTTGCGTCGGAGCCCAATGATCGTTCAAGTCGACCTGACGGTGCGTGGCGTTAACTCCACCATGATAACGAAGAAGAGATAGTCACGTGGTGTTTAA